GGGATGCTCCTGTCTTACAGTCAAAGGACACCACCCTGCACAGAGCCAGGTTAGAGATCAAGCCTATTAGGCAGTTGCATGCCCTCTTCTCAGATGGTCCTTTTCTGCCTTTCCCCTATTTAATAAAATAAATGTGAAGTTCAATAAGGAATATGGCCCAGAAAAGACAGTTGAGGGATTAAGCACAGAGATCAAGAACAGGCATGGCCTTGGCATTAGGCATAACTCCAGCTATTCTGTCTTACATATTTCACGCTTAAGATTAGACTTCTGAATTTTTAATCAAAAAGAAATGTTATTAAAGTGCTCTGCTATATTTTTTCCCAATAACTGACTACACAAGGTACACGTTGGACAAATCTCCCATATTCAATTCATGAACTGATATCACTCCTGAGGAAAAAAAAACCCACCAAATCTGATGTCTTTTCAAGTAGAGAAATTGAGGTCAGAATCTGCCCCTGAGCAATCGTATAGAAAACAGTCAGGAAAGGCCTGTGAATTGAAAAACCTCTCTGCTGCCCTAAACTCAACTCCAGACAATCTAAAGAGCTAAAACACAAAGATATTTCATATATGGGTTTCATCATTTCCTGAAGAATTGTATTACTTTAAAGATCTTGGACACTAAAAGCTTAGAAAGCAAGATCACAAATCACTTGCAAGACTCAAGCCAACATCTACACAATAAAACATCTATAAAACAGAAATATTCACTCACCTTACCAGCTAATATAGCACATTGTCATGGAAATAAACACATCCCATCTTTGCAAATTCAGTTGTACTTTCCATCTTGAAGATTTGGGTGATGACGATGTCTGTCTTCAGCTCTAGAGATACAGGGATAGTTTTATAGCTGTCATGCAAAGTAAGTATACTTTAGGACACAAGGAAAAAACATGCAAGACAAATTACATCTCATTCAGCTTCATGCAAATCATATTAATCACCTCATATAAAGTGGTCAGATAAGACATGCCATAATCGCTATCAGAGCAGCTGACTTTGAGCCTGTTGAGATATTTTTAACCATTAAAGGTGAATTTAATTCCAGCTAATTTTAATAACCCAAAAGCAAGGTGCCTAACCACATCTTGCCATCCAAGTTCTCTCCACAGTGAAAAAGAAAGATGATACATCTGGAGGATGATTCACCACATTGATCTTAGACATTTATTTTAGAATGAGATGAGTCACTCTTTGGATGCACATACCTTTCTTTGGTGATGGATGAAGCCTGGCCACCTGAGTTAATTCAGTTATCGATGTTTTAAACAGCTAATGTGAGCTGACATAGTCAAAGCCTTGGTCAAAAGTCCACAGAGAAAGGACACCTGATGGCAATTTGTCAGGTACTATTTCTAAAGAGGTTAGATGTCTTCATCACACTAAGAGGGGCTTTTTCCAAAAAAATCACCATCTGCATAGCAGCTGTTACCTCATTTTAATTATTCATAGCCGCTTGCACTGGGGAGAGAGATGATGGTGTGGGCAGAGATAAGAGTGAGGGCAAAATTTTTTGAATGATTTTGATCTGAGTTCATGGACTGCATACTTGAGAGCTGTCTGAGGGGGTGTAAGTTAACTTGTGACTAATGGTTCTCATTAAACTGCAGACCAGCAGATGCCAATATTTCAGATTAACTTACTAAACCACCAGGCAGCACTATCACTAATTAGAGGAAACATTACTCAAGAGACTGTTATCCTGAATCTACATCATGTACTAATAAGCCAGACAGTGAGCATTTAGATAGCACAATTGATATAATTACATTTCTTTTTAAAGGCCTTTCTTAAGGGCCAACATACATAATACTCAAGACTTCAGCTGCCAAATTGCTTATATTTTCCTGTGAATAAAGGCTGGGTAAGTTTGCTTGAGGTAATGCAAATAAAGTGTTTTTTAAAGGAGATGACAACGAGCAATCAGCACCATAACAAACAAGCAATGTTTTCATATTCATATACTAAACATTTTATTCAAAGATGGGGAAAAAAACCCAGCATTAGAAAGGTTTTAAATCCTAGATTTAACAAGATACAAGCCTGTGATGTTTCTACACCTACATTAGGAATCACTTTTGGGGAGAAACTCCATGTATGCGAACACGTGTGGAGAACATTGCCCTGTCCACGGGTGGAGTAAAGTTCTGAGACTTGCAAAGAAATGTAAGAGGCCTCAGTTTCAAGAAGGTCAGTTCCAAGCAAAAGACAGTAGAAAGAATATAAACTTGTTTTAGGACTCAGTCACTGTTAACAGTCCCAGTACCTCCAGCATGGAAGGGCCAGATGAAACCCTCACTGAGATCCCTTTGGTTTCCAAAGATGTGGAATTACAAATAAGGCACAATCTTTTTCCAGCTGAGCTGCTTTCTGCAAATGCAGGGCAAGGTAAATACACGATAAGGGCCTGGGTGGCTTTGAACAAACACAGACAGGTTAAGGACATGTAGAGGAATTTAGCACAGAGGCGGGGATAAAAGTAGCTTCCCCTATCAAGCCGTAGGCAGTTTGAATCTTTCCCCTTGTTTCTCTCAGCATAAGCCTAAAGTTTAGAAAATCAGAAGTAGGGACTTGACATGGTGCTTATTATTTTACTCCTGAAGTAGAAGCAGCAGCAGTGTTTGATTGCAGTTACTGCATACAGCACAGGCTGCTTTCTACTCTCACTACCAGTACTAATTTTGCTCTTCAACCAGGAGCTGAAAGTTTCCATCTTGAATGGTTTTCAGAGTTACTGCCTTGAGCTGCTGGAAACAATGAATTCTTTGCTCAAGTGGCATGAGGAGGGACCATGCTGCAGCTGAGGGAAGCATGGTGGTTGGCCTAATTCCTGCTCTAATTCTGTCCTTCATGGCAGCTGGCACTTCACAGCAAATACTGTCTTGGTCAAGGGCAAAAGAAACAGCTCTTTTTATTAATTCCTACCCTCTAGGAAGGCATGTGCCAGCTGGTGAACTAAGGGAGGCTGAACTTCACCTTTGCAAATGCCAAAGCTTGAATTTTAGGCACTTGGGTTTAAGGGTTTAGCTCTGTTCAATGTCTCGTAAACAGCACTTTTTTTTTCTGGTTTTCCAAAGGATGCACTCTTCCCAAATCCTGTCCTTTCTTGCTATGTAGAAGATGACTTTGACAAGGAACACGTCCTCTGAAGTGGGTAGGGACTGCACCTACAAGTTAGAACTTAAGACTTATTGGGCCCTACCTACTGAAGGGTGATCATCACTACACAACAACTATATTGTAACAAAATGCCCACTCAAAACACTGTCTACTGATTGCAGTCAACCCTGAGGGTCAGTTTAGGAAAAAAATGTGCAAAGGGAACGTGCAGAAATTTATCTTCTTTCCCCCTCACCCTCTTTTTCCCGGGACAGTCTATCTGACAATGTCAGATATGCATTGTTACACTTCCATGAACAACAGTTTTCCAATTTTTGTTTTTAATCAAATGACATAATTGAATTTTGCACTTCTGAGAATGAAAGTGGTAATGGAATCAGAAAAATATGTAGATTTTCAAAACCCCCTATGCAGGTCTTCCTCCTGCTGTAGTACTACATCCTTCATGCTGTAGTATTAGATCATTAATATTAGTGATAGCAGCAAACCCTAAAACTACTTACGTGCACTGCAAAAAAAAAAAAAGAGTAAACACTGTATATTGCATCACATGACAGTAAATTGCTTGAACAATTATAGAAAAATTAATTGTAACAAAATTACTTCCTGTTGTTTATTAGATATTGTAAGAATGAAATGTACAGTATACAAAATTAATATCAAAAATGTTCACATGATTGATTTTTCTTTGGATTAACTGCAGACACGCAGCTTTTAAAGATGTCATGCTGAGATCTATTTTCTACTAAAAGATCTCAGGTGTACCACCGCATGCTATCTACAGTTTTAATCTACAAAATGAAAGCTATTGAATTTTTGCTGAATCTCAGTGGCATTTTTTGAAAAAGAACAGAACAATAACATTAGCTTAGAGGAGAAAAAATAACGTTAATATTTCAAATTCATAAGCAAAATTGCTTTTGAAATTTCAAACCTTACAATTGTACATTTTCAGTTTCAAGCACTTGCCATAAGAAGTTACATTCTACTATATAGGTGACAAAGATTTTGAACTTTGTTTTTCTTTGAGACAGATACATAATCCTCATTTTCTTTTTCCTAATGAACTTTCACATCTTTAAAGTTAGTGTTAAACAACGTTCACTCTCCTAAAGAAACAATTTAAGTATGGTTCATTTCATAAGCTGAAAGTTTTCATTTAAGGTATAGCTATACAAAGGAATGTAAAATGGTTTTCATTTTTTAAATCTGTGCATTTTCAGTTTATGTCATATTGTTTAGCAGAAAGATAAAGTTAACTACTAATGACTAACCTAGATAACCTAAAATCAGCCGATCTGTTCCATAAAATACATGCTTGCCATAATGCTTTTCACTGCAATATAAAATACACTAGAAAAAACTGAAATTATTACCAGGGAATATTACATAGTTATCAGTATTGATAATGTTTCCCAGATTAAAAAAAAAAAAAATCTTTACATGAATTTCTTATACATGCTCTACTTAGCAACAGGAATATGATTTAAACTGAAAATTCTTCTAATTTTGTCCAAACAATTTTTCTTAATAGACTCTGAATGTATTTGCACAATTGCAATGCATTCAAAATAGTGACCTACTGTCAGGTAAGTTGTCAATGATTTAAAACAGGAATGGGTGCTTGACAAAGAGTGGGCCAGCCTTCCAGAACAAAAGAGATGGCGTTCTTTCTCTGGAAGTGTCACTAATGTAAATCATCTTTTAAGTTGGCACATATCACAAGAACCCTTAAAACAATCCCTGTGAATGAAAATGAAGACAAATCACAACATAAATGATGCAAAGCCATTTTTCAGGAATTTAGGAGAGTCCAAAAGTATTTGTGCTCTCTTTTGCATTCAACTGGTGAAATTCAGTGGATTGGCTATTTTATTTTTAAGAGATAAACTATTAAAATCATCTTATGCTGGGAACAGCTGGGCTTTCTGTTTTCTTTCCTTTTATGTTTTTTTTTTTTAAGACCATTGGCAAGAACAATCTGTGGGCTCTTGGATTGAATAGCTGACCCAGGTTGAGTTACTGGTGCAGTACAATTGCACAGTCCGTCTCTGCAGCCCGAGCTCCCTGCAGCATTTGCAGAACCTTGCATACGTGTTGATGTTGTAGTTGTAAATGCTTGCAGAAGGGCACTTCCCGTCACATGAAACAATGTTCACCTGGTAACAAACATGACGAATAATAAGCAAACTGAAGCAGCTAGTTAGGAGTTCTCAAGGAAGTCCAAAAACATAAGGCATCCCAAATCCAATGGCAAAGCAATGAAAAATTTGGAGGTATTTCCTCTAGCCCCTTATGAAATCCCACTACATCTGAAAATAAGCCCTGAAGTACATTGCCCAGATAGGTCTCAATTTTTATCTTACTGATATCAATGATGACTTTTCTGTCCATTTCAGTAACAGGTTTTGGCTATTAACAGACACAAAGAAACAATTCTGGTTTTGAATTTTAAAGTATTCATAACAACCTTGGCTTGAACATAGCACCAAATGTTCTGTCTCCAACTCCCTGCAGTATTCATTTCAGTGATACACTGATGCAGTGTTGCTGTACTGGTATCAGTAAGGAGGAATAAAAGAACCAACCCTTTGGAAAGCCAAGAGGAATTACTACTAATGACACCAAATCTGTAATACAGACTGTAAGAGAAATAGAAACGGAATAATTTTTTCATATTTAATAGTTAAGATTAGTGTTTCTGTTCAATGAGACACTGAGACTAAATCTCCTGGCTGCTCAACAGCTTACTCTACAAAATGTACTCTCAGAGTCATTTTAGAGGTTACAGCTGTTTCCCTACACTCTTTTATTACAGCTTTTCCAGGCGCTCTTACACATCTCACATGAGACGTCTGTCTGCACCCTTGCTGCTGCTCACAGTCTTACTGCCCAGCAGGACATTGCTGGTGTCCTTCAACAGTAAATCCTTCGATAGTGCCTCATTCTTCCTTCACATTTTACAGTATGTTCATGCTGCTGTCTAAAAAAAGCTTTCAGGACCCAAGATTCCTTTCTTCATGAAGTTGGCAATTAAATACTTTCCCCAGGCAGATGGAAAATTACACACATCTGCAGCCATTTTAACTGTAGAATACCAGTGGCAAGATTCAGTTATATTGAAGTTAATTTGCATATAATAATTGCATTATAGGGTGAAATCAGACTTTGGATTTGCACTAAATCAACATGCACCTAGATGCATACAAAAGCAGAAGTAACAGCCTCCTTTTTATTATTTGAGAAGATGATTGCTGAGAATGTAGGGAAACATTAAAACAGCTCTATGAAACAGAAATCTCTGTCTCTGTGACAGAGATGAAGACAATAGCCTTGTGGAATTTGAGTTCCTTTTTTCCTCCATTTTATTTCTCGTATTTTTTCCCTTCTATGAAAAGAAATTGTGATAGTTATCTACTTACTGGTGTGTTACTCCTGCAGTCGTTCTTGCGGATAGTCATCCTAACAGTCACCTTCTTACAGAATTTTCCATCTTCCTTACCTGCAAAATGGTCATAGATCAAAAAATATCAGCTCAAAATTCTAAACATTTCAGAGACAAGAACATTTCTGAACATTTTACTGGGTCAAGAGACACAAAGAAGAAGATACCCATTAGATATATATTGAATCACTCTTAAAACCATTCTATTTCATGCATTAAGGTATCCATCTCATTATATCTTTAATAACAATTATAAAAGGTTCGTTCTTCATTCAGAATTTTTTAAGAGTAAGTCCACTGTGTTCAAAAAATTTTGCAAAACTGATCTCACTGCTGTGAGAAGACCTGTTAATAAGGCATGAAGTGCATTTTCTATTAAATACCTGCAACAAACTTTAATAGCAGCAATTGCATTCCAGTGGTATAAACAAACTTTAAAATTAATACCCAACAGCAGAATCTAATGAAGAACAGGGCTTCAGGGGGCTTTACCTTTGGTTTTATTATGTTTTTATTAAATAAAAGAACACCAGTGAACAAATGAAATTTTTTATTTGCATTTCCATTAACGTTATTTCCACAATTTTTCTCATAGAAGTATTTACAAAGTACATGAATAAAACAAAAAAGATAACAAGAAATCACAGAATTAAATACGGAGTTAAGCTTCATTGAAGAAGGGAATCCTGAATATTTGAAGAAAGACAAAGATGTTCAGTACAAAGTTCAGTTGTAAGAGATCAGGAAGCACAGTATCTTCTTAGGATGACCCTCTCTATGCTGGAGAAACCACATCATACTGCAGATCTGTAGGAGAAAGGAACAGCTCATTTTAATATAACAGCTTCCACTGTTTCACATCAGATTTTATGCATCTTGATGCAGTCCCCCATGACTCTCCACTTACAGAGATGTGTTTTCTTTCAGTCAAGAAACCCAAGGATGTTGACAAAAGGTGAATACTGTTAGCTCCAGAAAAGCAAGGGCAATAAAGGATTCATCAGTTTGACCAGTACTGAACTGGGACACAGTTTTATCACATCTTTATGAGCAGTATCCAGTTCCCTGCTCTAATCACTGTCAAACCCATAATACTGCTTCTCAAAGAGAAACAATTTTTTGTTCTTTTTTTTTTTTTGGTTGGTTGGTGGTTTTGTTGTCTTTTTTTTTTTTTTCTTAAATTATCTAAGCCTCTTACTGTTTCTAGACACAATAGAGTTTTCTAGAATATGAGAGAAACTACATCAGTAAATCTTCTTGGAAACAAATAAAAACCTGCAAACATAAATGGTTGGCTACTGCTTGGCTGCTGTTGAATTATATTTGCTTAGTGAAAAAGTAAATTGAGAAACAAAGAAAAAATAAATTGTTCTTGAAAATAAAAAACTCACCGTTATTTCATGTTTTTCACAGTTCTTTTCACGGTTCTGTCTTCTTTTACATTATACATGGTTTAGGGTGGAGAATTCAGTGCAGCTGTGACTATGACTTCACCCAGGCTACAGTGAAAGTACATCATATCCCATAAAAAATAAATATATAATGTATTTCCATGCATGTACATTAATGTCCAGTGGCTTTTTATGAGCTTTGCAACACAATATACTTTTCCATGAACAACCTTACAAAACATGAGAGCGTTTTATACTTGTTTTATTATAGATTTTTTTTCACTGTCCGTATGGTTGAAAATCCTTGCTTGGTTTTTGGGTTGACTCATAGCACTGTTGTCACTTAAAGTGACACCAGTATGAAAGAGAAATATAGATTTCAGTTTAGTAGTCCTAGAGTCAGAAGCGTAATTTAATGTAGGATGTGTCACTCAGTAACGTACAGAATTAGAGTCAACATAATTTCTCTGAGAGAAATATAGAGTTGTTTTCACAAAATAAGTGCCAAAACAAATGCATTCATAATGTGTCACAATTCAAAGAATTAACATGCTCTATGAAAAAGAACAAAGATAATCTCCAATTTTCATGGAGCCAACACTGTATTGCTATTTTCAGTATACTGTCCTAACTATGGATGGGAAAGAAATTATTTGCTTCTACTGTATATGGCACAAAGCAAACCTGAATGATATATCACCTGCAAAAATGCTGCTTACAAAGTAAAGCTTTAACAAGCAAAGCTATTATTCTCTATGTTCTACAGCACTGTAAACATGATAGAATTAGTTTACTTTTTCAAACACAGCAATTTTACACATGCAGCAAGCTAAAGACTACGCAAGTGCTTACTACCAACAGTACATTGTTGGCTAACAACAATGCACCGCCCACACAGTGCACAATGAAAAACAAATCAAAACAAAAATGTGAGCCACTCTGAACCATGAGCAGTTACACTACACTGCAGCTTTTGGCATTATTGGGTAATGTGAGGTCTGATGATCCTAGCAGGGAGTACATTGTTGGAAATCAACAATGATGCTGTTTGGGTTGGTCCTACCTATTTGAGGAAAATGTACCTGTGTGACAGCCAGCATAGGCTGTAGGAGTGACTGGGCTAACAGGGAATGGGAGGAACACTGACACTGAAGAACCTGGTAAGAATATTACACATTGAACAGAGCACATGTTACAGAGGATTACCTATAGTATGAAAACATTTGGGAATTACGAGATTTTGGCATATTTGAAAACAGAATTCAACTTTAAAATGTTTGTATACTGCAGGATCACAGAATGGCTGAGGTTGGAAGGGACATCTGGTTCCTCCTTGCTTAAGCAGGGTTCATTTTGCCAGCAGCTCAGGACCATGTCCAGGCATTACTTGCATTGCTAAGCCTCATGTGAAAACCAGGAAGATCTGATCTACATTGGTATAACTTAGCCAGTCTGCTATCCTGAATTTAATGTGCCCTTTGGGGCTACAACAAAGAAATAGTATAATTTCCTCTCAGCAGCATTTGCAATACCTCTCCAGGTTTTGATGGAACTCCTGGGTCTTAATTTTCAAATAGCAATTAAAACTGAAAACAAAAATCACAATTGTTTCTAATGGTAAAGTACTTCAGAAGAAAACAAAAAAACCCCAATAATCCTTCTCATAAAATGTCTCAACACAACTACAACTGACAGCTCTCATGACAGTAGATTTGTCTGGAGTCAGAATGAACTTACATGACTCATAGAATTACTGTGTTGTCTACCAACAGGTATGAAATCAAAACTCTAGGAATCTACCTGTAAATGCGTCTCAAAAGTCACTGGGTTTTTCAAGGGTATAATTTTACTTTGTTATGCATGCCACAGATCAATAATTTAATAATTAAGGAGGTGATTATGATGTTTCTCTAAGCATAGTAGCAAGATCTTCTGCCCTGCTGAAAAGTAGCTTAATGGATGTTTAACTGTCTTACTAAATCTTTCAGAAGTGGCTTATTTGCCTGCCAGGGCATTGAAGGGTAATGTCAGATAAAAACTGATGTCAGAGAGCCTATGGAGAATCAGTCATGGAACTAGGAAAAGTGCTTGAAACACAGGTCCACCAGAGTGAAAAAACATGAAGAGATATTACCATTCCCTTACAGTGGGAGCATAACAAACTCCCCAGATAAATCTTTCACAGTTTCAATCAAGTTTTTAGTACCAAACGTAATACAGATGAATCACACCAAAAGGTACCTCCCTGTTGGCAACATATATCCAGATCTGGTAGTCATGACTGTGCAAGTTCCATCCCACCCAGCAAGAAATACCTGCACTTTTCTCCATCTTTCTCCCACACTTTTAGGTCACTATTTCGGTCACTTAAGCAGATTGAGTCAGAATTTTGCATGTTTTTAAAGATAGCATGATACTGCCCAGTATAAAAATCTCCTTTCAATTGCTTTTAACAGTGTTAGCTTCAAGTATTTGAGTTTAAATTAATCTGGTTAGGTGTCTCCCTCAGGTTAAGTTCTTCACTAAATCAACCAAAACGTTTCAGCTGTGTACCACTGTGCTAAGAAAATAAAATGTACCTAACTCCCTATTTCTATGAAGAAATAGTATATTTGGAACCTATTCCTTAGAGAATTTTTACTCTGTTTTGGTTTTTTTTTTTCCCAGAGAATCTTTATTAGCTCTCACAGATGTCCAAACCATATACTAGTAATCAGGTAAGGGGGGATCCTTTTAATAATTGTAAAATCTTTTAAAAGGTACTGCCTGAAGGTTTCTGAATTATGTCTACTAATTTCTATATTACAATCTGTTTATTATTTACAAAATTAACTTATAAACTACTTGGATCAATCTTCATTTTTACCAAATATGAAGATATTTATGTAGATGAAGCATGTTTTAAGTTGCCTTCTAAAACACAGTACCTTTTATTATACTAAATGCAGTAACTAATATTTTGAGGAGTTTTACATGAGAATTACAAAATAAAGGGCATGAATTTTAGTGACTTGGCCAGCCAGAATCACTGTCAGTGGAGTAGTAGCATCAATGGTAAAGTATTTTCTTTTGATTTAACTCCACTAGTTTCAGTGTTATTCACATGAGTAAAACTGGGAAAAGCACAGCCTTTGAGATCAGTGAATCAAGTGGAAAGAATCCACCTTATTTCTAACATAACAACAAATTAGAGAGACTTGTGAGGCAGGCAGTATCATTAATCACTTACATGTTTTGCAGCATCCTTCTAAGAATGGCACAACGTAGCCTCCAACCTGACCAAGAGAGAAATAAAGGGGAAAAAAACCTTGATTTTTTCAAACATTCATTCCCATATATCTCAACTATTAGAAATATCTTCCAGATAAAGCTCTACATCATTATTCAGGCAAATGCAGCATTCTGGTGAATGGACGAAGGTATGGCTGTAAATGATCTGACTTTACTGTTTTCGCACAGGCAGCTTTCACAAATGCCACCACACATCACCAGCTATCAAAATAGCTCCCCCATTTGGAAAGGGAGTGACTGTGTTAAGTCTGACTCCATCACGTGTTAATAGAGTAAAACCCTGACCTCTTGTAGAGGGTATACTGACAATCCCAAAAACCTGAATCTGACTTCAGAGCAGGAAGAAATCTCATCTGAATGGGAAGCCACTGACTTCCCATAGTGGAGATTCATGTCTTAATGCTGAGCAATAAGCAGTCCCCAGAATACTGTGGGAAGAATACCTACAGCTATATTAAAAGCTTTCTCAGGATTACATTGAAGGAGAGTTCAATTTTTGACATCCAACTCAGTATCTAAAGCCATGCTAATCTCTCTCTCCACCGTAACTTTTTAGTTTGCCTAGAACAGCAAAAAGCCTTTCATCAGCTATGTAACAGACTCTCTGCAGAACCAACCCATTGTTATCTGCAAGGAAGAACTACAGCCACCCAGTTCCTTCAGGACTCTTCCCTGCTTCTGTGACATCGTTCATCAAGGAAAGTCTTCCCATCCACATGTAAATGTAGAATTACAGAGGGCGAGATCACTCCCTGTCTACATTTCCTGGCACTTAATCTAATCTCATTTTGCAAATTCAAATAGAACTTTTCTTCTTGCTCCAAAACTAGTCCATAAAACTTTATGTGTCAGTACTTAAAAATTGTTCCTGATATTCAGACAATCTTTCCCTTTCCTCTATGTTTTTGACCATTGTGCTGAATCAAATCAGTTTGATACTGGATCCGTTTTCATACACAGAAAATCAGTTAGAAAGGACACATCCACCTCAGAAAAGCATCCAAGTTCACACAGCTGTATGAAGACTAGTTTGACATTACAAGCCTCTATTAAAAAAATAAAAATAAATGAATTCTGAGAATAAGAAGACGTGACTCCAGCTGCGTAACTGGGAAGACTGGTGGCACATTATATGTGTATGGTTATAACTTTTTACCTTTAAATGGCCAGGCAAAAATGCAGGCATTGCGAGAATATATAATTTCTCCCTTCTTGAGGTAAAAAACATTTATTGTTAGTGTTAATCTTTTCACACCAACATAAACCACAGCTGGAATGCAAACAATGTATTGTACACTGACCTTTACACATTCAGTTTCATTAAAGGGTGGGCAGCCAACTGCAGAGGAAACCAGAACTGGTCCTATTGCTGTGTTAGTGCATTCATATCTGATGCAGTTTGAAATCCAAACAGCACCAGGCTGTCAAAAATTGTAAAACAGAAATTTTACTGGGCAACTCAGCAAAAATAGTATTGCAAGTATGCATAAAACAGTTTCACTGAATGTGATCTTGCATGAATCAACAGTAATACAGCAAAATGCAATTCAGATGCATGTTAAAGTTCTGTTTAAGTAACAGATTTGAAAGTCCACCAAATACATAATGTTAAGCAGGTTCTAAAATAGTTGAGTTCATGATAATTCTCTGATATATATATAAAAATCCCTTACACTTTTATTGACAGCTGTATGGTTGACTCTCCAAGAAATTAATGTTGTGTACGCGCAAAACTACTCCTAGTATTTGGCCAAATAAAGCTCTTTTTTGCAAATTTTATATGGCAACATGCATACAGTATTTCAGAATTTTTTTTTGTTTAATTCTAAATATTTTGAGGGAATAAAACATGTATAAACTCACCTTAAAACTGGAAACTGTGCCATTGCTGAAAGTGTGGAGACAAGACAAGTTCTTGCAGCTACCACAGCAAGTTGTTAAATCTTTTGGAGGCTGATAGACTTGGTTCTGCCAAAATCAAATAGATTACTCCTTGTATGAGACTATTTTGCAACTCAACATTTTATTATTGTAACAGGCAGGGGGTTTTTTAGGTATCTGATTTTAGGGATATTTTTAAAATAACTTTCAAAACTGCATAGCTTACATTCATACACACTGTACATTCATGAAGCTTTCATGAAATACCTTTGTTCTCAACTGAAGTAAATGGGGAGAAGTTCCAACTGAGAGAATGAACTGGTCTATCTACCATTTTTCAAATGTAAGTGACAGCTTACTTCAACAACCACTGAAATTTTGACTTTTTACACATCTATATAATATTCCTATGGTAATGTATCATATTTTGTAAAAAGACAATGTAACATTTGCTTATTTTATAAAGCTGTTTTCACAACTTTTAGAATTCTTATTCTATTTATAGTTACCCTCTTCTCTACTCCTATTGAGCTAATGTCTGCCAGGAATTTGTACCAGTTTGCTCATAATGCAGCTGAAGTTCTGCAGGAGGCAGTATGCTATTAACCCAAGGAGGCAGTTTCTATACACATTAGTTTGTACAAGATGTACATAGGGGAGAAAACAGTGAAGGGAGTGAGACTTTTATAAACTTCTATTAGAAGTGTGGTAGCACATCATTAGAGGGAGATCTCCTGGTTACTCTTTCCCACTTGTTCCTGTGACTGTAATCTGCTCAACAAAACCCATCACAATATAATTAAGACCATCAGTTACAATAAACATGTCTAAATTTCTGAATTTCTTACAGCTTTGCACTTGACAGCACAGTCTATCGAAGATGTGTTTATTCGGTAGTATTTAGTGGAGGGATCAATCACATTTGTACAATAAGAAATGTGGCAAATGCCATCTGCACTGTGTTCCACGATTCTCTGTCCAGGAAGCAGCACACCTCTCTCATTACTCAGGCAAACTTTGTCTCTCACTAAAGGAAAACACAAACAACATGGTCAGGACAATCAGCTTGGTATGAAAACTCCATTAAAAATGTTTCAAATAATAAAGCTGGAATGGAAAAAGCTGCTCTACCTCATTAAGAATTATGGGTCACATGCTCAAACATGAATTGTTAATCGTCTAATGCTTCCCTATAATCACCAAATTATTTCAAATATAACCATGCATGAAATCTAAATAAGCACATAATATTCTATTACCTGCACCACCCCAATGACAGTGCAGGCTTCTTCAACTGTTTTGTTTCCTAAGACTACTTCAGGATAATGTCTATTTCTCCCCACTGATTACTGAGGGCATAGAGGATAATTAGGTCAGAAGTATATATCTTTATTGTAGAAATCTAAGCAAGGACAATCCCAACTCTCTTGGCCAACTGGGTGCCCCACAGGAATTATTTTTTCTCCAAGTTTTCTCAGACACTATTTGGCATGCTTTAAGATGAATTCACATGGTGCTGAATGCTATTCCTGATCTTGTGAAGTGTGTAAGCATGTCTACCAGCTCCTGAGTAGTCTCATAAGGATTCGTGGGACTTTTCTATATATGGACATTGTGTGTGTGTTCTAGTTTCTTGCTGGAGTCCTTGCTCCAGCTCAGGAAAATGCAGGCTGCTTAGCCAACACCACTCAACTATCCTAAAACTGTCTGCTATTTCCCTGCACAAACTTCTTGTTGCAGGAACTAACAGAATACAAGGACAGGCCACAATTAACCAAATATTTAGTGAGGGGTCCTATTTTCTTGCCTTTTCTTTCACTATTTCTGAATTCTGTCAGTTAATTCTTTTCTCCTTGGTGCCATGTTCAAAGTGAACACCTGATTCTTAATTTACCTTAGCACTTGAAAGGGTATTTCTTTGAATTAAATTGTTTTCTGACTTACCACATTTGTACTTCACACAGTTACAGATATTTTCTGTACTGTTCTGAAACTGTTCATCTATCTGAAGTTTCTGCCCCTAAGAGGACAAAAGTAGAAAAAAAAATGAAATGACAGTGTTTTCTTATCTGTATGATCTTTTTCTTTTAAACAACTTTTCTTCAGAACTTGGGTAGCAGTATCTCTTGCTCCTGGTCAACAATGAAATGCAATGGCCTGCCTTTGTACAAAAGTCTCCACACAGTGTGGATTGTATTGTTTCAGAGCATAACTTAATGGATGTAAACAGTATCACAATAGCACAGATGCACTTTTTAATTTTGCCTTTTATTGTTTCTATGTAGGCACAGTAAGATTTTTCTCCTATGTTTATGCAAGTTCTGATTCCTCATGCCCAAGTTTCTTCATCTAAGAAATGAAAGTACTAACAACAATCTCACCTTACAAACCATATTGAATTTTCTCTATTAAAAAAATGGGTACTCTTTCCAATTTCTTCCTAGGACTCAAAATTATAATTTTTATAAATTATTCCTGCAGTAATATTATTTTCTGGATACAACAGTGACAAGCAAAATCCAAGCACACCTAGTACTAACTGGGAATCTAGCCCAGGAATGCTAATAAGCACTTTTTTAATGCAGAAAATGAAATACAATGAAATACACAATGAAATACAGTTTAAAGGTTCTGCTTAGTCAGCAGTCTAAGAGCATGATAAATGTTAACATATTCACCACAACAAATGGTATTAACAAAACACTGATGCACTAAAGTATTTAGTTCTAACACTTTAAAATAAAAATTTTATCCTTGGGCGCACAAAGGCAGTTCCACTCTACTAATACTCTGGGGAAGGATATGGTAATAAACTCCAGAAATACCAATGCTGTACAATCATGTTATTCTACAAGGTATTCAAACTAAACTGGCTTCTTAAAAATGGATATATCTTATTATGAAGCAATTAAAAAAAAACCCCACAGAATGATGTGGCATTTCATATTTCACTGATAAAACTATTAGTAAGATGCTGATAAACAGATTTATTAAGAAATTAATAAAAGAATACTGACAAAGAAGATAAATTTCATACCAGTTTGCACTGAGGTTTGGGGATTGTTTCACATGCACACTCTAAAACAAAATACAATAACAGAAACAGTAGTTTAGCAAGTTATATGCCCTTTGTGTAAAACAGACCATCAGAGAGAACAGAAATTCCAGATTTAAAAGTCGTCACTGAAGAGGTTCTTGAAATATACCCACCTGGGGAGTTCAGAATTATGTTTGATGTCTATGCCATTCTGAAAACTAATAGCAGCTTCTCTGACCCCCTTTACTCACTACAACAATGACAGCAGAGTATCAACTGCAGTTCACCTGAACACATTAAAAAAATGATGGCCATTCTAGCTGCTGGCCTCCTTGCAGTGGTGACAATCATTACAATCAATATAAAGCAATTGAGAATTGTGTTTAAGGCATCATAAAGACGTATGATATATATGCTACAGTCGTAAACTGGTAAACTCCTGACCTGTGAACCTAACTTATTTTTCTGATAGACAGAAATAATTGACTAACTGTGGTGGGTTGACCCTGGCTAGATGCCAGGTGCCCACCAAAGCTGCCCTATCACTCCCCTTCTCAAATACACAGGGGAGAGAAAATATATCAAAAGGCTCATGGGTCAAGATAAGGGCAGGGAGAGACCACTCACCAAATACCATCATGGGCAAACCAGACTCACCTTGGGGAAATGAACTGAATTTATTACCAACTAAATCAGGATAGGACAATGATAAATAAACCTAGATTTTAAAAACACCTTCCCATCATCACTCCCTTCTTCCTGTGCTTAACTTAACTTCTAATTTTTTCTACCTCCTCCCTGCCTGCTGTGTAGGGAGATGAGGAATGGGGGTTGCAGTGATTTCACTACATATCGTCTCTGTCATTAGAGGGGAAGAACTCCTCACTTTCTTCCCCTGCTCCAGCATGGGGCCCCTCCCATGGGAGACAGTTCTCCATGAACTTCTCCAGTGAGAGTCCTTCCCACGGGCTGCAGTTCTTCACAAACTGCTCCAGCATGGGTCCCTTCCATGGGGTGCAGTCCTTCAGGAACAGGCTGCTCCAGTGTGGGTCCCTGATGGGGTCCACAAGTCCTGCCAGCAAACCTGCTCCAGCATGAACTCCTCTCTCCATGGGTCTACAGGTCCTGCCAGGAGCCTACTCCAGCACCGGCTGCCCATGGGGTCACAACCTCCTCAGGGATCCACCAGCTCCAGCATAGGGTCCTCCACAGGCTGCAGGTGGATCTGTGCATTCCCATGGGCCTGCATGGGCTACAGGGGCACAGCTGCCTCACCACCATGGTCTGGACCACGGGCTGCAGGGGAATCTCTGCTCCAGCACCTGGAACACCTCCTCCCCCTCCTTCTGCACTGACCTTGGTGCCTGCAGGACTGTTTCTATCACATATCTCTTTCTCTCACTCTTCTCTTTGGCTGCAGTTGCTGTCATGTAGCAACTTTTCCCCCTTCTTAAATACACCGTGCCAGAGGTGCTACCACCATCGCTGGTGGGCTCAGCCTTGGCCAGCAGTGGGTCCAGTTTGGAGCCAGCTGGCATTGGCTGTATTGGACATGGGGGAAGCTTTTGGCAGCTCCTCACAGAACCCACCTCTGAAGCCCCCACCCCCACCAAAACCTTGCCATGCAAACCCAATACAAACTCCTACAACATTTTCAAGATGATAAATCACCCAGTTTGGACCGCAAATTCTACAAGATGCTATTCAACCTTTTGAAGCAAGAAAAATCAAAACAGGCAGATTAGGAAGTTCTGTGCTGTGAAATGACTTTGCTACATCATTTGTCCATGAGCAGATCACAGCGGTATAGCTGGCTGAAACCAGACTCAAAACCAAGAGACCAAAGCTGTTTTCAATATCTTATTGTCTAAGGCAACAACAATGAAAATCAGTGACTTTACCACATGTCCGAAAGGGGCAGCACTTCTCTGGGCTCCACACTTCTACCAAAGACATGCCCAGCATACATCTGAATTCAGGACAACGATGTATTTCACAAACTAAAAATAAAGAAAAGAAAGTTCAATAAATGCAAGGTTGTCATGTTTTGATGAATAGAAATATGAATCAAGATATAATAAATTACTTATAATAAATACCTTTAGAAAACATCTTATTCAAAAAGACTTACAATAGAAATGTAATTTTTAGATATCAGGTGATGGTAGCACGGAGTACAAATACTCTAAGCAAATATTTAAATAGTTTTTAAATATCCTAAATTTGGGGCCTGAATTTACTCATTTTTCTCCATAATAGAGATATTCAGATGATGCTTTACACACAAAGTTTTAAAAGTAAAGATTATTTGTTCAGGACTAAAGATGATAGCATGCTTATATGCACAAGGAAAGCAGTATTTCCAATCCACAACTTCTGGCACTGAACCTCCACACTACAAAATTTGACATACTCTCTATTATTTAGAATATCAAAATCAAGTCAAAACTTACTACATTGGTACATAGGGCAACACCTGTCAGTAGTGTTACCATCCACAATAAGAACTTCTCCTTCTTGACATTTGGGTATTTGATCAGAGCAAGCCGCGCATGCTGAAAAAAACAATTATTTAAATCTAAAACATAGGAAGAAATTTTACTACTGCCTACAAAACATTCCCATAAGTTTATCACAGACCCATATGGAAGAGAACAGAGGTACTCTGCATTCATTCCTTATAGTCCCTATACAAGAGGTTAATTCACAGTGCAGCTTGCCTTTTCCTTTGTCCCCTCCTGTAAAGAATGAATACATTGTGACCAAACATGATTTTCCCTCCTTTTTTTGCTATGAAAAATTTTGCTAGGTTTTCTCTCCTACTAGCTCGCACTGTTGTTTTCTGGAATCTTTGATCCCAATTAAAGGGCATCTCCTGTGATCCCAGTGTTATCTTCCCACTTGAACACATATGAAAACCACAACATGTACTTTTCAACATGTACAGTATAAAGACTCATTATATCAAAAAAGAGTCAGAAGGATGCTCTGCAGACAGTGAGAAGAGCCAAACACAGCACATTGCTACCACATGATCAAAGTAATCCCCTGATTATTGTAAATAACAGAAATGTAATTCACTTTTTTATTAATGTCCAAATTTTTGCACATGGAAGTGCTAATCAAGGCAACTGGGCCTTTGAATCACAGATATCTGTGCAAAGATAAACTTAAAAAAACCTGATTATCACATTACTATGCAGAAGACAACTGTTTAGTAATATCGGGGCTCTTATACTAATGCCAAAAGTGCAATTTTATTATTGAATTAAGTCATTAAAGGTCAAAACCCAAAAGAACTTAATAACTTTGCATATTACTCTCATTTGGCATATTTATCATTGATTAAGATGGACCATGGCTGATACAGCAGAATATAGGGAGTAAAAGCAGTCTTCTTTCAGCCTTCTTTCAGACAAAATATTCATGCAGCTAATTCACACCCTGTACATGGACAGCCTCTCAAAAGCCCTGAATTCCTTCATTCCTCATCCGTGGACTCCACCACCACTCCTCTGCATAACCCATGAATACTATTCAGTTGCACAGAGGCGTTCTGTGACTTTTCATGGTTGTTGCCATTTCTTATGTTTTGTAAAATTAATGCCCATTGTTTTAACCACTTTCAAGCCTTACTAGGTCAGGAGAGCTAAAGGAGGTACAAGGAGCCTTAATTTGCAAGGTAATAATAAATAACATTGCATATGCAAAAACACACTTATAATGTCAACCAGTCAGGCTACTGTACCACATATATAGGAAATGCAGCAGGTATTCTCCACCCGAGCAGCAATTAGTGTTTGATCATCCTGGCAGCTTGGTATCTCCTCCATTGGTTCACATTTTTCTGGATCACATTCTGAAAAAAGTACAACAAATGTATTTCCTTATATGAAGCTCAGAATTCCTCCTTTGTTATGCTATATTCCTAAGACAGGCAGTGCAGAGCAGAGAGATACTACAAGCTGCTTCAGAAAAAAATTCTACCTTGTATCACAAGAGAGCAAAGACATTCTTGCCTTATCAGTAAACACAAGACTCCATCATATCTGCTCAAACTGAGGCACAGACCAACCCCAAGCTTTTAGACTAAAGCAAATTTTGTAAATGGCCATACTAGCAATGGTATCTACACTAACTACCTTTGTGCATCCAAGTTGATCTATTTAGTTTACTGAATGTCTTTTACAGGGTGGACTTTTTTACCTTTTGAAAAGAAACCTACCACAAACGTAGCTGGGACAACAGGATTCTTCACTGTAGTAAGTGACCAACTTTTCCAAGGCATTACACTCAGGGATTAGGTGTTCACAGAGACTCTGATTACAAACTGTTACATACAGGGAAAGAAAAAAAAATAACAACTACCTTCTAAACTATGCATTTTTAAGTCAAGTAGATCAGTGACAAGCAGTATGTGCAGTTAGATACCCTAAATCTCCAAATAACAACATGCATATGAAATCACAATGAACTAACAAAAAATCCCAAGGCAATATTAAGAAATGTCCATCATTTGCAGCACTCTCCATGGAGGCAACACTAAACTAGAGTTTAGTGAGAATTGAAAAAATAAAATTCTGTGGAAAACTCACTGCATCATATCAGGTGATCAAAACATGGGAAATGAAATTTCTTTTTGAAGATGGGCTTTCTAAGCTAAGTAAGGATTAAAAGAAAAAAATCCACTTTTCTATCATTTTTTACTGCTCACTTCATAAATTTGACAAACAATCACCAGAACACTTTTTCTCAGAATTACCCATATCTTTTGCTTGTATTCAGATGTTAAAAATAAAACAGTAACCTTTACAGCTGACAGAAACACAATTCATATCCAAATAAACATAGTGTTCTTTTAGTCCTCTTAACCCTCATCTGTACCTCTGCCTCTGCCCCAAAACCTACTGGATATTGAGTCAAACAGTAAAAAGTTTCTACAATTTTCTATGTAATCTGTTAATTCAAAACAAAGTCATTTCCACTTGCTTCAAAAGTAAGATATGTAATGGGAAAAAAAACCCAACCACAGAGTAAAGATATCTGCATATTTCAGTGGCAGTATTCATAATCACTAAGGAATACTTACTACAGATCTTCTGAGGACAACATGTCTGATCACCAGGAACATGCAAGGTCACTTCTGCAAATCGCTGACAGTCTAAATTGTGGGTATCTGAACAGTTGTACTCCACTGGAATAATAGTCTCACTGTCAACACATTTTTGCATACAGCATCCACTCAAAGAAGTGTTCCAGATCTCACCCACTGCGTGAGGTGTTCCTGAGCTGTCTGTACAAGCTAGATCAGGACAACAGAAAACAGAAGTAATCCTTTTTTACTTCAAATTTTGACCACCATTTTCTATGAAGTCTAAAAATCTAAATTTTAAAGGTTTCACCCATTTCCATCACAAGAAAGCGAAAGAGAAGACAGGCTGAGACTGAGTTCCTGTGGGAAAGCAAGACACTCAGTATCCTCCAGAAGATCTGGGCCTCCACTTTGTTTTGTATCTCCACACAAAATACTTTTATATTTCACACATATCAAAACTATTACTAATTTACGGTGCTTTATGTAGTCTGATTTATTATAATAAATCTTAATAAATCTACATCTTTAAGGTTTGTGTTGTTAGGCATTGGTTTGCTATTTGGTGTGCTGAGGCAGAATTATAATAAACGTGAATGCTGGCAGAAAGAATATAGGACATATACATGTATTATTCAAAATGTATAATTAACTGTTGCTGCATAACTTTTGAATGCCATTTAGTATTGAAAGGCTGGACCCTTGGCAAAGGGCTTAGGTAAAAAGGAGGCCAAAACTAACACGCTTAGAATACTAGAATGCATAAACAAAGACTTCCATTTTGAAGAGCGCTCTTCAGCTGAGAGGTGAGCAAAATTATATATCACAAAGACATTCCCTGCTTGCTCACCTGCACAGTTAATGTTTGCTGAATGTCTAGAATCCTCAACTGAATGACATATGCAAAACCCACACAACACCAAACCAGAACTCAACTTATTAATAATGAAGTATCTGACCACCAACTTGCAGATAATAAAGAAGAAAATCACATCCAAATATACCACATTTTTCTTCAGGAATACAGACAGCAGTATGAGTTCGGTGAAGGATGGTCCCTCCAGCACACACACAGCCTTCTGTCAACACTGAGCAGGAGTCTGAATCCAGAGAAGCAACCTCATTATTCTGACAACTATCTGGAACCTCACAGGCAGCTATACAAGGCTGATATGAGAAGTTTTCTGAGCAGGGGAAGGCTAGAAAGGAAATAAACAAATCACACATTCTGAAGTTGTAATCACATGAGGCAATACCTAAGAGAAGAAATTACTGATTGTCTTGTCAACTTCCTGTGCTTGCCAATTCAGTCAGATCTACCAACCTGACACACCAATACAAACCAGTTACCTTCTACATGACAAATTCAATCAAAAGGTATTTTCAAGCACTTTTACTTCTCTTCTTGTAGTAACATTTTCATCAGGCCTCGGTTTGCTTTTTGGCAGTAGAGATATCAAACCATGTCAACAGTGTTGACACAAAATAATTCAAACTTCAAAAACCTTTGCAAATACTACACAGATCAGTAATACTGTTCATAACTTATTTTTTTGTGGCTTTCTCCTTTCCGCAACCAATTCTGTTGTGTTTTGTTTTTATCCCTGGGAAGTGACTGAGAAACAAACACTACATTGCAAGAGAGAAGATTTAACTTCCGCATAAATGTACATAATAAACCAGAGGTGGACTTGTGAGCAAGGTTCTTCAGTTTACCTTTTCCATCTTTGAAATGGCTATAATGGTCCTGATTCCTTCTGAATGCTGTTTGGAGTGTATAGTAAAAAGTGCTAAATTTCTTATCTCAATAATAATTCCAAAGTACACGAAGACTCAACTGGCATTTTCAACTTACAGTAACTCTGGTACTAGGCAAGTTTTGTCTCTGTGAGCACTAGAGGTGCACACATATGCAGAATACTTACGGCAGTAATCAGAGCTCCTCCATTCTATACAAATATTAAATTTGTTGCACATTGCCACATAGGCAGCTAGGGAAACGCATGGATTTCGAATGTACTCAGTGTCTTGAACCCATATATCACAGAACAGCTCAGGTGGAACCTAACAAAGAAAAAAAAAAGATATGGCGCCTTCATAGAGACTATGCTGGGTGGGAAGAAGACTGACCTTTTAAAGTGCCAGCTACAAACAATGAAGCCAAAAGTTCTTGGTTTATAGTAAGCCTTCATTAGTGTACAGAGGCAATCTACTAGTATTTAAAAGTAAGACTTTCTGAATGTTGCCATCCTTATATTCCTCAGTTTCATCTCTTATAAGTGACAAAGTAAGAGGTAATACAGTTTTTCCGATAGAAGGCAAAATTACTTGTTCTTTGTTCTTCCTTGCCTCTATATTTTTACCTGGTTTTGGCTTCCTCTTTATCAAACTCAACAATATACAAAAGGTCAAATGGTAATGCACTCATATGATCACAAATAATTTATTTGCACACTGTGAGTTTGTTATTTGCCTTAGGCTTGCTTTATAGGATCTGTTCTACCCTTTCACATCTCTGAGCTGGAACTGTGTCTCTAGAGCCTTTGAGAATGCAGGTTCTCAGATTACGTATTGCAATTTGGGACTTGTTAAATTGCTGAAGGCTTAAGGATTAATTAGATTCTAAAACTATTTTCTTTTACTTTTCTCTACGTCTTATTGATACAGTTGAATTAGCTGAGACTGGTTTTTGAATTAGGTGTTGTTTCAAAACTAACAGATGAAGTTCTGAAAGTGTTATTGCTAACTGCAACTCTCCTATCAAGCTGCCATACTCTTCAATTAGTTCTACCTTGCAACTGTAGATACAAGATAAAGTATACATCTCATTCAATAGATGTGTTTACATGCAGTCTCACATTAATGAAATTATCAAGTATGCAAGATTATATCTGAACTGCAGCTCTCTCAAAGTGTAAGCTTCGAAATAGTTAACATACATAAGGATGACAGCTGCTGAAGGTCTGGTTCAACACCATTCTTAAGCACTCTGAGCAGTCTGTGAGTGAGCAATTAGTTTCCTGATGCCTGTCTTCTCCAGCATACTTTAATGTGTCTGGCACTTGCCAGCTGTCTATAAAAGTCGATGGTGAACTGCTTTTGCTTAAAACTGTCCTGTTGGGTAGCATCAAGTCGTTTTCCAAGGTTCTATCACAAAACCCTGTGAATCACCAGAAGGAAAAGAAAGGTTAACACCATGTGGTTCATTCTGAAGAATATTTGAAGTGGTATATTCAAACAAGTAAATAGCTTTATAAAATCTTATACAACATAACAGTATCGCAACCTACAACAGATGTAGAAAGCCTTTGGTAGGATCAAAACACACAAATTTCAGAAAAATTAAGAAAAACAAAAGTAAAGATGCATCTATGAGTGGAAATCTATTGCATATCAAAGAGCTGTTCAGAAAGCCCAGCTATGGCACAAAACTTCACCCCTCAGTTGCACAGGCACTAAACAAAAATCTATTTTAAAAAAGGTTACAAAGTACCTCTGTGTATAGCAACAAATTAAAACTGTAAATGTTGTAAGAAAAGGGAACTCCCATAAAATGCAAAGATGCTTATCTAATACTGTATTCAGACTGTATCATACTGTATCATACAGTATTTCATACTGTATCATTCTACTTATGCTTCTGAGCAATCTTAAGCATCTGTTGGCTGAAGAGCTACCATAGAAGTGCAGCTTTTGGCACTTCCAGGTATATCTATATTACCACTCAGTAGGAGAAAAAAAAAATCCAACTTTTCTATATTTGCTTCTCAGAAGGCAGTATCACCTTTCCCCCCACCCCCCCGTTTTAGCTAAGATAGCTGGCAGTTTTGAAACACTTTGGAGCAAAAGAAGCAATGTAACATGGAGGGTGAGTTTGGTCAACACAGAACATCCAAATATTACAGTAGCCTCCTCAGAAGGTCCTTTAAAAGATAGCAGGTAGAAGAAAAGCAGAATGATGGATGAGACCCCAGTTCTTTCTTCCTAATCAGTTTCTGAGACTTTTATATCAGACTTTTAGAATGTTTTTTTCTGAAGTCTCCACAAACACAATCCTAAATCTTTATCTGTTCAAAAACTATTTGTGGATTTCACTCTTTTCTAAAGAACTGGTCTGTTTTACCATTTTTCACAATCCCTTATGACAAGAGCAAGTCATTGACAATCAGAGATACAGCAACAGGCATTCAAAGAGTAAAACAGCTTTTCAAACTGTAACCTTTATCTGATAAAAAATGTTTCTGGTTGAACCTTTTGAGGTTCCTATCTGCAACACAGATAGGAAGTACTTGATGGTTTTGAAAGACTTCAAAGGATTGCTGTCATGTCAGGGATATCTTTTTTCACTTCTCTTATACACTGACAAGGAGATTTAACACAGCAAAACTAAGGCTTCACATTTGTCTTGGCAGGATCTGGTTACAGCTAAAACTGACATTCTTGTACTCTCTTTCACCAGTTTTGCTGTAGAGATGTCAATGTTCCCTTCCCAAACCCCTCCTCTCCCCTACCAGCTCTTCACCAGCTGCCACATTTGGCCAACCCTTGTACTATAAAACACACTGTTGTCTCTGACATGAATCCTTCCAAGGGAGGATTGTACCACAAAACTGCAATAGTGTCTTGAGGTTTAGCATTTCCATGAAGCTGAGAAATCAGTATCTACCAATACTGCAGTTCAGCTGAAAGACATCTGAGAAAGGTCAAATACAAGTAGCAGAATTACACAGAAAGCATAGGAGATCAGGGTAGACTAATTTAGCCTGAAAAGATGCACCACAAGAAGCTCACTTAAAGCAGGCTCTGTAAGTTGCACCAGACAGCACAGTGCAGGCAGACCTACGCAGAGAATCCCAGTCAGAGAGGAATATCAGAAATACACAGCACATTCTCTGAAGAAGTTGTACTTGCAACATCATCCACAGAAATGTGTTGTCCTCTAGTCAAAATGCCTTGTAAACCAGGAATATAGTGTTCTCAGTGCTCCCTATCACAGTAATCAAACACATAAAGGCAAAAGAAACTTTCTGGATAACTTGAATCAGGCTTACTAAAAAAACCACAGTCTTTACTTTCTTGTTTCTGTTTGATCTAATCACAATAACAACTAGACAAAGAGAGCAAGAACGGTTCTGAAAACAAAAGTTAGGGCAAATTACAGATAATAATCCAATTTCAAAATGGCACGAATTCAAACTTTGTGAGAAGCACTTTACTGTCTTCAGGACTTGAAACTGGACTGAGCTATCGCTGGTATTTGATACTGAGCTCCAGGCATTTGCCCTTTCTGAAACTGGAAAGATATCCACTGCAATTATATGATCTCTTTAATCCCATTTTCCAGCTCCAATTTACAGCAGATAAATTTACAGATTCAGCTAACACAGTGGGGATTTACATCAACAAATACATGCTTGCAAAGGCTATAACACCCATAGCTTATTCAAGGTTATGCTTTTTAGAAAGAAAAAAAGTAGGCAAAACTATTGAACTGACCTAACAGAGTGCAACATGATGTTTATTTAACCTGTTACTATTAAGAAATTCCCTCTGAACTATTTCCTCCAACAGATAAACAAAGATTAGTTCTCTCAAGTTAACATTTCCTGAGAAACCTGACCTTTAGAAACTGAAAATAGCACATATCACTTCCTATCAGATGGATATCAAATGCTATACCTGTAAAGGACCTATTTGACATTATGGACTTATACCTGTCTTATTTATTTGGATTTGGTTACAGCAATCACGTCTGGGATTCAAACAGGTTACAGACAGGAGCAACACTAGGGGCAAAAAGTGATTACAGGGATAGAACTAAAAAAAATTAATAATAGACTCATTTTAATAGTATCTTAAACTTTGCAATGATCTGCAATAACTCTTTTGGGACAGATCCTGCAATAAATATTTTATATAATTAGGAAAATGTGTCTCCCTAGCAAAGCACCTGAATGCCTTTATTGCTTACACTAGTCTATACTTACCACATAGTCCCAAAGTGCTTGGTTCTCTGCTACTATTAAACTCAATAATCATCACACCTGTATTGTGAAACCACTGAATTCTGATTTTTGATGGGGTCTCAACCGCATACTTGAAGCCTGAATCTTCAACTTTGTACCCATATTTTCTAACAGTAGGCCAAGCAGATCTTGAATTTACTGTTATCTAAAAGACAGGCAGAAGAGAGGTTAATTGTCGGGTAGAAGAACTAAGGCCAGATTCTCAGCAGCTTAGAAATCTAAATCATAACCAATTTCAAAAGAAGTCAGGCTCTCCTCAACAAAGGTAATATAGGCACCAAAGGGACTAAGAGTTTATGTGCCTTACTCTGTGACTTACCTCAGTAACTGTCCTTATATGACAGTTTGGCTCTCTGAATTTAGTAGGAGTTTACTAAATTACGAAATCAACAAGTTATATGACCTTTTTTGTTCTATATTAATCCTCAGTATGCATGTGAGAAGGCAGTTGATTACAGAAGTAAGATGTTATCTAAAAGAAAAAGAAAAAGCTTCATAATACTTACTTTTCTACTTAAACGATTGATAATAATTTGGTTTGATACATAGGTTAGATTCAACGTTGCCAGGCACAAAGAAGTTGAATTTGAATTACTCTGTGGAGAAAGCAAAAATACATTAACCATAGTCATGATGTGCAAAGTCTTTCCATGTTAGCTGCTTACCCTTTTTAGGCACTGGGAAATTAAGGATTTTTGGGGGATATATTATTAAGAAAGGAAATCCATTACTGATTACAGCTTCAAGTCAGGACTACAAAGTTTATCTGGACAGCATTCTTGTAAAATAAACAAGGAAACTACTGTGAACCCCTTGTTTTCAGCAACTGTACTGTATCATACAATCTTTTGATTGTATGATACAATCAATTTATACAATTGATACAATTACAACAGAAATACAGGTTTTCAGGGGAAAGAAAATCAGTGGACTAGTTGTTTGGACACCAAAGAATATGAACTCCCTGCCTGAAGGTGAGCAAGAATGAGACTGGGAATGATGTATCTCTGTGATATATGTACAGTACAGAAGTAATGGATCAGAAATACATGCATAATTCCTGAGCTAAAAGGCACTGAACAAACCAGAAAGTACTGAATGCAACAGGAAAGCAAATCTGAAAGTCATAAACACATCTTTTTCAAATCAATCATACTGAACTCTTGAAATTAACTTCCATAAGGTGCTACTTGGGACCAAACTTTGTAATGGACATTTATATGGATAACAAAATTACCTAGCTTTCATGGAAGAGACTGGAATTTAAAGAGTTTTGTAAAGGCTCATAAGAAATTAACTTTTCATGACAGAAGCCAATCCACACTACCCATTAGACAGGATGCCCACTAGGGTTTCTCCCTTCCTCCCATGTCAGAGACTCAGAATGCACAGGGTGATCCAATTCGGTCTGGCATTCCTACAGTCTTTTATGGCTCTGAAGATTGCTGTTTTCAGTGTGCATATCTCCACATGAACATAGGTAAAAATCATGCATTGAAATACACTGGTGATAAATACCAACTATGGTGGTATTTGTTAGGTGACAGCACTCACAGAAGTGACTGGTGCTGCGTATCCACTTAATCTCTCACCACCTTGTCTCTATTGCACATACAATAAAATAACATGGATCTACTTCTCATCTTCCAGCTGTCTCAGAAGCAACTATGCATATGCAGTCAGGTGATAAAGTGTTATACAAACTGTGAGTGTTGTAAAATGCAAGTACAATTCATAGATATTGCACAGAAGTGAATAACAACCACAACTCTGTAGTATTACTATGCTCTTGCTTTTAAGATATATCTTACTAGTAGTACCAAACACCTTCTGTTAGCTGATAAATGTTAGTTACCATTCTACAGTCAAGGACATGGATGGTTATAGTTTCATCTTGAGTTTGACTAACAATGTAGGATGCTTCTTTGAATAAAGCCAAATGATTTCCATCATAGGTTACAATGCTCAGATCAGAGAAAATGGTGCAACGACCTGAGGGAAAAAAACCAGTAAATTTTTTTCTAACTTATTTTAGAATTTCAGTAAATATTACAAAATATGAAGATAAACAAATGAATTTTAGAAGATTAGCTTACTAGAGTTTCATATATGCAACACATATTTTCAGCTATATTTGATACTGTTTCATCTCTGTAAATGGACAGCAGAGTCAAATCCTGCATATCTCAGGGGGACAACTTGCAGACTTCTGCAGTTATCCTTACAGATCTTGCCAGCAAGGGTTTGCAACTTTCACAAATGCTAAATTAGGAAAAATCATGAATGACAGTAGTTCCCACCAGATCCTTAGTTCCCTTCTCATCTTGTTCCTAAGGTGGAAAGTTTCTATTTCCCAGTCTCATTGCTAAAGCTTTTGTGTTTCAAAGGGCTTGGAGTTCTACTCCAAGTTCTTTCAAACTTTAGAGCACAACTGGAAACTCCAATTGCTTATCTCTGCATACTTTCCTTGCTATTATGTACTAAATCAAACTGTCTTCAAGGTTTGGATTCCTTCTCCCCAATTCCAGGTAACTGATGGGAGTGACTACTGTACAGAATCCCCAAACTGCTAACAGAGATAACAGTCTGGGGAATCTTCTCATCCTCAAGTAGATATAAAATGAACCAAAGAATCCACTGACTATATTGATTAAGTGTCCCCTGATTAGACCAATGACAAGATGGGTCTAAGTCAGACTTGGACATATTTACTGCAGATACCTAAAGTTGAGTAAGAGGAATATCCTAAATTAAAAGAGCATTTTGATTTAATTTCCCTGGATGTACAACTAGAATTATAACTTCCATTAGACAATGAGTAACCCCTACAGTGTGCATCTTCTATTTCTATGCTATGGTACAGAAGTGTCAGTTCTTAGCCTTCTTACACATGCATTAAATTGTTACCTGAATTCACTTCAAAGGTACATAATTAAAACTTACATGCACATTCCCACTTTGGGCAGCATTTGTCACCATTCACTTGAGTGGCAAATCCTAAAAGTCCACAGCTGGGTTGAGTTGCATTGTATGGGCAGTTCTGGGACTTATTAACTTGGATCAGTTGTCCATCCAAGCAAATGTGTTTTATGCACTCATTCTCTGTGATTGGCTAAGGCACATTTAATAAAAGACACAGGTTACCATTCTTATCAATCTAGTATCACAATATTGTGAAGTTTTTGTTTAAAAAAGGGGTTCACATTCTTCAGGTACAGAATACCTGTTGATCCCTATGACACTCATAGAAGCTACAAGTGAAGAGCATGTTGAAAACATGACCATTCTGAGGACACATTAACACTGCTGTCCTGTTGTAAAGGTGAGAACAGCACTACTGAATTTTTAACTTTACTTTGAAAAAAGTTGAAAAGGAAAAATACGGAAGGGCACAAGCAGGCATAATAACAGGGATCTCTGGAAAGATATATTTTAAGGAGAGTGACATGACAAAAGTATATAAAAGCACCATTTTTGCCAAAAAACTCTTGTAACAGTCACACCTCAGCAAACTGAGGAACAAAACTGAGTACAGTATAGCATTTAGAAAAAAAAACATTTTGCGCAATGAAATCATCCAAGATTTCAGATGTAATTGATAACATAATTGGGCTTCCTGCTTGATACAGATATTTTAAATTCTAAAGATCAAGGTATGGCTCACAATTTTTTTTAATTGGTGTGTAAAAGACATATTCCAAAACAGACAGATAAATACTTATAGCTACTCACTGTACAAGTTTGAAGAGTTGCTGTTTCTTGAGGCACCATAAAAGGTGATGCTGTGACTCTTGACACGGCTTCAGCTGTTGCCAGTCCATCAGAAAGTGTTATAGTCAAGTCACGAAGTGGTTTGGTAGATAAATAGGCAAATGAGGAAACTGATGGAGCTGTTGTGTCATTTGGATGATCAGGTATCATTAGCAGTGAACTCACAGAAGGTGTTTGCATCTCAGATGATATTTCAGGTTTTGAACTTTGAGTAGTACTGACTGATGATGCAGCTGTAGAAGAAAATGGTTTTGATTCAGGAGATGAATGTATAGTAGACAGAACTGAAGTTTTGTTTGTGAAATATGGAGAGTAAAATGTCTGAGGTGTTTCTGGGGTAACAGTAACACCCTGAGTAAGAACAGGTTGGACTTGTGTTGGTAATTGTGGCTCTTCAGATTTTACTGTGTCAAGGGGCACAGCTCCTGTTGCTTCTGAAGTAACAGAAGTGGGCTTCATAGCACTTGTGATGGGTTCTGTGACCGCTTCTGCTTTGCCTAAAATTGCTGATGCAATACTAAGATTTTGCCCAGCACTGCTTATCATTGAAGAGGCTGAAGCTGCAGCTGTACTTGCTACAAACGTGGAACTGAAGGTGGTGGCTGAAGGTGTGACCTGCTTAGGTAACACTGCAGTTTTCTCTGTATCGCTTTTGCTTGTTGATGTGGATGGCCCACCCCCCATCACAATGGGAATTTCTGTTGTTTCTGGTAACAAAACCATTGAAGAGGTTGACTTAGGACCTGGTGAAGATGAGGTTGTTTCAAGTGTTTGTCTTGAATCAAGTGATTCAGAAAACAAGGCCTGGTGTGTGAATTTTAGATCCGTAGCTGCCTTTTGTGTGGAAAATGAAGGAAATGGCTCCTTTTTAATTGTTGTTAAAGAAGAGGAAGTTGCAAGCACTTTTGGTGAGAAAGAGGGAATTTTGGTGCCAAAAATAAAGTCAGCTGTTGTTCTAGTTGGGACTGTAGACTGCAAAACAGAAGTTCTCAATTCATGTGGCTGCGTGACCGAATCAGTTAAATGCAAATATTTTTCAGTTGGTAAAATAACTTTTGTAGGACCTACTGAGGAAGGCAATATACTTGAATGAATGCCCTCTGGTAGCGAGGTCATTAAGGGGTATAAGGAAGGCAGTTTTGCTGTAGCTTCAGTCGTGCTAAAGACATGTTGTGGCTGATCGGTGGATTTTGTTAGTGTTTCTGCAGGATATTGGTAAACTGGGGTAATGCTCTGGCTCATCAGGGAAGGTTCAGAAGTCCGATGATCAAGTTCCATAATCTTCTGAGTAGAAAAATGTGGTATAACCATGGTCTTTGTGGTCTGTACTGAAGATGTCTGCCAAGAGAAGGGGCCTGCTGAAGATGGGGGCAGGGATGGCTGAGCTGCAGCTGCTGTAAGTTTCACTGTATCTGTTATACTTTGGACTGCAGGTTTCAGTGCTGTAGAAACTGTTTTAGTTTCTATTGAATATTTTGGTCTGGTTGTTACTTCTGGTATCCGTTGTGTTAAAGGTGAAGAAACTGATTTATCTCCTAGATACTGAGAGGCAGAGAAAGTGTAAGAAGACTTTGTTACTGGAAGTACAACGGAAGGGGACAGAGAGGGTTTTTCTTTGCCTGTCATTACTTTTGTGGTTGTTGTGAGCTGGCTGCTCAATTCAGAGGATGGGGAGATTGTGGCATTAGTGATATTCAAAATGGCTTTGCTTGGTGATACCGTTGTTACTAGACTTGATTGTTGTGTTATAGTGGATAAAATAGAGAAAGTCAGGACTGGAGAGGTCTTTGTTGTTAACATAGATTTTTCTATCGTTGTTCTTGGGTACAAAGAGATTGTTTCATGGGATGTATGCATGGGACTGAGAGTTGTCAGAGATATTTCTTTTCCATCTGAGGGTAGTGAAGGAAGAGAAATGTTTAAAGGGATTAGAGAACTTGATGGTGAAAAAGTCAAGGCAGATGGCTTTCTAGTAGAGATGGTAGTAATACTTTCCACTTCTGATTTATCAGGCTGTGTTGTCAAGAATGTGGTTTCAGTCCCACTAAGGAGAGCAAGTGGAGATCCAGTGACGGATGTTCTTTGAGATGATTCTCTTTCTGTAGCTACAAAAGGAACTGTGGTGGTTTCTTTGGTTTTCATTTCTGATGTGGTAACACTACCTGAATATGCTGAAGTGCTTGTCTTCGCTGTACTTGAAACCAGAGTTGACTTGTATTCAGTAGATGCTTTTCCAGAAAACAAAGTTGTCTTTGCTGCTAATTCAGGAGGGGATGTTATTCTGGATGTTTCCTTAACAGACAAAGGTGTCACTCTGATAGTCTCAGCCACAACAGGATACTTCGTGTATAATGTAGTCAGGAACTGTGTTGTATTTAGAACTGTGTATGAGGGGTAACCTGTAGTCGAAACAGTTTTAAATGTTTTTTTAAATTCACCTGAAGCTGGAGAAGCAGGAGTAGGAACAGATACTGAAGGTCTTTTTGTAGAAAGAGTGAAAAATTTTTCAGTTGTAGAACTAGGGTATAGCGAATATGGAGGGAAATAGGAACCTGATGTATGCTCCACATGAGATGTTGTTTTGGGAATTTCCTTTTTATGAGTTGCAAATGATAAAGTTGTTTCTGATGATCTCTCTTGAGTTTGTACAGTTGTCTTCTTTGGACCTAGAGTTGTAGTGAAAGGTACCTCTGGAGTACCAGTCAGGTGCTGAACCATTACAAAAGGAGGTTCTATAGTTGCCTTTCCTAATGAAATAGATGGCATAGATGTTGGTGAAAATGTTGTCTTCACAGTTTCCTTGGTTAAAACAGCTGTTGCTGAAGACACTGGTTTTAATAAAGATGAAGTAGTGAGCATAGGAGAAACTGATGTTACTGTAACATTAGTTACTGTGCTAAAAGACTGTTCTACGCTGATTTTTGTCCCTTCCAAAGTTCCTGTTAAGTTTACTGGTGTTGTATATGAAGGCACATCCAGAGGTGGTGATCTGGAAAACTGTGGCACATAGGCAGTAGTTTTATCTGTTATTGATTCAAATGAACTGGGTGTAAACCTTATAACTCCTTCTGGCTTCACTTGTGCTTCTTTTGTGGGAAGTGTTCTTATGGCTATTTCTGATATTTCCACTGTTTTAGTTTTGACTGGCATTTCTGTTGTTCTAAGTATGAGCGGTGTCCCAGTAAAAATAGAAGTAGCAATTGGTTTGCTTTCTGATTCTGTGCTTGTAGTCACTGCATATGTAGCAGTTAGTGTCTGAGGTTCTGTGGCCCTCAATAGTTTAGTGGAACCACTACTGATCACTTGTATCTTTGTGGAAGTTTCTGAACTGACAGCTGATGGAAACACAGGAGAAGTGTCAACAGAAGCAAACAAGCTTACACTAGATTTTGTTGTCCCAGATATTGCTGTAGTGCTTCCCCCAGATGTCATTTCTGTTGACTGTGATGAAATGTTTGATGATAAACTTATTGTTGGAAGTGTTGTACTAGATGTAACAGCTGAAAATTCAGTTTTCCCTGTAGTTGCAGTAAGCTGCAATTTTGCAGCAAGTGTTGTTTCCACGTCCTTTGCTTCAGGTACATGAAACGAAGTTAACACTTCACTGATCGATGCCAAACTTGCACTTGATGTTATGTGTTGAACTGCTGGTGTTTGAATGCTGGGAGGCAAAGGTGGAATATCATCTGCAGGTTCAATGCCTGAAATCAGACACAAGAAAACAGTCTGAAATTTATGAATAATTATAGTGATGAAGTTAGCTTAGTTACAGGTTAACTCATAGAACCGATCTCTTCAATTGCCTTTAAACTTCTAAAGCTCGTAGAAAAATTAAAAAATAAATTCATTCAATCATTTGCTTGAAATATAATGTTACTGAAATGTTTTGAAGCAAGAACACCTTTCTTAGTTTAAAATTTGTCTCATATTTTTGACGAATGAAATTATTTTAACAAAAGTGTATGTTTAGTGAGCTCAAGATTCACGTAACTAAGGCACTGATATTTGAAATTATGAGTAAAGAACTAAGAAATTAATAAGCTAAGTATAATACATAAAATATATCATTTTTTCAGACATACAGTCTTCAAAATACACGCATCTTTGAGTGATTTCATCCAGCAACATATTGAGAGGGCAGGCAGGGATACATCCTTCCACTCTAAAAGAAAAACAGTTATTATTAACTAGATGAACAGTATCTTCCGGATTGAGAATTTAATTTTAGAAAAATGGAATTTATATTTAAAGTATGTCTGGTTCACCTCAGTGTACTCCTTCAAAATGTCATTGCCATGACTTCCATTCTCACTCAGACCTAAGCTAAAGCATAAACTCTGTGATACTCAGCCTTTGAAATTAACAGTCACAGGTTCAGTAGTGAATACTATTGCTTAAGAGACACCAAACATTTTTATACGCGAAAATCCAAATGCCAGTTTTATCAGGCTTATCAAAAATTCCAACTGGGAACAAAAAGCAAGTACAGATATGGCTGTTGCTATGAGATAATGGAAATGTAGGGGCACAACTATTTGAAACAAACTTGTAATAACCTTTCTTTATTAATACCACCCCCAGGCTGTATACATACAAATATACTAGTCATTCCACAATCTGATGGTACACTAACGACGGAAATGTCACTTTTATGTAGCTGCACCAGCAGGTTTTATTCTATTTCTTTTCTCTTTGCCTTACCTCCTTACACAAGAACACAGTCCTGATATACTAAGCCTATATCTGGTCACTTATATTCCTACTAACCTGCTAAAGTATACTGCCCAAATTACACACTTTTCCATAAAAATACAGATACTTACTTTGGTACTGTTTGACAGTTTTTTCCAAAAGGGTCTCTACATGTCTTGAAACAAGGGCTTGTACAGGCATCATAATGCCATTCACAAGTAGAACGGGACAGAAATTTAAATTTGACATCTGAAAACCAACAAAGATCTGTTATATATTTCTAGAAACACACAGAGATACGTATCCCTAAGAGACATGTTTTACATTCACTGCAGCTCTAAGTCTGCTACTATTTCTACCTGTTTCCTCTACAAATAAAATTGGTAATATTTTTAACTACTAAAGTTTTTAAAATAGAAAATCAGTTTACATTTACGCAGCATATATTAGAGTATGCTTGCTCTACAGTGTGTTTTACAGTTTACAGAATAAAAAAAAAAATCATTGAATTAGCCACATTTACTGTATATTACAACCATAGGAAAATTAAAACCAGACAAGTTAGAGCTGTTGCTTTTAAGTTTTAAAACTATATCAACAAAACTATATGTTTGGTTATTCAAACAAAGTGTAAAATTAAGATTATGATGCTTCTGTACAATTATTGCTATTAGAATCAACACTAAAAGCACTATTTGGATGCACTGATACACTTTATAGCATAGGCTATCATAACAATTGCTTACTTCATGTGTAAAATTTGCTGATATAACACAAAGGTATACATAACTTGTACAATACAATTGTATTTTAAAAGCCAAAACAAAACACCATTTCAAAGTAATCAGAAATTATGCCAACTAAGGCTCTTTAAAGCAGTATATCTTAACAGCTGATCTTCTCAAAAGCCATACAAGATAGCCACTCCAAGAGAAATTCATTCAAAACCTCAAAATATTCTGAATCGGAAATTCTAACTGCTTCCATAATGAACAAAGCAACTCACTTAAGATGAAACACGTAGTCTTGCAAAGCTTAAAACATATACTGCACCACACAAAATACCAGTACCAGTAAATGAAACTGGTACCAGTAATTAAACTCTATGGCAAATTAAAAAAAAAAATCCCAAACCTAACTCAACCAAAATACAACAAAAAACCACCCCAACCTGACTTCAGAGCATCTGTGCAGATGGTGCTTACTGAAAGATTTCCAAGTCACATAATGAGAACCCAAAGTACAAGTTCAGATAGAGGAAGAGTTAAACTTCAAAGTAAGAATAAACAGAAATAAAGATCAGTTATACTTTTAGTACTTACTAAATTATGCAGAAACTTTACAAAATTAATGTAAAGAAGAAACAGAGTGTAAAATCTGAGAGGAACAAATTTATGGCAATCATCATGTGGGTGACACACACTTTTATGTTCAAATGCACTATCACACTTTCTTTTTCACTCCAGCCCTCCCCTTCTGCCTGCAGAACAGTTTCCCACACAATACTACATTAGGCCAGTGCTCTTCCAGCACCTGCAAGATTTACACAATATATCTGGACTTCAGTACCTGAACTGTGACAGCCCACCCCAGCTCCTTCTAGTAGCAGTAGGGCAGGGCAGTGACCCTTCCCTACATTTATGCCTCCAGAAGACACCATCATGATATATGGGTCTCCTCTGAACTGGTAAACCTGAGCTTAGAGTAATGTTGTTCAGACCCTACAAAGAATAACTGCTCTTAATTACATTAATCACCAGAAAGAAAATGCTAACTGCTTAGAAAGAGTTTCCATTTTTGATCTTTTAAAGTATTTTTTCTTTTAAGTTTTGCTGATCTTTGCCTGACTGAGATACAAAGAAAGTAGTTCTTTTACATCTTCTTGAAGACAGTCCATTTTTCTGTGAAGATCTTAAGAAATTGTTCTTCCTGAAATTTAGGGACATCTGTACTTACAATTAATTATCTCTCTATCATTATTAACCATTAATGTCTTCTTTTAAAATACAAATAATTGTCTTAAAAATATAAGTCAAACTCAGACAAAAGGATGTGTATGTTGCCATCTAGTGTTACCCCTTTTACATCTCACTTTATCTGCAGACGTAACTTGTCATCGCTTTTAAAAACATTATTCTTATGACAGTAACAAATGCTTTTATGAATTTATGTTCCCATAAGAAATTAAGTACATGTCACCGAATTCTTCTGTGACCCCTTCTACTGAAATCAATTTTAGTTACTTAAAATCTACTGGAGGAATTAAGGAATTATTTCCATACATTTTTCTGACTGATGTATAGGGTTTCGTACGCACTGACTGGTCAGAGCGATAAGGTTTAAGAACAAAAGAAGATACATGACAGAAAGGCAGAATACATTAGAGACCTGCTGGCAGAGGCAATCACCAACAATAGTAACAACCAGCAATAACAGTAAAGCCTAGTGGAATCCAGGAAATCTCATTCATCAGTCTACCCTAGATTAAGTGCAGAGACCAATCCACAACTTTTAACTCTTGCCACAAAACTCACCATTAACCACAGAATAAGTCTGAAACACAATAAAGGTACAAGCTTTGCAGAGGACATACTGTAACCCAAAGAAGAATGATAGTTTCTCAATTTAGCAGAACAGTGATCGTGAATTAACACTTTAAGTGCTGGGATTAACATACCATCTCCCATTCTCCAAATAAACTTTATGAAATGATAGCCATGCTTTCCTCAAGCTTTTTTACAGATTAAGTTCACAGAGTTTGGTGGTGTTGCATGCCTTGGTAGGAATTAGGGCGAATTTCTACATAAAGGCATAGCATTTGTTGAGCGGTTCATAAACACTGCTTTGAGTCAAGAATGAAGTCATGCTTGTCTGCAAATTTTGCCCTTACTTCTCCAGAAAGAACTATGGACAACAGATGAATTCACAAACCTGATCATAAAAATTGCTTTCAAAGAGCTGTAGAACCAGCTGACATTTTGTTTTCCAGTCAAGGGATCTTAGAGAATTGAGTATGCCAGTCCAAGATGTATTAGCATGTATTAGTATATAAATTACATTACAGAGCACACCAAATCCCCACAGCAAGAGTTGAAAATATTGCATTGTTTTCCATTATCTCTGAAAGTTTTCAGTATGTCTCAGTAAACCCATGAGGTATAGTGAAATCTGTGCTTTGTTATGAATTATTAGAAAATGCCTTTCAAGCATTAGGAGAACTTCAGTCATTTATCATATTTAAAGTTTTTACTACTGTAAACATCACTTCTGAAATGCCTAAGCATCCCAAGGACCTAACAATGACTGCACAAGCCACTGTAAAACAAAACAAAACAAAAAACACAGCATGAAAACAACCTCTACTCTGCACTGGTACGGCCTAACCTTAAGACCACAATATATGATTAGAAAGTGTCCAAAGGAGGGCAATGAAGATGGTGAAGGGCCTTGAGGGGAAGCTGTGTGAGGAGTGGCTGAGGGCACTTGGTCTGTTCAGCCTGGAGAAGAGGAGACTGTGGAGAGACCTCATTGTGAGGGGAAGAGGAGGGGCAGGCACTGATCTCTTCTCTGCGGTGACCAGTGACAGGATCCAAGGGAATGGTCTGAAGCTGTGTCAGAAGACATTTATGTTAAATATAGGGAAAAGGTTCTTCCCCCAGAGGGTGGCTGGGCACTGGAACAGGCTCCCCAGGGAAGTGGTCACAGCACCAAGCCTGACAGAGTTCAAGTGTTTGGACAATGCTTTCAGGCACATGGTGTGATTCTTGGGGTTGTCCTGTGAAGGACCAGGAGTAGGACTTGGATGACCCTTGTGTGTCCACGTCCCTTCCAACTCAGGATATTCTATGATTCTATGAGGATGCAGTTCCTGCTTAAAAAGTTAAGATGAAGTAGAGATTAGACAGAAAATGCAGAGGAGGAGAAAGAGGCACAGAGCCATGGTCTGAACTAACATGAAATCAAGAATAAGCAAAGAGAAAAATAAAGTACCTAGCTAAAATATAGGTTATTTTGCTTTTCTCAGTAATCTGTATATTAACTGTGACCCCAATACCCACAATCATTTAATCTCTAACGTATAAGGAAAAGCAGTAACAATGTGCTTTAAAGCCATTCAAGCACCTGTCTCCCTAAACTAAGGGAAATATTCCTTTCAGTCTCTGTATTGATTTTAGACATTACCTTCCATATCAGACCAGCCTCAGCTTTGTTACTACAATACTGCAATTCCCATGACTGAAACCACCACAGCACAGAAACTCTGAATTTTGCCAGTGTCATGGCATGAATTCTTTAGGCTAGCCAGGATGCTAATCAGCCACCTCCACCACATGCTTCCCATTTTTTTAATACTTAAATTCCCCCTCCAGCAATCATTAATACGAGATTACTGTACCCTATGCAACAGTAAAGTTCAGTCACAACAAAAGAATGATACACAGTTTACAGACAATGAATCAAGCTTCTGATATCAGGCATGTGTTCCTCAAAAGGATTCGTCATGGCATTTGAAAATATCCATGTGTCTCCTAGTGAAGTCTACCAGCATGTGTCTTCTGTTTGGTGACACAGCAAATCCTTTACAAAATGGTGAATTATGTCCTGGGTGGCAGTTGCTGCAGTTGACACACCAACTGAGCCCACAGTTCTCCTACCTAACAGGAGCTGAGCATATCAACATACTATAGTACTGCAGAAAGCTTTTGTATGAATGCAGGTATATGCACTGCCAAAGACGATATATTAAAAGATATTCCCCAATTCCATTGCTTTCTCACTTTCTTGGACATAAGAGAAGCATTTTCTTCCCTGTAACTAAGGATTTTTTTTCAAAAGTAATACTGTGACAACAAGAACAGTTGTTACCATTTAATGAAGAATTTTAATTTTTTATCACTGACAGACTGTGGTATTCTGTTGAGTCACAACCACCTTTCTTAGTAGCTTGGCCACTTTTTTGGTGTTGACAATTCCTGAAGTTCACAAGTCCAGACCGTCTTGCTTTTCTATGATTTTACCTCACAAAATTTGCCATTGTTAGAATCTGTATATTATGATTAATTGCAGATTATGCCCCCAAAAATGGCAATTTACTTAAGAGTAAACCCTAAAAGTTGAAACGTTCTAATGTTAATAAAAGGCTGTATATAAAAACAGGGTTTAAAAAATAATGAAAAAAATTAACTACTTGGATCTTCACTCTTACCTGATACTTTTTTCTGTTTTGCTAGCTTTCCCCCAAACTCCAAAAAAATTTAATAGGTACAAAAATTGCTTCAGAATTAGTTCTATTTATAACGGTAGCAAAACTCTGCTTAGTAACTTAGATTGCCTATCTCCTCAGTTACAAGTTTAGAAACATGAAATCCTATCTACCCACTTAACGTACACAAACTACCAGCAAACTCTGCTCATGACTTCTAAGTTTCTTCAACAAGAAATGTAAGCAAATATCATTGGAAAAACTAAACTTCGTGCCCAGCCAAAACATCAGTGAAAGAAAAGTGTAATTATCTACCTCTCAAATACTTACGGTTCAGTTTACTATTACAATGTTAACTGTTTAATCTCCTCCTATGCAGTTGAAAATGGGGGGTAAAACGTTTTTCTACAGTAACCTCAGTCTGATTCTGTGAGCTACCAAGCAGATGTGCTCAGTGACACACCCTGGATTTGCAGGTTCAACAGCAGTTGCTCAGCATTATCCAGTCCCAGGGCCCATGTCATGATCTTTTGGGCCAACAAAGCACATGAGCTCAAGTTAAACTCAACAGCAACTCATTATGAGTAAAACAGGACATTCTAGAAAATTAATTCTACTCATGGAACAGGATAAGAGTAAGTTGAAGTTAAAACAGTCAATGTTATTATGTATAAATCTGGCTTAAGGTGGAAAGATAGTTTTGCAAAAAAAAAAAGGTTTTTCATTAAAATTTATTAAATTTTCAGTTTTGTATTGTGTTCCCAAATGTGATCCAGTTAATTAAGATACTAACATTAAAAGGAACCAAAAATGCTCTGTATCAAACAGTGTGCCTGTATCTTGAGCTTTTAATTTTAGCTGAAAACTCTCTAAAACAGGCTGTATGTTTACAGCGAGTTAGCTATTAAAGCACATAACTAACATTACTAAGAACTTTGTTGCAAAATTTGTATAGGGCAAGTCACATTTTTATAACATACACAAAAATAACCCATAGTGATCTTAAAGGGGTGATAATTATATGAAAGATAAAAGGTAACTAGCTTGAGCACATGACTGCAGCTACATCCATAAAAAGATCATCAATTCCCTACATACACTGATTCCCCAACAATTTCAAATGTGAATTGATCACTCTTACATGACACCTCTGTGCTTGTCCATCTGGTAGGCCAAGTGCCATCTTTCTTTTGACTGAATGCATACCAACCCATTTGCCAGTAAAAATTCCTGAATAGAATGCAAAAATGTATTTTCTTGTGAGTAAGTATAGGCTAGATATTAAAATTCAGTTATCAACTCAATTTCCTCAAATGTTTGTGGGAACAGGACAGCAGACAAATCTAAGTATAACGAACATAACTCAATTTAAAAGCTGAAGTGACTTCTCATGGAAAACACTTTGCAGCCTTAGCCCATGTGCTATTATATAGTGCAATTTATAGCCAAAGTATTCCAATGCGACAATATTTATCGTGATGAAACTGGAAAAAGTGACTCGTCAGCTGACTTTAAACAGATATGCATCTATTGCTGTGGTGATCAGGTCATTTAAAATTCTTCCTTTTGAATGTGCGTCACAGCATGAAGAAGTCTCATGAGGAACTTTCTGGCCAAGGGGATTTACTGGGCCTATTATTCTGCTCCCGATATTTATCCTGTGATTCCGCAGGAATAGCTGTTCCAGAGTTTCTGATCTAATATGTAAAGCATTTACAATAGTCAGCAGGAAACTCAATATGCTTTTGCCTGCGCACTCTGGAGCTGGTGTAACTTTTCCATTAACTTAAACAAATGCTGCTGTATTTTTAGACCATGTAATTACCCTACATCAGCAGCCTGGCCCTTGTGAAAGTACACTGGAGAAAGATTCGAGCCCTATGTTTCTCTGCTTATAAAACTCTGAAACCCAAGCCCTCGGATGTGGCGATTAATGAAATACCTCTTGATCATTTGATCTGATCCTACTTGCTGAGGTAAATTGTTTTAGTTTTCCATTGGCATAGACAGGATTTTTTGGTACAATGACTGGAGGGTAAAGACTTCACACTTGAAAAGACATACCATTCTGTGTTAATGGACGACCACTGAGAATTGGAACATGTTTTAACGTTCTTCATTCCTACCTCAAAGATAAAAGACCGAGGAGATATTTTTGTTATGTCCAAAAAAAGTTCCTTGCTTGAAATGTTGTATGAACATCCTGGTAATAGCATTAGCTCTATAATTCTGCTGTCCAAAAACCTCAACAGCTCTGCGATTACAAGCATTTGTCAAGAGGCAACAGGCATTTGGCAATGACAAAATCTGTCATTTTTCTGAAGTTGGAGTGTGCCAGTCAACAGCTGCATTAGGCTGTCAGCATAATGTAGTGCAAAACACCAGCAGATTCACAATGACAGCATTAACACTTTAATTCAATGTTTTGATAACAAGAAGCTCCACGAGGCATACAGTTGGCCTCTTCTATCATAGAAGTCAGAGGCTGCTTCAGGTTTGTCTGTGCCAAGATTCAACATGGTCGCTGTAAAACACGGCCAGGCCATGCTTCATTTGATACAATATTTCATTTTCTTTCTTTGTTCGTAAAACAATTTCAGTGTCAGAGAATGAAGAGATAATTTTTAAAAATGGTATTGCCAGGAATACTTATTAAAATACTCCTGTTACCCAAATAAACAAATTGCTAATCCATTTAAAACTAAAGCACAATAAAAAGCTTTAGAACATAAAAATAAACACTTGCAGTGATCTTGGAAGTTTATATACCACACAATAGCCAGTGGATTCAGCAAGTAGTGGTTGTCACTGAATTTCATAAAGTGATATGAATACGTCTGATGTATCTGATACATCAAGGCAAGCAGAAGCTAAAGCAAACAGTGGTTTCTTGGATAATCTGTTCTGCTTTCTTTTATAGGCCTATATAACTTCTTGCATCTTTTTCTTGACCGCTAAGGCCACCTTCATGTCAGCACATGGTTCCCAAGTGTTTAGGAATACGTAAAGACAGTTATTCCAATTATTTCTTTTCCTTAATAATCTAAAACAGAAAGATCTTGATTGATAAATAGTTTTTTTTAATGTGTTTTCTTTATCAGTTCGTGTAGGAGCAACTTCTGCAGCCAGCTCCTATGAATGCTCCTAGGAGTGAGTATCTCCTTCATTTCTCATCCTAAAGTCTCAGTGGAATGGAACTATTATGGGAATGGCAATCTCTCAAATAGGTGGAAACACTCTCACAGCAGTCTGCGGTTTGTATTCAAGAGCTGTAGCTGCTCAAGAAACATCAGGGAAATGGACATCTAGATCCTCAAGAAAAGGTGAATACCTCCAACTAGATGATGACTCAAATACTAGGGGTTAACATCCCAAAAGGCAGAGCATCTCGGAGTGGGTAGTGGATAAAAGTCAAGGTGTTTTTCACGGGAAACATGACTTCTGAGGAGGCCATAAAGCATGGAATGAGAATGCACTGTACAGAAATCTCTCTCTTGGCAGCAGGCAAAAGGAGAGGAGGAGAAAACGTCATCCACAGACCTTAACTTTTAGAGATCCATTCCATTCTTTTCTATTCCCTTCGTTAATTGATTATTCATGAGCACAAATTTTCTACTCCTTAAGAATTTTGTTACCATCTACATGGCCAGTATTGCCCACAAACTATACACCAGGATATGTATTTCCAAAACCAGCTGGCAAAACAAAACAAACAAACAAACAAAACCAACTGTATGTCAAGCTATTTACTGGCTTTTCACAAGAAAACAGAATCTCATCTTCATTACAACGCTCAGGGATTTTAGAACCTTTTTAGATTTTGACCCTGCACATCACAGAGTACCCACAGGTCCCTGTGAGGTAGGGGAGAAGTAAGTAATCTCATAACCTCCAAAAATATCAACACCATTTAGGCTGGATTTTCACAGGGAGCAAACTGCTGCTCATAATATTAAATTTTAATCACCTACCTACAAGTTTAAAAAGGGTTGACAGTCTGAATTCCTCTGAATGATGGTACTTCAAAAGCTCAACTGAAGAGGATGAAATGTGGATGAAATATCCTGGTTTTGCAAATGACTCAAAGGAACTGTATCCTGAAAGCCATGTATTCTTGTGAATGACAAATGTAGACCTGTTGTGAAACTCTTCAGTTTTTTTCCATTTAGAAAGAACAAGAGTATTATTGGAGACCAAATGAAGAAAATAGTTTGGTCTCTCAGCTGTTTCAAATGAAATCAAGTTGGAATCTGAAAAACAAAATAAAATACACAGAACTCATTTACTTGTTGATATATGCATAATAAACTAAGCTCATTCTGATGTACCACTACTGATATTAGTAGTGTGAGGAATGAAAACTGACTTGGGCCTTTCCAGTGAAAACAGCCTGAATCTTGTAAGCAAATACACTATGTATGGATTTCAGAGTGCTAGATTGTGAAGGATATTTACTTTTCTAAATACTCTACAGATTTCAAGAGGAATACAAGGAGATTAAGACATTTGCCCACACCAGGATAAAGGAATATAGCCCTGCAGTCAAGCAGAACTTAATTTACAGTCTTTGCTAAACCATTTATTTAATAAAAATTTAAACTTCATTTGACTAGCTTTACAAGTAACATTTGCCATCAGGAATTTATAGCTTAAGAGCTCAGCGTTTCATTAAAAACAAATTACGAAAACATATTTTGCATTCAGGTCCCTACCCCTTCCTCTAAAAATGTCCCAGCAAAGTCTGTTTTCTGGCAAATGTCCCCTCATGATACCTTATCCTGCAAACAGCACTGCTGATTTCAAGCAGCCTCTGTACAACCAATTGCAGAGCAGCAGACTTTGAGCCTGTTACAGGCATCTGTTGCTCACAGAATTACTTCATTCTATTTTGCTGTAAACTCTGCTATTCTCTTGAATACAGTCATTAAAGTACTGTAAAATCAATTAACACTCTAGGACTGGGCAACATTACTCAAAAAAAAAAAAGAAAAAAAGAATGCATAGAAAACAAATATTTCTATTAAAAGGACACATTATCACATTCTGGCATAACACTTCTGGAAGACCACCTTGTTTTCTGAGGATTTGAACTTCAATTAATCTGAAAAACCTAGCAGCACTAGTGAATGTGTTTTTATTATTTGTCTGGACCAAGAATCTATTAGAGAAGTAACAATGGACAGTCAGCATGATTTTTAACACCTGCTATGTTACCAATCAGTGCATCAACGTCCAATACTCTCCAATGTCCACGAATGGCCTGAAACTGAGAGAAGCCCTGCATTTTGCTGAGGCACTAAAGAATCAAGAATTTTCTATGAATGATATATCATATTGATCATACAAACTCCTCCATGACCAAATGATGAAATTCCATTTGTTCAAATTGGACTATAAAGCACAAATTCTATTTGCCAGGTTAAATTTTGAGCAGGAGATTTTTATATGGGAATAGAGCAGTACAACTGACCTTCCCTTTCCAAACATAAATTGAATGCAATGCACAAGTGCCTCAAAACTATGACTAATAAAAGAAATCTGGCCCTAGATATTCTGTTACATGAGTTCTTGTATCAGTTCTACAGACAGCAGTATTAGTAATCAAATGCTTGTCATTTTTTCAACTGATCCATATCCCTCCTTTGCTTACACAAAGATGGTCCTTCAGGCTGTCCAAAGAGCTGATCTGGGGACTCTGGGCAGTAAAATTCTATTGAGACTCAAGTGCTGTGTGTATTAAAGTTGTGTATGCAGAAGACTCTAGCCATTAATTAATTAATGCCACAAATGCTGAATATACTCTTTTAAGTTTTCTCCACCTGTCTGAAGGTGTGCAAGACATCTTTTGTCTGCTGAATAAGCACCATGCTCCCTGAGGGGAAACCTAAGTCAGGACCTGAAGGACACAAATTTGTAGTATCAGCCTTACAAAGCACAGGTAAGTGCCAGTGGGCATCTCTGTACAAGCGGGCAGACAATGAGCAATGGTGGCAGAGCGAGTGAAGTAGGGAGCACTTTTCTTGCAACATTTCTCTCCCATTCTTTCCCATGTCCCAGTTTTGGCAGAAGAGAGGTAAAGGGAGCAACACATATCTGGAGCACTGGGCTACAATACCAGTTTGATGCTTCTCAAGGTTGGGGGAGGCTCTTGCTTTTCAACTAAAGGTATCTGTTTACAAAGCTGTGATCATCCAACTAAAACCAACCAAATGAAAATTTTGGCAGACACTGAGTGCACATTCAGCTGGCAGATAAAGAAAAGATTTTTTTGACCCAGGTCTATTCTTAAACATAAGCTCGTATTCAAGGGCAGAATTTGCTCTGTCTTACTAAGATGCTAGGTTACTGTGACTTTACCATGTGCTTTGGGTTTATAAAGTCCTGAAGTCAACATAAAGCTCACTGCATGTCCAGGAAGAGTATCTTCTTCTCTCACTGGGAAAACAACACCATCCATCGATTTCACTGCCATCAGAAATTTTCCATCCAAATAGCTGACCAGCTTGTACGGGCCCTTTCCCAGAGCTGTTGAGAGAAAAACAATTATCTTTCATGTCAAGTGTCATAAATGCTTGAGCTCTAAACATTAGGACAGAGCACATAATGAAAAACACATCTCACCACTCTGAAAATAGCTCTAGGTGCCATGGACTAAACTATAATGACAGTCAGAATAAAGTCAAACTCTCTTAGAAAATACCTGTTCTGAAAACTGTCAAGAATACCTACCTTCAATTTTCAAGACTCAAGATTAGTTTTTCTTTCTCGCCCCTCTCATCTGCTTTGGTTTCATAGTTACTTTAATAAAGTTAGCTGACCCCTCCGTTATTTGACTAAGAAGTAAATAGTATGTCTGTAGACCCCCCCTAGGATCCCTCTAAATTGTTTATTTGTATGGTCAAACTGATTATATGCCTCTTACTATTCTTTAAAATCTATTTTATTAGTGTCTAATGTGTGAGGCATTTTGCAGGGAATAAAAGTTTGTTGTCATCAAGTATCAAACAGTGGAGACATAAACATAACCACTGGGAAGTAAGACAGGAAGAAATTGGCATAATAAGCAAAGGAATGGTCCTATTTTACCTACAAGTAAAAAATGTCAAAAGCATGCAAAGTTATGATTTCACAAATCTTAAAATGTCACACCTTCTCATTTAGTTCCAATTTCACTGCAGAAAAATATGTTAAAGTTTATTTTTGAATGTTTGAAACTACAGTTCTCTGTTAAAATCAGGCATTTTAGACCACACCTTAGCAATTCACCTCATTACAATTTTACTCACGAGCCAGGTAAGCATATATCTGAGACACAAGTGTCCCAGAACTTCTCAGCTGATAGTCACAGCTAATACCATTGACCTTTAAAATCTGTTCAAAGACGTTAAAAGTTTGGACTGCAATTTTCAGCCTGCCTTCATATTCTTGTTCTCACTAACCTTAAAATTTATTAAGAATTTTGAAATCCTAAGGAGGCTGCACTACATCGAGAGTTTTAGATTCTAAAGCTTTAAAAAAGTAACCTGTTAGGACAGAAGTCCATGCTCACTTAAACGTGTACAATGATACCTCGTCACCTTCAGCACAGGGAGTTGAAAAACATTTTTAAAATTATTACTTAAAACATCCAGTGTTCTAGAAATATTATTATATCTTTAATCTCATATCTCAGGCCCATCCAAAACCTGAGAGACCACAGCCACCAGCTGAGAATTCTCCCTTTCCAAAGACAATAGGTTCTGCTTCCTAGCAAGACTGGAACTATGTCACTCTGGATTCATGACAAAGTTACACAGAGAAAACATCACTCTGGTCTAAGACAATGCCTTAACCTTCCTCTCTCCAAAACTAAGTAATTCTAGGTAATGCTATAAGTGAGGTAGACAAGTAAACCTTCAGCATGGAGATGGGTTTTTTCCCCCACTGGCAGCTCTGAAACATCGTATGTTGAATACTGATAAGTTGGATTAGCAAACAAGATACAAAGTAAGAAGTATATGATAAACATGCTTATTACAAAGTTGGTCACATGCACAAACTCTCCACTCTTTCAACTAATTTCTATCAGTGAGAGTTCAGTAACAAACAAAACTAATAACACACCTTAAAAGTATGTGTTATCATCTAGCTTGACGATTATCATAGATGTTAGAGGCGCTGTACTTTCAATGTTAAAACTGCACTAAGATCATCTAGTATCAGACTAGATGTATTTCATTTATAAAACAAAACAAAACAAAAAAAACAAACCAAACATGAAATGTAAAACTTCAATCACCTCTTATGTTCAACTCTCCTTTATTTAAATTAATTTAGAGGCTTAGATAGTGATCTAGATGAAATTCCCATGCATTAGCAATTTGACCCCACTCAAAATCTTTTCAGCAGTCAGTGTACAAGAAAATGCAGATTTCTTGGCCATATTGTTTGGGCCTGGAAAACTGCACAGGTCTCTTCTAATTTAAACTTGGTCCCTCTCTGAGATGTTTCTGGGGGTGAGCTGCTGCAATATTGAGTCTTTTTAAAAGAAGACCAAAATACCACAAACCATGTGGATAGATAGGCTTCTACATGAGCTTGATAAAAAGAGTTCTAGAATAAATAGCAGGAGTCCTGACCATTCCTCACATCAGGCTGGCTTGCATGCCACGTCTAACTATGCAGACACTGGCAATGTAACTTTAAAATAGTCTGAAGATGGATTCCAGTGCTAACAGGGCAGTACAGCAGCCAGTGTGGATTCAAGGTTTACTCCAGCACCTTGTAGAAGTTTTGCACCCCTTGCTGAGAGCCACCCTATGCAGCAGCAATGCTTGCTGCTTAGGAACTTAAGGCTAGGCCAGACATACCTAAATGGAGAGTTATTCCCCGTTTGGAGACAAAAAGTTGTCACACCTTAACAGCTACCTCCCTCTGGAGGCTGCACAGGAGATCATCAGTGATTTAACAGACCCACTGGAGATTAGCTTTGAACTGCATTATGTCTTAAGCAAGTAGTGCCCCTAGTACTATTTAGTTGAATAGTCTATTAATTACTTTATGATTTAGTTGTTTAATCATGGTCCATCACTGCAAAGAAAATTAGCTAAACATATGCTGTTGGGAAAGGTCCAGGAATAAAAAAAAAAAAAATTATGACATTAAAAGCCTTTGAAAAAGAAAAATAAACCAGTAAAACAGGATCTCGGCTATATAAAAAATAAAACATTCACAAGTGTTTTCATTAACACAATTATTTTTATACAAAGTTCTAAGATTTATATAAAGAAACCAAAGATTTTAGTGACATTTTATCAACTCCTTTAGGACTTACCTTTGTTGAAATATTCACAATCATATGCTAAAAAAAAGAAAATAAATGCAGTTAATAGGCATTCTGCAGATAAACTGGTTTTCTATTACCCTTTACAATTAAGATGTAAGCCAAAAGCTTGACCAAATTAGATCATACACAAAGATTTATTAAAAAATTATTGCCAAATATTTACTTCATTGCTTTAGGTTAAATACTAATTTAAACTACACTGATATAAAGAAAGCATTGCTTCCTAGCAGAAAATACTAAGCTTACATACATAGAGTTGTCTTTTTGTGACCTCTAGTGGCTAAGACTGAGCTTCGTTGTTTTTCCATGCTCTCACTAAAACACACAAACCTTTTCTATCAAAATTTAAGAGTAATCCATTCACTCTGTGGCCAATTTGCTGTGTGACTGAGCAAGCTGCATACTCTCTCTGTGCAACTGCAAAGTTAGAAAACTGCTTGTTTCCTCCCATTCTTTATATCCTGTCCTTTTTTATCACATTTTTGGGGAAATGATTGTCTCATATTAGGCATTTCCACTATATAGAAAAAGGCCTTAGATTGTTTTACAACTTGTAAGCATTGTTGGATAAGGATAGTAAGGTCATGCTTATAACCTACTGTTTTTCTTCAGAAGACCTTTATATTTCACACTTGATCTGGGGCCTCTAGTAAGGCAGCTGTGTTTCCTAGACCTTAATGAGAAGTAAAGTCCTGCTGAAAACAGAAACAGCTTGAGCTGTTAACTTTGTACCTTTGGTTTGGGGGATGCATGCTGTACCCTAATATAGACCTCCCATTACTTTTCCTTTCACATCATAGGGCTAGGAATTAAAAACAGAAAAGTACTGCTCACAAATACAGCAAGAACATAATCCACCAAAATGAAATCAGAGTGAGAGGTACCAACTCATCTTCCTACCAGTGTGGCTTAGTCATTCAATTCATGGCCCAGGTACTCTGATGTGATTGATTTTTCAGGTCTGTCTCTCATGCATGCAGGCAGTAGCAGCCATGGGCAATGCTGGTTTAAGTAAACTTACGACACACTCTAGGGGACCTCCAGTCTACTGCAACTCCATGCTGGCAGCACTGATGGGCATATGCTGATACACTTGTACAGAAACACTCACAGTCACCTCCTTGGTTACAACCACACGTATCTGTCAAGCAGTTGGAATAAAACCAGGTGACGTCAATCTGGAAACGAAAATATCACTTATCAAAAATACTCATATAGACACTGCCAACCAACACCTTGATACAAAGCTATGACTCTTTCAGAAGTTAATACATCAAACTTTGAAGCAATAAACATTTACTTTAAGTGCTTCCTGAAAGACAAGAAGAAAGGTTTATTAGAACACATCTTGTCCAGCACTTAATAACAGAATTAAATCAATAACCCATTAAGAACAGGCACGCTAACATGTTGATGTGAGCTTGTGTTTTGCATGGTTTTGTAATATTTAAGCCCTAATAAACTATAGAGAAACTTACGAAATAAGACTTTCTAAGCTGATCACTAATCAATAAACCTCAGAAGTGTTGAGAAAGTTAGACACACATAAAATGTAAGAAATAATACAGTAGATGGACAACTCTTCATGTGAGAGTGGTTCATTCTCTTCATATTATCAGACAATCTCACAAGAGAATTTGTCATTTTGCCATTACAGTATTTTCAAACTTTTAAGCCATGCACGCAGTCTCAATACCTGAACATCTTGGGATGTGTAATTTTACATGTAAGACCTACCACTGGAAAAGAGCTTCTCCCACATGCTCCAAGTGAACATGAGATGATTGACTGCCACAACATGTTGAGTGGCTCATTTACTGCCTTAGGTGGTTGCCTGAGTGAGAAGATATATGCCCTTTTTTTTCCTAGGAATGAGTTCTTCACATCTGATACTGCCTACATAAATGTCAATTTATTTACATTTGTGTGAAAAATGTGTGTGCTATATAATACATTTGAGGAAAATAAGGCAAATAATGCTTGTAATAAAAAAAAAACAAAACACCTCAAAATGGGTGTATTTTTGTCTGCATTAATTACAAAGGAGACTACTAGGACTACCCATATTGTAGAAGACTAAACTGGTGCCAAAGTCACTTCCTGTCTACATCAGCTAAGTGCAGACAGCCCAGTTAAACATTCACATTTTAGAATCAGAATAGGTATGGGTTAGACCTTCTTTGTGTTCTCTTTTGTTAGTCAAAATGATTATGAAACGGAAGACAAGATGAAGATTTGAAGTGCTTCAAGTTTAAAAGTAACATTTTTCTCTACTGACATGTTCGCCTTCACTTGTTTCTATACATGACCACGACTCACCACTGGATGGCAAGCTTCAAATGCTTCACTTAATAGTATTCCACATTCCTTCTTGGCAAATGGTTCTCTAAGGGGATTCAAACTGCATGGATTTCGAATGTCAGAGCTGTCAACACACTTAACCAGAAAGCAAAATTAAGGTGAGAAACCTTTTTCGTAACTACTTTGTGTTTGAACTTGCAAAGCATAGTTCTTCTGCGGTTTTTTTAAGAGATGTAAACCATGAAACAAATGTATTGCTTATGAAACTAAAGCAGGACTAAGATATAGAATTAAAAGGTGATGCTAATCTGAAGAAAAGGAAAATTACACAAGCTAAAAAAACATTTTGTTTATCTGAAAGCAACAGAAAAACACACTTGTACATATAGGTCTAACCAGAGTTGCCAGGCAGTCCCAACCTGCAGTCCTTACACCTGAACAGTCTCGCTTACATAAATAACAAGGGTCACTTGGACAATGCACAATAGAAGCGTCAGAAATCAGATATTTTTTCTCTAACTACTAGGAAGGGACATTTCTGTGAACACCACTAGACATGTGACATTAAAAAAAAAATTCAGTTTTTAACTTTACAGCATATGGAAAGAATTCTTTTCTTTCCATTGTTAGGTCTGCACAGTTAAATATTTCCCAGATATGAAAGATCAGCTAAACTGACAACACAGTCTAAAGTGAACCCACAACTCTTCTATTAAGCAAAAAAATTACTACTTTACTGTTCAAATGTATTCAAAAATGTTCAGAATATTGTACAGCATTTTTCTCTACACTATTGCACTGTCAAGGCAAAAAAAGGTGATTATTTTCTTTTCCTTAACAGATTATGGCATCTGTAACAACTCCTGATATTGTCATTTGCATTGCTGCCTGACTGATACTTCCAGGAATGAATTTCTGATTTCATTCTAGATAAATTATATGACACATATACACACAAACACATTTTATTTACTATGTACCTCTACAGCTGTCCAGCTGTTTCCAAACTCTTGGGAGTTTGTTAATTCAAAATTATCTGGAGTCCTCAATTCGTTTACTGTCTTCAAATCAAAATTTCCACATAATCCAGTCAATTCACCCTGGGGGAAAAAAAATACACACACACACATATACATATATAAAAACATTTTCACACGACAAAATACTACCATCCATAACAACTTTCAGAACTTTTGTTTGCAGTTATTTAATTATAAATTTGTCAGGTTTTGACCCTTCTTTAGCTAAATTTCACCCAAAACAATTCAGTTTTTCGTGATAATAAAGCTATGGAGAATATTTTATTTTGACAATGCCAGTATTATTCCCTTTCAACTATGTATCTCCAAGCCTTTGAGAAAGGAGATGATTTTTTGTTCAGAGAAGTGAGCTGTTAGCCAGTTACGTGCTTTTCTTTTGCTTCAGCAAAATAACACCTGCTCCAGTCATGTAAGGAATGAGTACTGAAGGAGAATTTTTCCCCAGAGATATTTGTTTCTGTTGTTACAGCAGCTATATGGTAAGAGTAACTAAAAAAAAAAAATATAAATGAGAATAAATATTGTAATTGACAAGGTAGTTTGAATGTTTCTCTCCTTGATTTCTGACACATTTTCTATTCTCTGTATAATGATATGTCTTATTTAATGAGATTTACATAAACACCTCAAAGAAATGGCAATAAGAGCATTGACTTTCACCTACCTGCCACTGATGACCCATCTGGACATGAACTGTTGTTCTCTGATCCCAAAGAATGGTGATATGTTCATCAGGAAAATGAACAACAGTGAAAAACCCAGCTTTCCATAACTGCATTTTTTGTACGTGGTCTATGTAACTAGATAAGCTCTGTTCAAAATAAGACAAAGGAACTTATAATGGAAGCAATGTCTTCATGTTCACTTGACAGGAAATGAAATGCCTAAATAAAATGAACTACATGGTTCTCAGACGTAGGTCCAAAAGCAGATAGAAGGCCACACAGGGACAAATGCTCAAGCAAAAGGGGTCTGGATTTTGATTGTGAACTGTATTGTATTTTTATGACTTCCCTATTTTAAAAGTTGATTATCAAATTTACAGGATGGGTAACGGCAATCAGAGTGAAAATTAAAATGTTAATGGTTCATCTGGGAGGTATAAGAGTAGTTTTAAGGTTCCTGATTATGATTTTCCACTCAACTATACCTAATTCAGTCTCAGCCACCTGCCTTTTTTTCTACTATGGATAGGTAATAAAGACACATGGAAGAACGTCCTGAAATAAGGAACAGTCCAAACATGTCCATAGATTACAATCTTATTTACATAAAGCTTTCATCTCTCCATCCAATAACAATCAGATTCCAATTTATTTGTAGCATGGACTAAGATGTCTGGTTTAACTACACAATATCTCAAACAGAGAGATTCAACTTCCTTTAAATAGTCAGTCTATAAACTGTAAATAGTACCATTTATACTAAAATTACTAGAAATACTAAATGCTTGCAGCAATAGAATTTGCAGTTTGGCCAAAATAAAAATTACATTCAGGCTATAGAGTATACCAGGGGCTGTAATTTGGGGTTTTTTTTAACTGTATAAAATATTCCTCTTATACATTCCAGAGCAGACTAAACTCTTAGTTCTAGTGGACTTAAAATTCCCACTGACTTCAAAACATCTGGATTTTTCCTAAGCTATTAAACAGGAATCAAGTCTAAACAAAAGAGCTACAATATCTCAACTAACACTTTTGTCAAATACAGACAAGATTTTGTTTAATATTTCCATTGAAAAATACAGATATGATCAGCATTCACAGTAAAGATATTTACACCTTTGCTACTGAAGTGGCACAGTGTTTTTGGTAATGAAAGGAAGAAACACCCATAGAAGTACATACACTACTTTCTGATCAGTGGTAAAAACTGAAACTTACTGGATTTCCTGTCTCATCATCAAATACTAAAAAAGATTTTCCAACATTAATGAAAATGTTTTTTCTGCAAATGATTCCAGTACTAAAGCAGTCAATATTCTCTATAATAACAGAAAGACTGGTTGAAGAAGTACCCTGAAAAAAAAAAAAACGAAAGGACCAATTTTAAATATACTAATATAAATATGTATATATACAAAGTTCAATTAGCAGAAACCTCAGTGTATATTTATTATACTATGTATGATTCAAATTCTAGACAACATCAAAAATGAAAAAACCAGTATGTAGGACCCAATAGAATGTACAGATAGGAAATAAGCAGAATGGTAGATTTTAAGAGATAGTTTTAAATCCAGTTTTAGAGAGGCTTTACCAAAAAAATCTCACCTTAACTAGGTAAACCTTACAAGTTCCAACGAAGTCAAAAGTTAGTCCATCAAACGTTCTGTAATGCCGGTCCCCGTACGCAGTACACATTGATGGGCAAGGGTGGAAGGTGCACTGAAATGATCCATGCTGGCAAATGCTGAAAAATGTATGACCAATAACAGTAATATCAGCTGCAAGCCCAGAAAAATTATTACAGCTATTACACTGAGAAGTAAAAAAATAAAAGCCATGCAAGTGTGATGAGTGTGGACAGAAGCATTTTGAAACCTTGTCCAAAAGCAACATACATAAACTGATTCTCTGGAAAAAAAAATGTACATATTGAACTCATACTGTCTATGCTTCTTATTCTGCTAGAATTTATAGGCTCCAGAAAATATAGACATCAAAACAAGAAAAAAAAATATCACCCAAAGTAATACAATTTATCTTCTACTGGCACATCAATAACATGCCACAAGGACAAAGCTTTCTTTGTCAGGTTTTCACTGAACACTTTTTTCTATACAAGTTGAATCTTAGAATCAAAAAATAACATGTCCTGTTACTCCAGTCTTTATGCATTCTCTGCTTGAATGAGAATTTCACAGAATTACAGAGGAAACATTTCAGTAGCATTATTTTGGTTTTTAGATTCCTTGAAAGAACCATGTTTTGGGCTGTTGGATTTATTTTTTTTCCTGATGTCTACATATTGTCACCCCCAAACTGTAGCCTAACATCTCAGGGGCTTCCAGAATAGTTCAAGTTCTGTCTATGGCCACCTTAAGCATCAAAGGGCTTTCATCACACATATACTAAGTTATTGTTCAGACTTTCCTGAATTCCCTTTGCTTTTTAAGAGGCTTTGCAGCATTGGATATTATACCTCTTTCTGCATCACCCTCTTGCAATCTAAATTACATTTTCAGAAACTACATAAGTTTTATAAATAGTGGATATAATTTTATTTCCTGTACCCATAAGTAATCTTTAAAATGTTATTTTTATGTTTCTAAATGACCTGGATACTTAAAAAACTTCTCTTGATAAAGACAGCAGAGCTGGAGCCCCGATACAGCTTTACTACAGGTATATTTATAAATACAGGTTAAACTAAATACAGCAGGAGATGTAATTATGGTATCTAAGTTTACTTTTAAAAAAAATAGATTTTTAATTTCCTCATTAAATGAACGTTTCATATTTTACACCTAAAGTATTAATCTGACTTACGGAAATACTGGATAAATTGCTAACATTTGGCATCTCATATACTGAAGTACCAAGCAGTATGAAGTTTTTTCTCAGTATAACTTTTTGTCATTATAATTTTTCCTTTTCTGTTCATATTGCTATCATAGGGTCAGAACACCACTGTTTTCAAAATAGCAGCAAATATCTAGAAAATCTGAGCAGCTCCAACTACTAATATCGTCTTCCTCCTGTTCCCTTATCAGGCAACTTGCAGCAACATGCAATCTTTGTCCAGATTTTTGAAGACTCTGCTTATCCCATCATTGATTTGGCCCCAGCACTTGTGTTTTGCATAGGTACATATATAAATACACTAAGTACATGGCTAAAATAAGTTAAAAGTATGACAAGAAGTGTTTGCTGTACCAAAGCACAACGAGATAGCAGCAGGGCTCGCCCAGCTAACCCTAGTCACCTCAAAGCAGCACCTAAGGCAGGAACCTAATCAAGCTGATCAAGAGAGGCAGACGGAAGGAATTATATTTGGACTGAAAGACTAAGTGCTGCTTCTCATGTTCTCTGTGAGACATTAGATTTTAATTTTACTCTTGGCTTATTCAAATCCTCCTCCACATGCCGATCTGTTAAGGACTCATGCGGAAACATTTCTTAACATGTAAAGAGGAGGGAGCTCCTTTTCATACTTTCCTTTTTCCAGGAGTCTTAACATGTTTACAGTCAGAAGGGAGGGATTAGGAGGTACACAATGTCTTCAAAGTCCTCTGCACCAGGCTTGTTTCATACTAAGTGAACTAACATTTAGCTATTAGAATCTAGAGAGCCCTACTCAGAAAAGCAGAACTATCAGCATCTTCCAAACTTCGATGAGCTTTTTAAAAAAACATATTTCCAAGAAGTATTTGTTTAAGAACAGAAGGCCCAATTCAGCAGCCCATGGACACTAACCAACAGATGCTCAGTGGTCTCAACATATGACAGCAAACCAGCACTGCATCACCCATCTTACCTTGCACAGCACAGCACCAAAATGCTGTGATACCCTCAGCATTAGAACCTTTTGTGTTAGAACCTTGACAGCACATGCAAAAAATTTCAGGCACTTGCACTAAAACAAAAAATGGAAAACCTAGAACCACAGTTCAGTAAGAACCCAGAGCTTGAGCTGAAAGTTCCTGGCACTTCACTGGTAGTTTTGCCAACTTAAGAAATTATTTTATTTGCCATTTTACTGTTCAATAGATAAATCAGATTAATAGTTATGTTTTTAATACTATATCATATATGAGTAAGATTATATTTAATATCAATGTACACTAATTCTCTGCACTAAAAAACACTAAATTATAACTGCTATGAGTGCCTAAGTGGGTTTGTTTGCACAGAAGTATTCTCATGCTTTGAACATTTCCTTTAACATATCAGATGCACCCCTGCACACACATACAGTAGACTCAAAGACTTCATATGCTTTGTATGAAGCAGAGCTTGTCGCAGACTCCCATCTGTCAGAAGACAACTGATTGCCAAAAGCTATTATCACTTAATCTATCTTTGCTTCTGGACATGGAAAACTAGAAAAACCATGACAGCCTTAAAGATCTGTACATGAATTAATGAGCCTGGCCTGAGAAAAAAAAAGAGAGAAAGCTAAATATCCAGTGTCTTTCTGCCTGCACTGCAGCTGCCTTTGGTGAAGTCTCATACAGATTAAATGGGATCTAATAAACTCTTTCTGATGCAAGCAATCCCACACTAGGTCCAAATGGAGAGGCCTTTGGAAATAAGGGGGTGAATAACCCGGTCGCTTTACCTGCCTGCCCAGTGGAGATGGCTTGTAAGTCGCTTCACCAGTCGACCAAAGGGCTACAAATCTCTTCTAGAGCAGATACTGAGGACCTGACGAGAGGCAGAGGTAGGCAGTCAGCACAAGGCTGGAGGGGGCAACGACATCCAGACAAGGCAGTGACTAGTGCTGACTGGAGAAGCCTTCACTGTGCCAGGCTACACTAAGCTGTGCAGGCCAGGAGCAGCAGTTCACCAGGTGACCCCAGTTACATGTTCCTGGTGAGCTACAAGAAAGGGACAAAAGGAAGGAACTGCTCTGGAGAGAATCTGGAGGCTACACCACTACCTCAGTACCTCTGTGCTTGACAGCTGATTTTTCTGAGGCTCTGGTAAGACAAATAGCACTGCTCAGTGCCAGCTTGCAACATTCAGCTGTGGTCAGAGAAGAAAACAGATGGGGACCATTAAGAAAAAAGTTTGTTTCAGGATCATGCAGATGTGGAATATTGTCACACTCTTGTAAAGCTTATTAAAATGGTAATGTAACACATTCTACTGAGTGCTCAAGAAAACTTCACAGGGTAACATAGCTGTACCTATATGCTGCATTTACAACACTGGATAGTAAAAGGAATAGGTTTCTGCATGTATTTGAGTGATCCTATCAAACCTTGCCTATTGGAACACCTCCTTTTAAAGCCAATTGATTCATCAGTTATCCACATATGCAAAATTAGCAATCAATTTGTCTGCTACCATGCTCAGTACACAATGTTGCTCAGTACTCTCCTTAAATTATCATTGTAGTGGGTGTACACTTATGGCTACAGGGTTATATTTGGGTTGCTAGACTGCTCAGATTCAATGCTAAATACGAAAATTAATAAAGAAGAAGCTCTAACAAGTGTCACTAAGGTGTTATATAAGTACTTTTCCTCTACTTTAGGAACACTAGCCATTGAATATTAGTTTAGACGACCTTGACAACAAAAAAACCCAAACTTTTTTCTAAATCAAGCTTTTTTTAAAAGAAAATCCCAAATAGCTATTATTTTGTTATGTAAAAGCTCGCTGAAACAACAAACGCTAATCCAATGTCATTTTAATACCTCTTTGAAGAAATGTAAATACAAAATCAAAGTAGATGATTTACCATAATCTGCCGTGAAATTTATGATTAAAACACATGAAGGAAAAATCAATCTACAAAAAAATAACTAAAATGAAATAATCACTTAAAGAGACCTCTGCTTACCAGGTATGACAGGAAGAAATTACTTTGTCACCCGGAAAATATTCCTTTCCTTTCCATGAACATGGACATTCATCTGCATCCAAGCACACTTCCCCATGTTTAACAAGACTGTCAAAAAAAGAACAAAAATGCAAATTCAGCAGCAGTATAGATGCTATCTAGATACAATCTAGATACAATCTTCAAATCACTAGCATTATTATTAGTGAAAAGCAAATAATATTTTAAAACTTCTGAAATTGAAAAGGCACAATTTTATTACTAATTATGTATGAGCAATTTGATACATTCCTTTCACAGGTACCTGAATATGTTCTCTTTACTAAGTACCAGCACTTTGGGCTCTAGCACTTCAATCACTAACCCTGTGAAGACTTGATTCATTAACAAAAATTTTAAGTTCAGGGAAACTAAGAATTTCTAGAAATCCTCTAAATTTCTCCAAATTTCTTGTAAATCAGCCAATTAACTTGTATTTAACTTAAGCAAAGAGATCACTCATGAGATATGGGAGCCATCATGGCCCTTTGTTCTAGTGGTATATGCTCTTAATATCAAAAATCGGTGGCTTATTTAGTCTAAGAATTTTTAAACGAGGACTTCTTCTGGTTCTCTTCTTTTCTCTACCTAATTTAAAGGGTTTTAATTTGCTGCATAGTTTTCCTGTAGCTTGCTCTGTGAATAATTCAATCAATATCAAAAGAGCTATCCTGGTTGCATGAAATTGAGTATGTATTTCTGTATGACAGGCACCTTCATGGAAGCAATTACAAATATACTTCATTTTATTGGCAGAAATATCCTCCTAGTCTTTAAAGGAGATTTTCATTGAACATAGATAATCATATGCACAGCTATTTACAGTTCAAGACTAATGCTATAAATTTTTGCTTATAATCACAACTCCTAGAGTAACAGATTTAAAAGAAAAAAAAACAACCCACAACTGTTAAAAAGATTGCTTTAATAGAGAAAGAACAGAGGAATTCTTGCCCAGCAAGACTAAATAAAGCAACTGGTCTAAATTTTAAAGTAAAATGTTTGTAGCTTTTAATAATAACCAGAAAATCTGAAATACGTGAGTATGAAAGTTAAAGAGAGACCTCAAGTGGATTCTACAAATATTAGGAAATACACCAGAAGTATTGAATTATTTTATTAAAAAACTATATTTTCACTGAACCCAAGAAAGTTGTGTTTCTTCTATAAAAAAAAATAAATATTGTAATGCTACTGGATAGGCAAAAAGATACCAGTATAGGACCTAAAGGTTCAACAACCGATAAAAGAACACCTGTTATCTTAAATCAATCTGCCAAATGACAGTTGTGAAACAAACTCTTGACAAGCGGCAGCAGCGTCTTTCACTCCAACTGCTGTGGCTCCAGCTCCTTTTGATCCTATGCAGGATCCCGCTTGATATAACATAATCAGCTGGAACAACTAACATGCCAGTGACATAGTAAAAGGATTCCTTACAGGCACCGTGCAATCTATGATTATCCTTGTTTCTAACATTTGAAATGTATTTGTATTGAGAAATAAACAGTCCCTGAAAACAGTGCTGTCGGGTTGATAAGATTTTTTTTTCCAAGGTGTGTTTAGAATTCCAGTACATTTCTGTAGTAATTTAAGTTTCATACAGGTTTGCCTGTGTTCCTAACAGTTTTCTTAAGAACACAGATTTGGTGTTTCTGACGTGTAGAACTGTAATTTGGGCAAGATGCTGCACCATGGGCAAGAAATCGTAGGTGTGAGGAACACGTGTGACAAACAGGATGACGATACTGTTTTGTTTCCCTGGTATCTTAAAGGAAAAGATCTTATCATGGAATATTTTACTTACTCATATTAATGAACTGGTATTTCGGATACTATGACTTAGACTCCTCTTCAGTGTCTTATTTATCAGACAGAAATTTACAACTCTGTAGTGCTTCTTAATGGGAACACACAGATCATAAACCCCCTCCCCCATTAAACTTAAAAACTGTTCTTTTTCCTCCAGGGTATGTAAATTGTTCTTTGTAACCCATACTTATTTCAAGTATTGTGTCACTTGGAGACAATCAACTGTGAGACTGAAAAGCTCCCCAGAACTGAAGAGGGCACATTCAGACACAAAGAGATCACACTGACAAGGTAACACTAAATGCAGTTTTTCCCTCATGTTATTACACTGGATTAAAAGAAAAAGTGATAACAGCTCTCTCTCTTGTAAAGCCAAGCAAATGGATAGATTTCAGTGATCTAAGAATTCACCACAAATACCCTACAGAGAGGCCTTGCACAGCTTCTCTTTGAAGTATTTGAAATTTTTCTTGATGGTTATACTTACTGCAAAGACACAAGGACAGCTATCACACTTCACCACGCTGAATGTTCACTTCCATTATTATCTCATTGTTACCTGTAGTTTTCTTCACTCACATACACAAAAATATGTAAATAGTCTTGGAAATAATTATTGGCATCATTAGAAGCAACACGTCACCTGTGAATCACAAAACCCTTCTTTGCTTCTGCAAAGCACAGAGATCTGGACCAGAACACAAAAAAAAAATAACTCTCTCCCAGTTTCCAGCAGAGCAGTTCTCAACAGGTTATGTATTGCACGAGCTCCTTCCCCTCTCTCAGGCAGCAGCCTACTGTCAACTGATTTTTGCAGCCACGAGTACTTTTGCCCCAACAACAAATTTGCTCTCTGACAGTTTCACAAATCTGCCTACAAACGTCTGTAATAAGAGTTTAAGGGAAGTAAAAAAGAATGAAATAAGCCATTTCTAACACCAGAATTCCACCACCACCCCTGACTTGCCTAACCAGAAAAAAAGATGAACAAATTTTGCAAGAAAAGCAGATGTGTAGGAACGTTATCATAGCACCTAAAGGCTTAACTGTTGTTCACTCATTGTCTAGACAGGGAGAGTTACTATAATCCAGTGGAGTGTTTTCTTTCTTGTTGGGGAGCTCTTTATAGTCCACCTCTTCTTCCCCTTTCTCCTAGCTTATTATACCAAAATATTAAGTAATTTCGTAGAATGTTTGGAAGCCTTTTAGTATCCTTGCTATATCCTTCAATGTTCATGACTGATTTTGATGCTTTAACTGATGCTGCACTTGTGCAGCTTCCTCCTGGATTGGGAAACTCCCCTGCAATCAGCTGTACCATCAGCACCATACTGGTGCTAAGCAGAGCAGGCCATAAACAGAAATGGCAGCAGCAGCTTAAAGACCAAAGGTACGCGAGAGTAAGAAAAACAAGAGCAAGAAGTAGATGACGGATTCCTCCAGCTTCCCATATTCTGCAACCTTTCCCACACAGGCACCTGAAATTTGGCTTTTTCATTGCCTGTGCTTCCTCCAAAGTATCCTCAAACAGAAAGAAGTTTCTGCCTTCACACAGCTACTGATTGTTGTAGACAGAAAAGAGCAAAATTATGTTATACTTAGAGCTGCATAAAATATGGGTATGGGTTTCAATGCAACATCCTGTGTTTCATCCTAATTTCCTTTAAGAATGCTGTGAGTACAATTCAGTGCTAAAAATCATGTAAGGCAGGACTCCAGGGGAAACTGAGATACCAAAAATTGCTGTATGTGAATGGCCAAGAGGATACTACAAGCTCTTCCTACTCTGTCAGCACCAGTTCTTCTGAAACGAATTGCATGCTCTGGGCGGAGACATGGACCTATTTTTATTAATTATGTTTCTGGGAGAATCAATGTATATTTGCAGATACAGATCAAACTATATTCCTTGACTCCAAATTCTGAATCCACAGTAAAAGAAGATGGTAACTTATGTGTCAGATGACAGAATTAAGTTATATAGCTGAAGTAGTTTTCAACAAAGATGATTTAACCAGAGGTGGTGGGACAATGGACTTACTTATCATTGACAGTAAATAACATCATCTCTTTTTTTTTAACAATCAGATCAAGTATCTGCTTAAATTTTAGTGGAAATTAAAAATTAAACAAAACAAACTCCAAAAAGATGGCTTGACTGATTTAAAATCCTCTACTCCTCTCAAAGAAACTCACAAGAAGTGAAATACACTAATGGTATTTTAGTATAACATTTTTTTGATTTAATTAACAAGTTTAGATAAATAACACATTTTTGTAATAAAAATAATTTCATAAAGTAACTACAAAGGTAACAGAAGTATTCCTTTCAAAGCAATGACAGAGTTTAGTGCTTCTCTTAAAAATAAGTCAGAAGACAGAAGGTGCTCAAGAATCTGAATTATGCTGGTGAAGTTTCACTGTTAATTGAATACAAGTACAGAAAAAAAACCTAGAGATTTGTTTGCAGATAGCGTAAACTAGAAAGTAAGTAACCAAGAGGGTTTTGGAAGTATTGAAAGAGGAAATAAGGAACACTGAAATGTATCAAAGAAAGCTGCAAGTCCGGCGAGAAGGAGAGGATGGAAAAGAACAGGGTTGTCTTGTGATGGCACTGCAACAGGTGTATTCTTTGGAAATGAGCTCCAATCCAGCACCTTTAGCATCCTGTGGTTGTACAGCCATCAGAAATGGAAAACAGCATAAGATTCAGTGTGAATACTGAAGCACCCAAATACAGGAATGTTGATGTATTCTTTGTAACAGAATTGTATTTTCCTGAGGAAATAGTGGAGTGCATAGCTATGATGGTATCCATGGAGGGATTTGCCTGGAAAACATTAAATCTTCCTGACAGACCTCTCCAAAACACTGCCTAAAACAGATGAAGCAAAATATTAAAAATATTTAGCCTGATAGCAACAACAGGGCCATCCAGAAGAGAGGTTTGAACAGAACACACTTTCTATTTTATACCAAAAGCAATAAATTCTGAGTTTAAACTGAGGAGGAGTAGGCCTTTTGAAAAAGGATATTAAACACACACCAAAAGCACAGGACTTTGATTTCATCTACAGAGACATATTTTAAGACATAACACAGTCAACATAATTACTTCAATAAAGATAGTTTTCTAAAATATTTGAAACTCAACTGCATTCTTACCCCATTACTAGGTTGGTTTGTCCATTGGCATGTTTATAAGATGAAAAAATTCATTGTTTTCTTTGTGAAAATTAGAAAGTGATGAGTTGTTGGGGGTTTTTTGAGAAAACCTTCCAAAGCTCCTTATGTGTTATTTGATACAGTACACCATCACAGAAATACTGTGATAATTTAGAGATGTTTGGAAAGAAAATCTGGCATGATATTCCTTAGTTACAAAACTTCATTGCAATTACAGGATACTACAGCCTTGAATTTACTATCTTTTCATAGTTTTGTTTTGTGAGAGCAATAAGTGATGAAAAAAGGAACAGAGAAAAATTCTTATTATGTTAAATTACCCCAAATCTAGTAGAGTCCAGTTTCAGCACAAAAGATAATATTCTCTGCCATAAGTGATAACAGTTGTCTGCAGAGGTAGTGTTGTCCCACCACACCAGAGACTGTTGCCTTGTAACTCCACACCACTAATTCAGAAGAGAAACTGAGGCAGACACTGGAACACTAGAATCAAAATCTGGTCCCACAGATTTCAGTCTTAATGACTGTAACTCAGTGTGCCAACACTGAACTTTTTGGAAAGAAAACATTGCATAAATTGCACACAGTTTGGCATCAAGAAAATACAAATCCCTGTTAACTTTTCCCATTTTGTGAACTGTTAACCACAAGCCACATCTGCAGAAATCCGTGGGTGTAAAGTTGATAAAATGAAATGTTTTTCTGGGATAGAGGGATTGGTTTCGTTTTTCCAAAATATACATAAGAAAAAAAATTTTAAGAGATGCTGCTTAAAAAGGTGGCTCTCACAGTTATAGGCAATTAAAGAATATAGTGGAGAGGGAAAAAAAAGAAAACTTTGATACAGCAATTCTGTCTAGTATTCTTGAGGTTCAAGCAGGCTCACAGACCATATAAATAAATATACATCCTTGGAAAAACGGAGCACACTATTTCAAAATAGTATATAAGTGTTCCTTTCATACTTTGAATTGTGATCACAAAATATCTGTTCTTGGTAATTGTAATGAATAATTGGTAATGATGTTGCTTTCTTTGTAAGCCTGTTGACACTCCATAAAATATCAAGTTGGGTATTGGATGTTGCTGAGCTGTGAGAAATTAAGTGACAGATAATCACTACTAGTAGCCAGCTGAGAATTCATTTTTTATTGCCTTGCACTACTAACATTGATGGGGGAAAAAAGTCATTGAAACAAGGAGAAAATTACAGCCAGTTTTATAACCGTGATTAGGAAGAGAAGCTTGGCTATGATTTAAAGTTCAAACGAAGTTAATCATGACAACAATTTCCTTTGCTTCAAAATACTGAGAAGTTAGCAGAGACTCCTCTTTTTAGGTTAATTGTAAGCAGATGGTTTAATTAACATAGCTTATAGAGGGAATAGAACCACAAAAGGGAAAAAATAAGGAAGATCTAATAGGTAGATGCAACAGAAGTAACAGAAAACATTACTCTGCATCTGGGACAATTTGTAGTGCAAGTTATTGACATAACTCTCAGAATTCTTATTTATCATTCATATTTAGGGGCTGGAGGGTCTCTTGTTTTTTCCAACAAGGTGGCATTAATGTAAAATATAAATGGAAATTACTAAATATTTCAGTTAATGGAAATGTGTATGGATAAGATGATCTAAAATACATACTAATGTATATCACAGAACAATTCACGTGACACAGTCCAAATAAAAGCATCTGTCTTCAAAAAGCCGACAGGGCTCCTCTTAGAACCATAGAATCATTTAGGTTAGAAATGATCTCTAAGGTCATTGACTCCAGCTGTTATAATACCCCCCCAAAACTATACACATTGTATCTACAGTACAGATTCTATACTGTACACTTTATGAAGTATAGATCAGTTAAATCCAATTCATGCTGCACTCAGAGGGTAAAATGACGTCAGTGGGGGAAGTGAGAAAACACAATTAATTCCTTCAGGAAAATGACTTTTTCTCGGCAGCAACACTAAGAGCAGGCTATAAGGAACAACGCACAGAAGCTGGTTGTTTCAGAGATCATTACTGATCTGAGTGGAGACCATGGAAAAGGAAGGGTATCAACCAGCACACGTCCATTTGTGGCAAACATCACATAGTATGCAGAAATATAGGAAGATACTACTGGTTTTCCTCTCTTTTTCTTTCACTCTGTCTTTGCTCTTTGTTTCTTCTGCAGTCTGATTATAGATTCTGTCTTCATGTCAAATCATGCACGTTGTGTATAGTTAAGGAGGGCAAAATCACTTGAGTCATAGCAACCCAGAAGCAGAAAATGTAATTCAAAGATTGAACTTGAAAGGTTATGAACTGTGCTGTAAACAGAGTATTAATTATTTTTCTGAAATGCAGCACAGAAATATAGGAAATTTCCATCTAAATAGTGACAGATGAAAAACAGTGAGAAAAAACAAATAAAATCTTAAAAACCATTAAATATGTCAAGCAAAGCAGGGTAGACCAAGATTAGAAAGTAACCTCAACAACTTCTAAAACAGAGGGAAAGTGTATAATCATAATTTTTATACCATAAGAACTGTAACCGATAGAATGATCTCCTGTGAATTTAAATATTTACTTAAGCATGGTTAGTTGCATCTGATTTACTCACTACAGACTAAAAAGAAGGACAAATGAAGCACACTTGGAGACAACTGCTACTTTTCCCTGTGATCTACTTATTTTATATTTAATCTCCACCTTATGCAAGGACCATTAGAATGTATTCTGAGCACAAGAAAGAAGGAATGCTAGAAATAGTGAAGTACTTGAAGGAATATTTCAGACTCCAGACACTAGAAAAATAAGACTGCAAAATAAAAATATTGTCTTGAAATTCTAACATCTTTTCTGTAAAAAGAGGTTCTTTGCTTCTCTTTGTGTTAAGTACCTTTCATGGTATCACTGAAGAATAATCAGCCCACTAAACAGATCAGAAAGGGCCTTCCTCATGAAAAAATGTAGTTTCCAATACAGGTTTCTTAACTGTGACATATTCACTTCATTTCACTGATTTCATTAGTTTACCTAATCAAATACATTAAACTGATTTCATTACTACTTAAGTCTGTTTAGCTTACAGGTAATGAATCAAGATAAACAGATAAAAGATCTCAAAAAGGAGCAAAAGCATGAATAAAGGACTAAGATTAATTATTTCAGGTAAAAAACTAACATTAAGATCAAAGAAATTCTGTGGCTGTTTCACCTCAGTTTTATATTTCACCAGCAAGAACTGATTGCCTAGAAAGGTGATTTTAAAGTTGCACAAATTCACAGTGCATTTGAATTCTGCACTACTTGAACTGTTATCAACACGGGATAAGGTACTGTGTGAAAGCAATGGTATTTCATCTATCTTTCACTTCCAACAATTTAGATTTACCTTACTGTATTGCTCTGACTCTAATGTGGTCAATCTGCAGTACAAATCACTGGAGTGTGAATTCAGTGACTGACTTAAAATGTTAGGGCTATTCAGTTCTAACAGATGCTATCCAAAAGCAACTATTATTAAAATTCCTAAACCATTAGGATTCGTTGTCTAAATAAAAAACCTGCGTGGTTAAGGCATAGCAGAAGTCTCTCATGTTTCCAAAAGTACACCTAAAAACACGCACTTTCAGGACTATCTCAATTTTTCCTAAAGTAATCTCAAATAAAAACATAAATATACCAGCAATATCAGACCACTAGAGCTGAATATTTAAAAGACATCAGTTTTGACAAGCTTGCAAATAACTTTGTAATTTCTACTTCTTCAGTACAGATTCTAGTTCAAACTCTAGTTCAAATCCTAGGCTCCTAACACTGTTTCCTAGTTCTACCTTAAGCACTGAGGATAAAATTTTGAAAACCAAACAAACCTCTCCTTGTGTTTCCCCCATTCCCCCCAAAAAACCCAAAAAAGTCTATATGAGTATCTTTACAGGTAGCGTACAGCCTTAAGAGAACAGAATTCAGTTTGTCAAAGTAAAGATGAAACTTTTTCATTTTCTATTTTTGTTCCTAGGAAATCATAAAACTCTGCCTCCTTTAAATATACAGCCATATTATCAGAGCTTTGGGATCACTAACACTTGACAGTGAGCCTTCCAACACTAAAAATATTTTTAATTGTTTAAATTCCAGAACTAACTTACACCAGGAAGCAGCAGAATAGTTCACAGCCTCAGAGGTTATGCACAGTAAAATAACAGAGAATAAAAGGTTTATATGATCTGAGTTGTCAGTCATATAGCGCTGCTGTAGGTAGCCACTGGTTTTGAAGAATTCTGAGTAGCAACCTTTAATCATGACATAGAAATATCTACACATCAATCAGTACGAGTCCACAGACTTCAACTGAGCTATTTCAACCCAGATCAAGTGAGGTTCTGGCTTTTACTCTTTGTTTTGAGGTGGCTCACAAGGTATAAACAATAATTTTAAAGTGATAATACTCAAAACCTTCAAGCTATGTGCTCAAGAAACTAAATCCCATCAAAACCAGCATAACTTAAACACACTGTTATTTTTATACTCAAAAATCTCTCAACAATACAGTGTTTAATTTCAAAACACAACAAAAGTTCATCTGCGTATTATCAATGTAAATTCCCAAAACTTTAAAGATCCTTTTGAGGGAGAGAATATTGAAAATTATGCCTATAAATGAAGAAACACGTTTCTGTCAGCAAAATAATAAAATAAGAGCTTAGATAACTGAAAAAAATATGTAAACAGTTCTGCTGCACTACAAGGATTGAATCACATTATTTCATTGCCATTTTGCTATTCTGGCTTTATTATTGTGAAGTATTAGACCTTTGGCTCCACTTGCCTCTTGGTTTAGCATTTATTATGACTTCAACTGACAAAATCACGGTGTCTTCACAAGTTGGATGCTCACCCTTTGACAATTCACATTCTCCAAGTAGAATTCTGCTGAGTAGAAAACCTCAGCAGAATTAATTACTCAATCACTATTGAAGGTAGTCATTTATGTTTGTGCACCAAAAGATGCACATCTGTCTGTACTCACCCCGGTGGGCAGACACAACCTGACACACAAGGAAGGTGTGCTGAGAAAGTGAGGTTTAGCAGCTGATTTTCACAAGTTCTCTCTCTGCTGAGTTCAGGATCAACTTGTGGATTACTTGTGCAGTTAATATAAATCTGTCCAACTGGGCAGTTGTGTGCTGCGGGAAAAATTGACAAACACATTGGTCTTCATAGCTACAATTTTGTATTCTGTAAGCGTGTGCAATAAATTTAGACTGAGGATATGCCAGTATTCAATTCCTACACTCGTGTTTTATGGGGCAAAGCTAATCTTTGTTTGCTCTACTGAAAGTCTGCTGTTTATTATGCAGCTAAGCTTATCTGCATTAGCAATCAAAAAAAATTAAATAAATAATATTTGAAAGCACTGGGGAAAAAAGTTGCTCAGATTTAACAGCATTTTGAACAGTTATACTGCTGCTTTGCACCAGCCTTGTTTTCAAATACACAGCCATATAATTCCTAAATTATGGATCCTCTCCTGGAAGTTATTAATTTGTACACATTGCACAATCTTCTACTACAGACAAGAGGTTCCACAGAGATTGGAGAATATGTATTCATTGGACTTGAAGTATCTTTTTCCTCTCTCTTCACTCACCTATTACGTTGTTATCACAATTCATTACTCCATCACTGCAATGGCTGCAATAAAAATATACAGAGATATAATGAGAGCCGGGAAGATCTGAAATACTAATGTTTTCTATTTAATAATGAAGCATGCAGTATAAGTCACTAAAAAGTAACCGTATAAATGTTTGCATTGAACATTAGAATGGTGGATAAAGTGTGCATTGCTTTAACACATGAAGAATATCAGTTACACTTCAAACTTTTGCTTTATATATAATGTTATTATGAGTTAAGATAGCTGGCCTGACAAAAGAATACATACAGGAATATACCACTATACTGCTCCCTAAATATCAATGCAGTAATAATAAACCAAACCATGAAATTAAAAAAATTGTCATTCTCTAAAATAAAAATGCAAGGAGCAATAGCAACAAAACCAAACCCTAAACACACATATGCATAGGTTACAGCAAACTGTGGGTATGTACTCATGTATGAACATTCTTAACACTCCATTTTTCTCACCATGAACATAGAACTCTGCTATAAAGCAAGTTACAAGTTCAGGTGAAAATCTTGATGACACCAACAGTTCTTAAGTTATCCCACAGTTGAAGGCAAAACCCCAATGTTGACTATAATACAATCACAAGTTATTGTGACTGCAATAATATTTTGTATTAGAGTGACTTTTACCCAAGCACAACATAGTAACAGCAGATTGGTAACTTGTTCTTCTCTCAACCACTCCTAGCATGAATCACAAACAGGTATCTACCAGCAAATATCTGACAAGATCATGGATTTCCATCTCATTTATAACAAAATGAATGTTTCAATTACTTTAGTGTTACTGGCTCACAGAAGGAAACAGTGAAGCAATTGCTAAATTTCATCCTCAGCTGTCTCAAAGTAATTTTGCTTCAGCAAAATGATAGGAATCTGAAATCACAGCCTACTGCGGCTATTATCAGAACCATCTGGAACTACAGTTCATAATCAGAACCTAAAAAATTTCAAACAATTCCAAGCTAATCAAATATTCAAAATAAAAATTTTCAGTTACTCTATCATAAAGTTGTAGCATGTTTACCCACTCGCATAGGCACAATACCACACAGATAGGAACAGACAAAACATTTTTCCCCCTACATGAAACAGTTCAAAACTGCAGAAAAGTCAACCCTAACAAGATACTCTATGCAGGGAAGCACCGAGAAACCTAACACTGACTGCTCCTGTCTAATCCAAGCCAAAATGGTCCAGTACTTTTACAAAATGGTAGTAGCTCTGGTTGCAACTCGTTGTCAGGGAAAACAAGCAGTACTGGCTTCATTTCATGTCCTGTGCTTCACTAGAGAACCTGAGCCCATGAACTCCAGCACTATTCTTCCATTCTTTGCAATGGCTAAGACATCCCCAGTGTCCTTACAGCTAGTCAGCAGATTCAGAATCAAATTCTGCATGTGCCACAGCCATTCTGTGAATACATTTGGAGTTGTGTTTGGACCCCGAAGCCCTGCAGGGAAAGTTCTCAAGGACTCTACAGTATAACCCAGGCGACAGGCAAAGCAGTACCAAAGGCAACACTGCATCCAGCCTTTGCACAGCCCCATATGCAGAATGGGCTGCCTGACACTCTCCAGGAAATCTGCCCTAAGGTAAAAATGAGCCAAGTTGATGATCAAGATATAGACTTACAATGATCAGTATTTATGGACTGATGACATAAGCGAAAACGAGTGTATGTGTTTAAGTGCCCCTATTGCAAGAGGTGTCCGACAATACCAATCTCTTATATGGTCTATATGACAAACCGAAGTATTATGCTGATAATACTTGTGATATCCATCACAAACATTATTTGTCCTGTTCTGCTTTTAGTTAAGTTCTAAAGAACCTCTGTCAAATATGCATAGAAAACAGGTGTACCTTTACTCCGTGTGTTTCATTAAAAAAAATACCAAAAGAACAAAACCCAGCATGCTAGCCAGAATGATTTGACAGAACTCTTAAAGTGACACCATTTAGTCATGAGAAAACACAGTTTGTATCTTACCATTTACCTAAAGACGTCATAACAATTTCTCCAGGGGGATAGTCAATTCCTTGAAAATAACATGGGCATTCATTCCTGGAGTAGAGAAAAACATGAAACTGATTAACCCAAACTGAAGAAAGAAAAAAAAAATCCCACTGATGTAACTGCTGTTCAAATTTCAATCAGTTGCTTCATTGCTTTTGGTGAGGTTTTTTTTTGGTTGGCTGGGCATTTTGCAGTTGGTTGGGTTTTTTTAAAAAACAAGTAATTGGTCTCAATACTGCCATATAACTCAAGCACATCCAAACCGAATCAGTAAGAAAGTAGAACCTTATGCTTCCTATTTTTCATATACCAAAACCCAGACAATATGTAACAACTAGTGTTGATGATGTTGGACAAGTGTCCATATTATAGAGGAGCTATTTTTTATCAACATAGACATCAGTTCTGTATCATTCTAAGACCCTGACAAGTTTACAGATGCATGTCATCTACAACATTACATGTTTATCAGCTTTTCACTCTGACTTGCAAATGCAGTGGTCTAAAAGAGTGAGTGTGACTATCAGAACCACAACTTTACCTACCTCTGTACACACCGTTCAGTCTTGGAATTCAAATACATTCCAGAGGGACAAGCACAGCCTTCAACACAATCACTGCTGCATGTCTCTGGCACAGACAGTGCTTGGCAGGTTCTGCCACAGGTAGATACACAAGTACTGTACTCCTTTGTATCTTCACATGAAAGAGCTGTCCAAATGAAACAAGTCTCTCAAATTACGGTGCAAGAGACTCAAGGACCTCCCAACACTTTTCTGATAAACATCTCCATTCTTTCATTCCCAATCACATTAAATTCCACTAAAATTGCTATCTTGGCACTATGTGGTGTAAACTACAAAGATGTAAATCCACAGTAATAACAAGTGCGATGAGCCTGTGCAGTTAATCCAGATTTACACTGGGGAAACCGAACAACTGAGGCCTTTTTGCCTCTTAACTCTGAAAATGCTTGGCCCTTGTGCATGGGCTTTTGGAAACCCAGAGCATCTTAAATAAAACATTGAAAGCAATACATAAAATGTATGTACTTTGCAGATGTTGCACACCACCATCTTAAAATTTCTTTTATATATCTTTATTTATCTATATATATATGTCTCCTACGCTACTAGAAAAAAAAATCTGAAGTTCTTGAAATACTAAAAAGATTCACATATTTTAAACCCTAGAAGCATGAATTTTAGAATATATTACAGGAAAACTATACTTGCTTCTAGAAAAGTAAAAAAATCAAATGGTTCGAATGACTCATTCAGTCATAGTGGACATAGCCATTCATGCCAAAATGAATGCAAGCAAGCCAGTTTTTCAGATATACATACAGAAACTTAAACTGGACCAACTTTCCTAAATCGTCTTTATCATGCAATACATGGATAATGTTGTGATGTGATGTAAGGATGTGACAACAACTACTAGATCTTAAATTCTTGAATGTTCCTTAGAAAAGCCTTGTTAATAGAGCCAAACCTACTGAAACATCAGGGCTACCAGTTTCGGGTTGTTTTATAGGGTTTCCAATTCTATAATTTTTAAAAAATGTACGTGAGGGCACTACATGTCCTATCAATATCTTTTGCATCACTAGAGGTTAATATAAACGAAAAAACTTAATAATATTATCCCACTCCTCTACTTGTGAGGCTTTATAAAGCAGATAAAAGATGTCACCTTCAGCTACCTTTACGACATTTATATTCTTCTATTCATTTTAAACTACACATCAACAATACCAATTTTCAACACACTTAAGCACTCTGTGTATTTCAGCATCTGACAGTAAGAGTATAAGCTAAGACAGACTGTCAGACAGCAGGGAGTTGGCAGTAATCCAACTAAAACTGCTAAATACATCGCCATAATTTTTCACCTCATTCATTTAAAGAATTAGATAAACCTAGCACCTATGAGGAAACAAACAAATCTATATATGCAGCTCATGAATAATATCTACATGGTATGAGATACGCAATGGCATAAGAGATTCAGGCATATTTTTAATTCTGTGCACATTAGAAGCCCTCCAACTACTTAAAAATAAAATCTTTGCAACGTTTCACAAATCAAGAATTAAAGAAAGTAAACCGTAAAGGAGCAATTCTCTAAGAACACTGATACTAAATTCTGTCCTGACAAAAAAGAACCTTGTCCTGTGTGCAAAAGATCATGCTGGGATTAATACTCTTTTCATTTAAAAGATTATATTAATTTAATTTTATTTTCCAAATTCATTCTAAAGCCCTCCAACAGTAACTATTTAAGGCTAGAAGTGAAAGGAAACTCACCACACTCTGGGACAGCTCCTCTGAAATCTATTACAACTCCGAACCTTCGGCAATGATGAGCGTAATGGGCCAGAGCAGAGCAAAAACAAGTCTGTCCACATTTGCAAGTGTCTCTTCTGCACTGCTCAAAATAGGGAACAGGACTCAAATAGGGGTAGCATGGAGCAAAAAGATCTTTCGTAAGGATGCTACAAGCTTCCGCTGCATAAGAGGCTACACAAATAACAGATTAAACACTGTTTCAGTGAAGGAGTTTAAAAAGACTTGGAACAAAAAGTGTTTTCTATACAATGCAACTGGTCATGGTTATATACTTCTGCCATGTAATCTTTTTATCTTTGATATCTATACAACCGTACAGCAGAAAAAAAAAGTTAGCTGCTCATAGTATTGAGCTTGTTCTTGGTATGATTTTAAGGTATTCAGAAAACTTTACAATACACAGACAGTGCCTACAGTCAAGTCTTCTACCTTTAAACTGATTCAGGGAGGTGAGTTAGGCAAGAGGTGCTTAAACTAACCAGTGCCTTTGATGAACACACATTTCATTACATATCACTTTAGCTTAAGTTCATCACTTTAGCTTAAGTTATTTCCAATAAATATTTCAATAGGTCAGTATTTTAAAGAATAATCTATTACCCATTGCTTCAGTTGCATAGGCTGCACCCAGAACCAGAGCTGCTGGCTTGTCACACAGGAGAGCAAGAGCAGTATCAAACAGCTGTGTAAGAAGCTCCAAACACAGCACTCACCTGAATATCTCAATTCTGAATGAATTAAATAGTTGTGCAATAGTGGTAAAAATAAATAATATGCTATATTAGCATACCAATAAAGAGATAAATTTACCACCAAAAAGACATAATGTATTAACCAGGACTTCAAAATCCCTTTTCCAGAATTTCTGACTTCCTATACAGGCTAATTCTTTCTACATTCACATCCAATCCTGTTACAAAGAATACAGCTTCTTAATACTGCCTATTGTATAACTACTCAAAAGACAGATGCTGTTGTAGCAAAAGCACGATGATTCCCTAGCACTGCTGAAAGTACAGGTAAACTCTTAACATTTTACCTTTATGTTTCAACAAGTGTGTAGAGACGAAGACAAGATGTGGTAGGAACTGTGAAATGGACATAACTGACGATCTACGAAGTTCATCATTATTAAAGGATGACTTAGTGACCATCTGTGGTCCTCATGGCATCAGCCACTAGCATATTTCCCCAACTGGACCCTTTTAGCTGAGTCTAAAGACTGTCAGTGCATCAGCATTTTTCTCCTACTCATCCTCTTCAATAGTAGACAACTAAATCAAGTATTTAATTTTTCAGTATTTTCAAAAGTGAATGCTGTAATAGTTTTTAGTTTCCATCTTAACTAGCAGCATCACCAATACTAGATATACTATCAACCTTTAATGCGTGTCTAACTTAATGAAGCATAACTGAAAACCAGAAATAAAAAGGGGGTATTTCAAGTGCCTCTGCAAGTATCCCAAAATCCTTAAACAATACACAGTACGATTTCTTAGGGGATTGAACTTAGCACATGCTACCTGTAAGTAATAATTATTTCAGTGGGTAGGACTGGTTATTACTTTACCTGATCCAACTAGGAAAATGGGCACAGATGTACTAAGTAGAAAGTAATTTGTCAATAACAATTGGCCTTCACTGCCCACCTGCCTGCAGATGAATATCACAGGGATCCATTTGTGAACTATCATGCACAACAATGCACGCCGATGAAGTCTTCCACGTGTTTCCAAACAGCTCTGGAGTGCTTTCAGTTACTCCAACTGGAGATCTTTTACAAAACAGAGTTCAGTCAGAAAAGATACAATGAATGTACAGAATGGTCTCAGTTCTACCATGTCGATTAAAGCTCCCCTTGTACTGCTCCATATTCTCATGCTCTCTCCTCTAAAGCACTGTCAGCTTAAGCTTCAGGACTCTTCTTTCTTTCCAGGCAAAGGCCCAGGAAGGAAAGGCAAGATGTGAACTAGAGCTGTTAGATACGGAAGGAAAGATCAAAATAGACCAAGTCCCATTTTTATAAGAGAGAAGGAAGGCACACCACTGTCCTGACAGTCTGCACTCTCTTATTCCTACTTTTGCTTCCTCAGTGATATCTGATCCATTTTTCTCTATCCTCTACCTATATTTTCCTGTCTGTTTCTGGATAGCTGTATTTCCATGCTCTTTACTCTCTGCAAGGAAGAGGAAGGGAAAGAAATATAAGCATTCAGAAATATAACTGCAAAAGCAATTTAACAGACACTCATGAGGCCCAGGTAATTAGAGGGGCAATAGAAGCTGAATGATAAAGACTGTGATCAAAGTAACCAAGGCACAGTAATATTGTGGGAGAATGATCAAAACTGTGCATTTAAATATGGGGTGTTTCAGTCCAAGGAAAAGAGTGCCTTAGGCACACAACCAGTAGTATTTCTGCTGGTAAAACAGCTGGCTGTGGAGGTGTTGCAAAAGACACTACTGTCTATGGCAAGTCTCCCAAATCTGGCATGGATCAGGTTTTTTTGTACACAAATCAAAAGTCCTGTACACCATAGTCTGTGTCATGTCTCAGCACAATTCATAACTTCCCAAGTTTAAGGACTTTTTTCTGCAAATACCAAACTATCGAACAACTTCTCACTTATATGAGAACAATCCAAAGACTGTCATCAAAAACACACTACCAAACTACTTGTCAAAAAGAAATATTTTAAGTAGTTTTAAGTAAATAATCTCTTTATTGAGATTTTGTCTATATATTTCCTAGCCTCATCTCCTCGGATGGTAAGATTGACGGGGAGATAGATAACAGGTTAGCGAAGGCATATAGTGCTTTTGGAAAGCTTCATAAAAGAGTCTGGCAAAATAAACACTTGAAGAAAAGTACCAAGATCAGTGTTTACAGAGCCATAGTGCTGTCTACTCTTTTATATGGCTCCGAATCATGGGTCATCTACCGCCACCACCTGCGTCTTCTAGAACGCTTCCATCAACGCTGCCTCCGCACAATCCTAAACATCCACTGGTCAGATTATGTGACCAATACATCTGTTCTTGAACAGGCAGCAATCACAAGTATTGAGGCCATGTTGCTGAGAACACAGCTGCGTTGGGCAGGGCACGTCTCTAGGATGAAGGACCACCGCCTCCCTAAGATCCTGCTTTATGGTGAACTTGCCACTGGCTGCCGCAAGAGAGGAGCCCCAAAGAAAAGATACAAGGACTCCCTGAAGCAACAACTCAGCCTTGGGCATATTGATCACCATAACTGGTCTACTCTGGCCTCCAATCGGGAGACCTGGAGACACACCATTTATAACGCTGCTGATGCTTTTGAGAAAGCACGCAGGATCACACTTGAGGAGAAAAGACAACGCAGAAAGAATCGAGCCTTGCAGAATATACCATCTAAGGAGTCTTTCTGCTGTGTCTTTTGCAACCAGACTTGCCTTTCTCGTATTGGCCTTTTTAGCCACCAACGCGCTTGCAAGAAACGTGGGTAGAGCCCTTCCCAAATCTTTGTTCGCGAAGCCTAGCCATGATGATATAAATAATATTCTGATAATACTTATTAATCAGTAAGATAGAATTTGTTCAAAATTCCACTGGCACATTTGTGTGTGTATGTGTTTCCAAATGGGAACTATAACGGAAAGTTTTCTCATTTTTCAATTACTCTTGATTTAGAAAAAATCCAACTGTTTTGAGAGAAAAAAGTTCTCCTATTCTTTCTTTTCCTATACTGGTAAAAGAAATATTCTGTCATGCTCTACATTCCCGTTCTTCTCGTAGTTCTATCTGGCTGCTCTAATCCCTCAGAAGCAAATTTGCTCTCTAGTATCTCTGAGAAATATGTTGCAAAGAAGCTGGACAAACAGTAATCTTGACTATAGTGCTCAGGCAGCTCTGACCACCTTTCACTGCATCACAACAAAGAGAAGCTCAGGCAACAGCCAATTCCTGTTGCTGGCCTGCAGGTACTGAACAATGGAGACTCTGTCAGAGGCAGCAGGTTAGAAATTGCAACAGAAAATAGGAGCTGGAAAAAGAGAGGCTTGCAGCAAGGCAGAAAGTTCCTTATGTAAGTCACTTCATATTTTGAACAAAATCTTTCAGATAAATTAGCCCTTGAGCACTCTACATATTTTGCTGTATTTTTATATTAAAATATTTTAACCAAAACCTGGCTTGATATCATGCAGATTTTCTGTTAGCAAACTCAAGCCTACTATCCATCTCACTAACTGAAAACTGCAAAATAGATTATTCTTGCTATCTATCCATTCAGCTTCAGTACACACTTGATCTACTACTAACTGTAGACATTCATATACTGGAAAATAGAAATCTTGCAGCTATTCATACAAAAAATCATCCTCTGTATTCCCATTGAAGGTTCCACAAAGGCCCGTGGTATCGTCCTTCCACCGTTCATCCACTTGAAGGTAAAGCCTCAGTCCTTCTCTGTCGTACAGGATCTGTAATCCAATGTGTGTCTTTACTTGCAGAAATACAGAGGACACTTTCCGTATTTCAAATAATTCTGGTGAGTAAAAACAGATTGTTGAAAGGCAAAGGAAACCTGTTTGTAATTTACATTTTGTTTCTTGTCATTTCACTGGTTTTGGTTCATATAATTTTTATCTAGACTTGCATTTTTTCTTATTAAGACCCTATTTTCCCCTAATCATTGATTTTTCATGCAAGGTTATACTGATTCAAACTTTTTAGAAGAAAATAAGAAACTTGTGAGAGTCACCACTTTTTTAAAATGCATCCAGAGTTCACTGAAATGTTCATGAAAGTAAACTAAATGAAATCAATTTAAAGATACAAGCATTGCAGACCACTTCTTGTAGACAAAGTAATCCTAACACCAGGCACATTCTTCCTATATTAAAGCCTATACATTTTTGTGAAATTCACAGAGAGTCAAGGTCTTGCAGACATCAAATGTACTAATTATTTCATTAAAAAGCTCTCATTAAAGCTAACGCTAAATCTCACAGAACACAGTCACATATTCATAAGTAGAATAACTGATATCTTTGAGAGGGAAAGATTTAAAAACTGAAAGAAAAAAAAAGGATCAAAATAAATTTTGGATCTGAAAATCTGTAGTTTATCTGTAAGGGGCAAGAGGGCTCCTTTCACCTACATTTACTTGAACTGCTTACCAAAAAGGGAAAAGAGATTATTGAGTTCAAGAATCAGAGAAACTAATTCCCCCTCAAAAAAGAACTAACCAACCTTGCAAGTGTAAGGGGTGGCATGTGGACTTGTTAGAACAAACACAGTCTTAACTTAAGAGTCACCAGCCCAACACAGCTAATGTACAACTCCTATTATGTAAAAAATATGTCAGCAGTTAATTGGCAAAACATTAATAAAAAATTAACAACATTAATACTAAACCATGCCATTTAACTTCAGTATGTTAGCAATATTGACAGTAAACAAACATCAATAAAATAATTCTTTAGTGTTTGATAAGAATTATATGCTTATATATCATTCCTTACCATCTGCATAAGGTAGGTTAATTTTGTATTGGTCATATATCAAAACATCTCCTGAATGAGTCAGAGTCACTTGCCTCTTGGGATCCTGCTTAAGAATAAGGCTGACTGATTGGATACATGATCCATCCTGGTTCTACAAGTAAGAGGAAAACAAACAAGTAAAGGTATACTTAGTGGGGAATGAAAGTTTTAAGTTATACCTTGCTTCTTAGCAGAGTGCACTTGTAAAATATACAGCTTTACAGCTAAGAAAGAAAACTTAGTATTTTGAATGATTTCCCATATATTTTTAACAATAACTCTAACCTGCTATGCAAATACAGCTCAAAAGTGGGATTTGTAAAGAGAAATGGAAACAATTCTCACATAGCTTAGTACCAAGACACCTGCAATTCATGGAACCCCCTGACTAAAGACCCACTGAGGCTGAGTTACTGCTCACAAACAAGGCTGCATTATCTGTAGAGCAGTGCACTGAAATCCAAGTCTGTACATTAAAGTGTTCTGATACACCCAGGTTCTTTTAAAGCATATTTAAGATACAAAATTCTTTTGAAGGCAAACAATAACGAAAGACAGAAGTATCTTGTGAATCATTATTTAAAACAGCATTTAAGTTCATTATTTCTGAGGAGTTGTGGAGCATGTTCATAAGCTCCATGGATGAATATTGGTGAAAGAAAGGCAGCATCATGGAGCATACAATTTCACAATATCCAACAGGCCTGACTTGTTTATTGTTACTACCATTTACTACCATGCTTATTCTCATTTTCATTTCACTTCTCTAAGTCAAAATGACATACAGATATGAAAAGGAATACTGCACTGTAGTCCAGATAAAACATACTAAAAAAAAAAAAAAACTAAATCATCCTTATTAGGTATTTCTACATCCACTCTCTTCAGTGGAACCAACAGCAGCTAATTGACTGAAATTCTAAAAAGCAAAAATATTTAGACTTATGTGCAAAAGTTTCACAACATAAAGAAGCTACATGCCCTACAGCAAGAAATTTCAGAGCAGCTTAAAGACCAAGAATTGAATTCAAGTTAACTGCTTTCATCAAAACAAAAGTCACTTATTGTGTACTTATTCTAAGTTTTTTAGGTTGGGGTTTTTTTCACTCAGTCAACTACTGAAACTGATGGGTACCTTGGTGAAGTCCCAAACTATTTAACTGTTACTGTAGTCATCTTCGACTAGACATCACATCACATGTGGAAAGCAGCACAAGTCTGAGGGCTACTGAATATTGAATACTTGCAACACGCCACAGCAGCAAATACACTTTTACCAAATAACTTGGAAACAAGTTGGACAGATGACTAACAGTAGACAATCCAATTAAAGTTTCCAGGACAGGACTTCCACCTTCCAGAGTAAATACAGGTACTTTGGCTCTCAATGCCAATGCGGGAAGAATGCTTGTTAAAGCATGTTTATCAAATCACAGTAGATTAACAGATTTTTCTTAAAAGAATTAATCTGATCACTAATTAATTTTTTAAAAAGAAAAATGTTCTATCACAGAGAATCAGGCACAGAGGTGGATTGAAAGATGACTTGAACTATACCATGTCAGCATTCTGTAATTGACCTTGCTTCATGTTGAAAGACATCATAATCCCAGTCCACATTTTACTTTCTCCTTGTTCTAGGAAAAAATTAGGTTTCTGCCACTCCTGCTACACTCAAATCTCTCTACTATAGCTTCTGAGACATCAGCTTATTTACACTGGCTTGGTGTAGCTGGATAAAGCTGAGAGACTGTCCATTCTCTGCCATCTACAGATGAAATGGGAAAGCACTCAACTGCTGTTTCTTCTGTTCAGCCTCCTTCCCTGCAAGACCCTGTAAACATTCAACAGGTATTCAAGAACAATGACAAAAATTGGGTCTGGTCACTTTGGTCACATTATTTGTTCATTTTACTCTCATCTCAGTTATGCATCTTCAACATCTCATAATGTCATAACAAAAATATCTCTATTATTAACACCGATTTCAGCACAATTCCCAAACTGTCTTATATACCAGAACATATACAGACATGTCTGAAATGACTTGGTCAAAGAGCAGTCTAGGTCTCACTGCAGAAAATTTCCCATTGATTGGATCTGGAACGGTGCTGCAGTCCAGAAATGTTCAGCACAGGTATAGGAGGTTGCATTGTTCAGCTCCACTGCCTTCAGTGAAGGCGTAACTGATGACGAAACTGTGAAATTTTAAGAATCTTCAGTGCTGAAAGAGGCACTGAAACAGATATAGTTAAAATGACCTTTGGACAGTTGCACAAACAGCAAAATTATACAGTGAATAGCACCATTCACAGAGCAAAGAGATTATGATGCTCAGTTCACAGATTTACACTTTTATTCAACTCTGACTTTCACTGGGACTTGTCTAATACAAGGCAAATGTTGCCCTGCTTGATGAAAACCATTACTAGTGCTGCAAGGATCTCTGAACACTACCACATGGATTTCACAGATGCTGAACTAGCAAAGAGAGATCATTTGTCAGCTCTTCAAGTACCATGGACACATAAATACACACAGTAGTATGCAAAGATCAGAAACTACATGCAGAATTTCCCTGTCTCTAGAGACTAATTCAACAGTGATCTTTCACCAACAGCTGAAATGATAAAATGAAACTAGCAAATGAAAACAGCAGATTATAAAAATAACTAGAGATATTTCATCAGCTCAACCAGCTCCCCTGGACTGACAGTGAAGACAGACATCTGCCTTGTGAAGTCAAGCCTTGTAGCGTATCTTGCTGTCTTGCCTCTTTACTTAAAAAGTTAGGTTTTTGTGCATTTCATTCAGAAACAACAGCTATAAATTGATGACACTGTTGGCTTTTTAAGAAGCTGAAGATGAAAGAATGGCAGGTGACATGCATAGGAGACCAGAGCCAAGAAAACAACCCTCCGTAGTATATACATTAGTACAGGATATCAACAGCAGCTTTATTATTCCTTCGTGCTGAAACTGAAGGAGAAATTCAGCCTGACAATTGTTCTCTGTTCCAATGAACTGTTTCTTTCACAGCACTGCCCCTGCCAGCTTTCAGCAGGTGTTTTCACAGAAATGGCCATTTCTCTCACTAGACACTTCAAAAAAAAAAAAAAATCTATATTCAGAAGACCTTCTCATCATACAAACTACAAAGCCAGCGAGGTTGTCACCTGAAACTCAGGTAAGGTTAAGCTGTGCTGATCACTTGACTGATTCTCCTTCCAAAAAGTGCTTAAACAAAATTTCACATCGTTTTCAAATAACTTGTTGCCTGATGACTGTTTATGTCACCAGCTCTAAGGCTTCAGATGACTGGATTCTTTGTGATTCAGAAAGCTAAAATCTCCCCAGGTATTTTCTTTCCACATTTTTTAATCTGCTTGAATAAGATGGGAGTGATAAGGCTTTTTTAAAGAAGCACATAAAATCTCAAACCATCAAGAAATATGAGATTCCACATTACAAATCTTTTAGCTTCCCATTTCAATTCATTAATTTTTATAAATGGGAAAAAAGATAATGGACGGTGCCTGGGGAACTGAAAAGCACTCTTCTGCCAAGTAGTACCAGCTAGTTGATAATTAGACACTCAAATAGCTGCATTGAAAAAAACCCACATTCTTGCCTTATACTACACAAACTGTTCTCACTACCCTCTTACCACTTGTACACTGATAACTAAGTTACCCCTGGAACATATCACATAATCCTCTGATCACTCATCTGACTGTTAACATCCAGAATGCTTCACTCAAACCTCTGTAAAGGCCTATACCTATCAGAGACTGATTAGGTTACCTTTGTTAAAGGCTATGTGAAGTACGAAGCCCAATAGGTAGTAAAAGCCAAGAGAATTTGTTTTTGCACCTACAAACCACTTTGACACAGAGACACCATTAAGCAGAGTTGCTAAGTCATGGTGAAGAAGAAAGCAAGAGTTAGTACAAAGCACTTTGCAGTCTCACCAGTGCTGCAGAAAGCCAACTAACTCAGTTTTCACTTTCCCCAGCAAAAAGTAACCAGAACAACTAAATCAAAAGGCACAATTCTGTCTGGTTTGCACACAGAATAATTGTTCTGTAACGCAAGGAATGAGATACATATTCATATCCTGCACATTACCACAGCAGGTGTTTGCTCCAGACCTCTGTTGTTCATTGATGGAATTTTCAACAGGTCAGGTTGGAAGGTTCCTCACTGTGGGCTTCTGCAAGAAGTCATTCAGGTCTCAACTCTCATTTGATGAAAGAGTTGCCCAGAGTGTTTCTCTGGAGATTTCCTTTGCTTTTCTTCAATGATATAGTACAGCTACACTATATACAACCACCTTTCTCAAGCTTCTTGGACTTTGCAAAATTCTGAGAACATGACACTGACTGAACAGATTTACAGCTATGTTTATGTTTTTTTTCAAAGCTCTTATTTTTATTTTTTTTCTTCTAGATGATACTAACTTAATCAGATCCTCAGGATTCCAAATTTAGCCCAGAATGAAGCTAATTAAACTTATTAAAATAAAAACAAGCTAAGTCAAATATGCACTTGAAGTGGGGAACTGTAACACTAACCAAATATATTGTATCTTGAAACACTCCCAATCTTCCCATAAACAGGAAATACTAGCAGGATCACTAGATTCTTCCCAATCCAAAGAACAATGCACACAGAGGTTAAAGTCTAGAAGTTCTTTTAGTGTGCATGTCCTTGCCAAGATCTCATTTCACAGCCCCCACTGTAATGCTTCTACCTCAAAGAGCTAAAGGCTATTAGAGCATTTTAAAGCAGCTGTATTTGCAACACAGGAATCCACTTTTTCAACAGTGGTAACTTCTAAGCCCTGTCACATAGCTCACCTGGTGTCTTTAGACATTTCTCCTAGGAACCATAAAAGAGACATTTACTTGAGGATCATCTAGTTGTAAAATATATTTCGTCTCTATCCAGTTAAGCTATTTTTCTTGCCTTTCAACTTTTATCACTGAGATGAGGGGATTCCCTGCACTCAGTCTCCCATCTCTTACCCGGATCGCAAATACGTAATTCCTATTATAAAAAAAACTTGCCACTGCCACTTTTAATAAGAATTCTTTCTGCTTAAATGTATTTTCTGTCATACAGAGAAGTAGGATTTAGTGCAGAAATACAAAACGACTACTGAAATGTGCCTTTAGAAAGTGTAGCATGACAACTTACATAACCATTTCTTCCCAAGGAAATCTCTAGTGCATGAACAATATAAGCTGCAGAGAAGAGTGACTGCAATCATTAATGTAAAAGGACTTGCAGGATCATGTATTTATTTAGAACACAAAAGAAAACTGATACAATGAAACATAAGTAGCTACCTCCACAGAAGTACAAAGTAATAGCACTAAATCTGATTTTATGTGAATTATGTAACAATATAGGCCTAACATATAGTAAGTAGGTGGTCTAGAATTACAGCAATGTTATGTTTAAGGCGATATACACTTCAAACACCTGTACAGTTGCTTCTAAGTAAAAATCATTACAGAAGACCATTAGAGACAGAAGAGAAATTTGGCCAAGATACAAAATCTTTTCCCTACTGCAAGTCCAGCAACTTAGTAAGTAGGCATCCACAGTGGCATCATGACCCTAATACAAATGTGGGCCAAATTCTGCCCTTACAAACACATGTAGAACTCAGTCAGTGAGAAAAGCCTGATTCCAGAAAATGGCTCAACTCAGTCAAATATGCTTCTCATATGCTTCTCAGTCAACTATGCTTCTCATCCTATCAAGACTGTAATGAAAATGCAGTCAAAAATCTTACCAGTGTTCCATACCTTACACATAGCTTTATAATACACACTCAGAAATTCACATACACAACAAAGGAAAGAAAATGGGTCTTGGATATAAGGCAGATGAAACATCTGGCAATTTCTGTGTACAGTACCAGAAACCTTCAAATATAAAGTAGGAGCACCCTTAATATCACCTTTAGTAGCACTGTTAGTATCAGCTACCTACACACACATGGATGTTTGGTTGAAAACAACTGTAAAGGCTACCAGCTTAGCAACAGTAAGACAAATGCATTTATATAAACAAATCTGAGAGAGCTGCCCAAAAACCTAACCAAATGTTTTCATATCAACATAAGTAAAAGGAAATTTCAAGTTGCAAGAACAAAGACAAAAGAGAAATCTATACTGAAGTCATTCTTCCTTCAAGCAGTAATAAGCAGCAGTCTTTGTGCTGGCTGCAAGTTCAAAAAGATGTACTCAGAAAGCTCAAGAAACGAAGTCATCATCCAGGGTGTACTGCATGAACCCCCACATGCTATTGAATGACCTCAGTGAACAGTGAATCAGAACACTAGCATAATCTTTCCTATTATCCCAAGCAAACACGAGAATTTACATACAGACTTTCTCTGCTCTGTTGCTGTCCAACTACATCATTACAGAAAGTTTTTGCTACTATTTATTATATGCAGTTGCAGGTAGCTTGCTTGCCTTTTTTTTTTTTAATACTTTTTTCACCAAATAATAGACCCTTCAAGATATAAACACTATAAGAAAATTCTAAGACTTACCTGTCCACAAGGAGCATTTTGCAAGGATACGGTAAATGCTCCAGATGTACGGCTCTTGGCTAGAATATACTGGCAGGGAGCTTGGAAAGTGTATTTGCGCCCATCAAAGGTCATGAAATGTGTGTCTCCTGAAACTGAGCATTCAGCTGACAAACACAATAAGCAATGCATTTAAGTACGCAGCAAAGACAGTGTACTCTCAACAGGTATTACTCCTGTAGGGTTTATAGACTGTGATAATATTCTATAATTCATGAAATTGTATTCATAATACAACCAGGCACTAGAAATACAGTTAAAGAGCTGAACCTTATCCTTGCTTTTGTATTGGGGTTTGTACCTGATGCCTGGCCGGGATACCTCAACATCTCTTCCCCCAAAAAGAAGCAATAATATGTGTAATCCTTACATTGTGGGTATTTGATTTGTGGCTCTTAAAACGATTTTCAGAAACATTAAGCATTCCCACTGTTAGCTGATAAGCCAGGAATACTGAATAAAATAAATTAAACTTGCCATAATGATGTCAAGTGAGGGTTGCAGTGGAAAATTTGGTTGAAGAAAATAAATGACCAGGTAGTGTCATCTACCAGAGACATTATGGTGATGCATGGGCTGCACTAAGCTGAAAGGCAGATGCCTGCTATTTAGACCATTTTAATATTTAATCTACTTAGTCTGTAGATGCATTTATATGTAGATAGAAATAAAATGCAAATTACGTAGTGAAATATCATAATATTTTACCTGAAGAATTCAGTTATCAAAAAGTTAAGTATTCAAGACTTTCACATACCTGGACACGTAAGATTTGTACAGATCCACTTTCCTCCAGTGCAGGTGCTGAAATCAAAACAAAAAGGTTTCATACTTTTATTTTGTGAATTACATACAGTTGTCCCTCAGTTGTTCTTCCTGGATTCCTTCTCTGTGAAATGAGCACCAAGTGTCTTGCATCTTACAAAAGGGTACAACAGAGATATCACAGTCATTAGAATGCCTGAAAGCTATGGCAAGAACTTGTCATGAAGATACAATAAGGTGAAATTTCATCCATGCATCCAGTAACACTTTAATTTCTTATTAGATCCTTAATAACCATTAAAAAAGTTAAGGAGTAATAAAACTGAGAAGAAAAAACACATGCAATTTGAATCCTATGACTTAAAAATAGAATTCTTGTGGAAAAAAAAGGATGTGCATCTGCAAGCTCATCCATTTTCTTCAATAAAGGTGATCCAATAAAAGGCACTTTCTCTTCCTATCGATTTTTCTTTCAAATGTATAAAATCACCTTTGAAATTCTCAAAACATCAGCTTAGTGTCACGCTTACGTTAGGCTTGTTATGTCCAACTGAAATAGGCCTTGAAGAAGTTGTGTCTTAAGACCACAAAAGGATGAAGTCCACAGCATAAAAAGCAAAACTACTCACCAGTTATTACATTCCTCAAAAACCACTGAACCCATTTCAAAGAAACTTCCATGGTAGTCACAAGGACAGTCCATAGGTTTGACACACAATTCATTTTCATAAATTAAGCCTAGAATAAATAAAATAACAAGAAAAAAGAGAAATATCCCTGCAAATGACTGACAGAGCACTACTAAGTATATTCAAGAACAACACAAATAGTCTTGTATGCTAATATACTCTAGACTAGTAGTTAGTAATTGTCACCAAAAATAAAGTGCATTTGAATTATATTTAACAAATTATATTACATGGATCAAATCACTAAATTGCCTGAGATACACTAAATATAGTATGAATAATAAATATTTAATACTGGGTGAGAGGGGAAGGAAACCACACACACAAAGAAACCCCAAAACTAAATACACAAGCCACACTTCTTTGAGTACCTTTGGTTTATTTTTTAAACACATTTACAAATCTTTGCCCATTTTAAGGTACTCTTTGGTCCTTATTTTACTGAAACAGGTTTTTGCTTTGGTGTTTTCTGGTTGGTTTATTATTTTGTTATTAGAGACCCAGAAGCTAAAAGGCTTTACAACCCATAAAATGTAAAATTATTAATAAATAATAAAGATGATTAAACTTATAAATAATCAGGGTATATATAAGAGGCATGACTTTTAAGATCCATGGCATAACTCCCTCTATCCTCTTTTATATAGAGTTATGTACCCAAGAGAAGCAGTAACTAAAGGAAAACTGGACATCAACGGTCTATTTTGGTGATGAGGGTAAAGTTTTGCTATAGGCCACACAGTAAATACATCACTTGCCAGAACCATACAACAGTGTAAGAACCTCAGTATGAAAACCTGTTTATGGCCATATAAATGAGTTTTACTTACGGCATGTTTTTGAGCTCTCCTAAGCTCTGTAACCTTGCAGGCAGTATTCAGGAAAAAAAATGCAGAAAAAAACCAAAAAACCACAAGCAAACAAAACAAACACAAAAATCAAAACCCAACCCACCAAAACAATCCTCCCTCTCCTCAAAAACCAAGTAGCAACCACCACAATCAGGAGGATGGTTGTCCTGTAACAAGAGAGCAAACACCATTTTTCATTCAAATTGTGGGTCTGTACAGCTAGAATGTGCATCTGTGCTGAAATCCATTGCTACTTGTTAGGAGGAGGAAAGGGTTGTTGTCACTAAGGAAAATAAGGTCATTCATCCACACACCATTGGCACTTCGTTTATAAAGAGCTCCTGGGAATGCTTTAGTCTAGTCAGGCCGTATAGAGACGTAAACTTGGGGAAAAACAACCTCAAAGTTATATGGAATTAAACAATACGTATTGGAGAAGCAAAACTTACCATCTGGACAGTAACATCCATCAACACAGGAAAGCTCACTGTCAATGCATTGTGATTGCTGATGACATGAAACAGGACAGCAGTTGATGCATTCATTGTAGGTCAAGGGTTCAGTACAGGTAATGACTAAAAAATAGAAACAGGTAGAGAAAAGGTATTGTGGTAATGCCTCAGGGCTTCAATAGATTGCACATGTTCCTTTCAGGTATTTACTTTTTGGCAAGTCAATTGAGTATCTGTTGTCTAGAGAAATGGCTTTCATAACACACACACACTCGCAGAATTGATACATATTTATATATATTCACATTTTGTCCATTAAAGGTGCTTTAAGAAGGAATAATCTTAAATTACACCAAGGGAGACTCAGAAATTTTCTCACAGCAGAGCTATTCAGACACTCAGACCATCACAGTCAGAACAGAGATTTTTGGAACCATTGGGGAAATCTGTCCTGGATGACAAAGCAGTTTGGGTCCTGTGTTACAGGCAGGTGAACAAATTAGATAATCTCTTTCAAACTTACTTTACGTGACTTATATAACGAACACTTACGCAAGTGTAATTTGAATTTATTTTTAAGACTCATGACACACATATCAGAAAGCCATGAAGATCTGGACATTTGAAAGAGTAGCTCTATGAAAATAAAAATGGTTAATCATCTTTAAAAATATCTCATTTAGTAAGAAGGCTCTTAAATCACATTGTAATAAGCTCAGTACTTTAAATATATTCCGTACAATTTATACACATGAAAGAGAAGTCCCATCTCATTTATGTAGCCTTGACGTGAGTTTCATTCACTCAACAGTTTCATTAAGAGCTATATGAATCCAAAATAGGAGGAAGGACAATAAAGTAAAACTATGAAGAGCATCCTTTTCAAAATGCAGCTAATAAGCAGCACTTGCAAGTACGAAAGCATCTACGTACCACACTGCTCGAAGTGCACACGCCATCCATGAAGTGGCTTCCCTGCTTGGGCACACGCTCTGGCATATTCAGTTAGTGCTCGACACCAAGTTGCATTATCAACTGCTGACCTTACACAAACAAAAATTGACATATTATTTTCTACCTACATTCAAACATGCAATCATAACCTCATGAATGCTCCTGCATTGCATACAACCATCTTGTCTGAACCTACTTTAAAACTGTACTGTGCTGCTGGGCTAGGTTAAAAGTCTTTAATGGATTAGACATTTTGCCACAGATCATCAATATGAATACCAATATATTTGAGACCCCACACAAATTTCTTGAATAAATCCATGAAAGACAGACATACAGCAGTATAAACAGACTTGAATAAAGGTCTTGAGTTTTACAAAAGGGCTAGCACCCTGCAGAAAACTCACAAGAAAGTGTAAGATTTCCACCAGTGAGTCACCATGGTACTGCGAATGGAAATTACCTTCTGTCCTGCCTGTTGATTTAACTGGTAAAAGTTGCTTGGACAAGGAGCATAGCAGGTTGTGATATGTTAGCATAAGTTCAAATAGTAATCAAATTTCTCTTTACAATGGATTACCATATGGCTTCCAGATGCCAAAATGACCTTTTCACTATTACTTTTCATTATAGTAATACTATACTAATACTAAGGATGTTGCACACTCAGAATCAAAACAGGTGCCATATTCATGGGAGATACATTAACAAATTATGAAGATATCATGGCCTGACTTTGGTCCCCTTTATGCCAAAGAAAATAGGAACAACTCCACAGTGTTCCACTGCAGTAAAACTAGAACAAGTGAGCAAAGACAAAATAATAATGTCAGATAGAAACAAATATGCAGAAAAAGATACAAATCAGTTCCGTTAACATTTACAATTCATTCTCATGATAGAAGGACTTCTTTTTTATAATAGTTTTGTTATTACCCAAAAACATTCACTTACATGCAAAGATCATTTGTGCAGCTTGCCATAAAAGAAAGAGGACTCACATATTCATGACATTGTTTAAATGGGGGATGTAACAGGATATTGCACAGAGCATATGTCCTCTGAAATGAAAGAGACAGCTGTTGTGAAGAGAAGTTTTTAAAAAATAAACATAAGCTGAATATAATAGAATACTATGGAAAATCAGAACAGACATCTGTGACTAGGAATCACTTTCCTCTCACCAGCTAGAAGGAGTGTCTAGCAACATATTGCTCTACATGCCAGAGTATCCATAACCAGTATCATACCAGTGGTAGTAAAACACATTCCTTCCCCAAGGGAACTACAACTAAGCCAAAATAACCTGGAAAAGGTCTTCATTTTAATTAAATTACACAGTAAAAGACAACAGAACTAAACCATGCTTGTCATCAGCTTTAGTTTCAAAGCACTTCATTTAAGGGTTATATCCTGAAAATACTACTTAGAAGGAAAAATTACTTCAGTGTTATGGACAAAAGTAACAATGATTCATTTTTAAACACTGACAAATTAACTGTGCTCTCATTCTAGTTTTGTGTCCCTGCTTCTTTCTATGCTTCCTAAGGGAAGGAATGGGAACTAGTTCTAGAACATAAGCCTATTTTACAACTTTTCACTAATTTAGCTTCATTTTCAAACACTTCTATTGGCTGCTATGCAGATAATATAATATTTGAAAAGATCAAGAAATACAGAAGAAAAGGGGGGGCAGGATGGGACGACAAGAGAAGATCTGCTGCAGCAATCATTTTAATTCATCTCTCCAAAGAGCTTTGAATATTTCCAGTGAGATTGAATATTTCCAGTCTCCTTCAAAGCATTAAGTCAAATTCTTGCTCTAATTAGAATCACCAGCTATTGTAGTAATGTTTTTGTGTTGATCCAAACCTGTAGAGATTCATGGGTTTGTGTCAGGCACGGTGGTTCATTGAGAAGAGATTTATCCCAGTTGGGTGTTCCTTGTGGAGGATTTTCCTGCCAACTCTCTACGAATTCAGTTACATCATCTGTCAGTTTTCCTAAACAAGACACACACATACAGTCACACAGTGACTTGGAAGAATAACAGCGTCTCTATAGGATTTCCCAGGGAAACATCTCAATAATCAAAACACATTAAGAAGAGAACACCCATCCCTTCTTACTACTAAATGAAACAGCTGAAATCGATCTGGTACTTCCAAGAAGCAAAAAATACTTTTAAAAGGAACTACAGAAAGGGTTTTAGAATAGCAGAAGGCAGCTTACTCAGGCTATTTGGCAAGGAAGGGCTTTAAGTGAGGAAGGCCATGCCTCCCTTAGTCCATCAATCAGAAAAAAAAAAAGCTTTAATAAACTGTATATATATGGGTCTATGCTTCTATTTTAAATGAAACTCCCAACAGAGAGCGTAAAACCAAGAAAGATGAGGCATTCATAGGTCACTGCAACAGTTCAAAATGATTGTCTGCATTAGCCAAGTAGGGTGTGACACTTAACATAGGTAGAAATGTCCATGCTAGAGTGAAACTAGCTAATCATTAATACTATCATCCATCATGGACAAGTGGTGACACTGATTACTGCTTGGATTACCCACAAATGCATGTCTTGCCATATCTTCATGGCAACTGCTCCCCAAGCTAACTGGATGAAGCTCATATGCAGTGTATTTAGACTTGTGCTACAATCACAGTTTAATGTGACTGAGACACTGAGAAAGGTGAGAGTATGCAGGAAAGTCTCTGGGGCAACGAGCTATTGACCTTGGTATTAATATAAGCAATTTGATTTAGTGAGCAAAGGATTCAGTGTGGGTAATGACTATCAACAGTGCAGGGTTGGTGCTTTCTGAAACTGAGTGGCATGCACAAACAACAGAGGAAACCCAGCACATCTACTCTGAGCTTTGGAGTAGTACGCTACAGAAATATCCTAATGTTAAAGGGAAGCAAAGAGCTAAACAGCCCAAAGCAATGATTTCCAGAAGTTTTTATAGCCTAACTTGAAATACCTTTCAAGAGACCTGTTTTTCTTTCCCTGTTTATTTTATTGAGGTCTTCACTCAGTATTTACTGAAAGCCAAGACTCTTGGAAGTGTCTGAAGTTAATAATGAAGGATCACTAGTTAATTCTGACAGTGTTATCATAAATGAAATGCCAGATCAAACAGGATTTGACAGTTTTCATTTATTTGATTTAGTAATTACTGATTTATTTCCAATAGCAACATCTCAGGCTTCCACAGGCTGAAAAATTGCTAAGAGAACAGCAAACATTTAAAATCAGATTTTACCTTTCAGGTCCCAAGAAACTGAAGTACAAATGCCATTGCAGGTAATTGAGCAAGACAGTTTTTTTAAGATATTCCTCCCCACAGCCCCAACTGTAATAAAACTGATCCTCTTCGCTAACAGTATCACCTTACAGAAGTATTTCCACATCGTATTTTCCATTACAAAAGTTATTCATCTTAAATTCAATTAGCATTATAATTAAAAACTAAGCAAAGTAATATTTATTTCACCTGAAAAAATCCCCCACATTATACAACAGGAAGCATCTTAAATACTCACCATAACTAGTTTCAAGGTCATCCTGCAGAATAGCATTATTGTTTCCACACAGTCCATGAGTTTTGCCCAGGTACTCTGGTGCCATTTTGATGTATACTGCAGATGTACCATCCCATGCCAGAGTAAAGGCATACTGGTGCCTGACTAGGAAGTATCCAGCTAGTTTCTGGATGTGTAAGTTTCCAATAATATGAGGTAATCGTACTCTGAAATGACACAGAATCAAAAATAACATTACATTACAAAATATAACCATTAAAAATAAATTACTTGCTGATGTAATGACTGCCTCATGCATCTGAAAATTCCTGATGTAAATATTGACTAACTCCACTAAACCAAATGAAGTTGCAAATAACAGCAAAAATCAAAGGATGAATGTCAATGGTTATACTTCTTAATACTATATAACACCAATTCAGTTATCACCTTCCTCAGACACTACTCCGTAGATGGGGAGTAATTATTGCATTTGTGGTCTGGATACTTTTTTAAGCTACCAACAAATAAGTTTACATCTTTGCTATCAAAATGTTACCATGACATTAATTCTAATGTAACTAGAGCATCAGAAAATGACTGGAATTACCCAAAGCCTTTATAGGTGACTTCACTGCTCATCTTTATCTGTTCATCTCCAGAAAAGAATAAACTAATGGACCTTTTGCAGGAATAAGGAGAAGAATGGCATTCAGGATCATTATTCACCTGCCAAATAAAAACACTAGTGTCAAAGTCAAGTTTTTAATCAAATTCTTTGCAATCTGCATGTCATACAACTAATACCCCCAATCCCACACTCAGCAGTGAACAAATAGTTTGGTCCCACTCTAGCACAAAAAAACTGAGTTATGTTTTCATAGCTGTGGTCTTTTCACAGCTTTGTGCAAACAAAGCAAGCTTTGGCAGTACACACATCAGTTTTATTCCAGTTGTTTACATTTTGTGCTGTGGTAACTGGCAGCCCACAAAACATAAGAATTACATTTATCTTACATTCTACAACCCCATAGTATTATCTCAAGCGATTTTTAATCTCTTAAAATTAATACATCATTAGCACATCCAATAACATTTAAAAGGAATGTAGAAGCATGGTTCCCTACCTGTATGGAAAAGCTCTGTTCATCTGCTTCCGCATGTCTCACAAGTGCGTATGAAGATTTCCCAGAAAAATAATAATAGAGTCCATCAAAAGTTTCAAAATTATACTGGCCCCATGTTCTGCATATATGATCTCTTTCAGCACCTGTGTTATACACTAACAAAAGGAGAGTCGCTTTAGACATAGCACTGGGGTTTTTTTTAATTCACACTCTAGTTGACATGGCCCAGTATATGTGGCGTACTGTGAAATATTATCACTTAGAAGAATCGGAAGGAAAAACGTTAGAGCACGAAAGAACCTTTAGGCAGAGGGTAGTAATTCTTGTAGCTGTGGGAACCCAAGTACAATCCCGGAATTGCAGTTAGTTTTCTCTTTTTACACACCTGTCTGGCATCTCGGTCCAGTTGCATTAAATCGACTGCAGTTGCACAGCTCCCTGTAGACACACTCACCTCCATTAAAACATGTAAGTGAATCTGAGTGGAAAAAAACCAAGGCATATTAAAAATAAATTATGATAATTTTCTTTCTTAAGAACCAGTGCTTTCACCAAAGTGGAAATTCACTACATGAATGACAGGAGATGCTGACTTAGCATTAAAGGGCCCTGGAGAATCCAACTGGCCTCCACAAAAAGGAAAAATACTGTGAAAGTTTCACTTCAAAACATACAGTCAGTTTAGCAAATATATTACATATGTAGAGAAGCCAAATCAAAATGGTTGGCTGTTAGTCTGACATGTTTTCAGTCCCCTAAGCAATGAATAGATGAAGTGAACAAGTACTGCACAACAAAAAAGCACAGTGCCTATATCCTTACTTATACTAGTAACACCCTATGGATAAGCTCTGCCAGGATAAGAGCAAATACAATACATTAGAAATACGAATGTTTAGATGCCAGTTGTATATCTTTCACCTGCCTGTCCTCCTTCTATCTTGCAGCTTCACAAACACTATCCATAAAGACACAGATCCCTGACTTGCAACTTGACATGTTTGGGCTTGGGGCAGGGAGGTGCTGGGTTTTTTATTTTCCCTGGGAAGATCCCCATCAAAATATGACCAAACAAGTTTTCACAGTTTAAGGAAAGATGTGCACAAGCAGAAACAAAGTTTCTTGCTACTAAATTAAAACTTTGTGCTTGAATCTTTTTTTAACAATTGTGATCTCTTCACTTATTTTGCTAATATTTGTTCTTATAAAGTTTTTTTAGGAAAGGATTTGAATTTTAATAATTGCCTATTACATAATTACGTAATTTTTGCACTTTAGAACACAAACTGAGATTGCATTTGTTGCAGACAAGTTGCTCAGAAGAAACAGTTTCAGGAAGAGACAAACTAAAGACTCAGTCTTCTTTTCTTTATCTTTATAAACACATCATTCTTGAAAAATAATCATAGAACCATAGAATGGTTTGCATTAGAAGGGACCTTTAAGATCATCTATTCCAATCCCCCTGCCATGGGCAGGCACACCTTGCACTAGACCAGGTCACTCAAAGCCCCATGCAGCCTGGCCTTGAAGACTTCCAGGGATGGGGCATCCACAACTTCCCTGGGCAACCTGTTGCAGTGCCTCACCATCCTCACAGTAAAGAATTTCATTTTAATATCTAATCTAAACCTACTCTCTTCCAATTTCAAGACATTATCATTATGCCATGCTAAATACCATAATGTTAGAATGAGGAAGACATCAAGAATATTACAGCAAAATATAATTAAAGAAAAAAATCTCAAGTGTTCATCTACTTAAAGTCACGTGATTTTTACAAAATACTCTCTTCAGTTACAAGTTTACAGAATCCTTACTAAGTTCCGACAAAATTTGACAGAACATTTTATTAGTGCTATTTCCATTTGCAATCACCTTATAAATACTACTTAGTTATTTGAAGACTTTAAAAATATCTAAACAATTAATTTTGATACCTTTGTTTTCAACATGCACCCCATATATACACCAAAAAAAAAAGAAAAAAAAATAGAGGCCATGCTGAAAAGAACAAAGCAGGTAGACAAAGCAAAAGGCAATGCTCCTTTCCCTGCCTGGCCAGCCCAAGTTCAATAAAAACTAATGCAAGCAGCATGTAGAAAGGTTCCTACTCACTCTGACTGAGCAGTCTCATTTACATACTCACAGTGACCAATCTTGACAATAATGCAAAAGCCTTGTTCCTCTTGTCAAGAGTGGCAGACATTCTGCTCTTTCATCTTGAGCATTGTGAGACTTGAGTAACCAGAGCTCAGGTCTCCATTCTTTGCTTCTCTAAGATTCTGCCCTATTGCCTGTCCAGTTACAATAATGCGCAATTAGACTGCAAGTCATGTTCCTCTTGGCTGTAGAGGAAGTTAGCCCCCTTTTGATGTTTCAGGTTGAATGATTCCCCTCTAAGTGTGGCTCAGGTAACCTGCTTCAAGCCATGTATATTCAGATTGTGAACAGAGTCAGCTGGCCTGGGGGCCCTTGTTGTCATCAGGAAGGATCTCCCTGGCTCTCTTTTAGAGAGAAAGGAAGTTAATCAAATCTGAATTGGAGGTGAAATGACTCAGTGATGAGTGTTTTCTTCTTTACGAAGTTTTCTTCTGAGTATGTAAGATTCTAAGAAAATATGATAATCATAGCTCTTATATTTCTTTATATCCGTTTACATCACTGTAAAGTATGTTTCCTTACACTGCATAGAAGAGCTGTGTGTGCAAATAATAGTTATCCTTAGGCATGTACTGAGAAAAGCAGCATTGTTTCAGATCACATTTAGTGCTCCTACTACTGCAAACAAAGTGGCCTCCTTTAATCATATAACTCCACTCAATTAATGCAGAAATACTTCCTAGAATATCAGGAACAAATTCTGATCTTTGTCATTAAAAGAATATAAGCTCCCTAACTAAGCTAATCCATATGACCATGTCAAATAGAAAAGTTTATGGAAAGGTTATGTCATGTCTGCCCCAGAGATGTGAGAAACATTTTAATACCTGCAGAAAAGGAAAAAAACATCAAGACTAAATGAAAACTAGAATTGGGAAAAGTTATGGAAGAATATTGTGGCTTTCATTTACCTGAAAGTGACACCTACTAAAAAGTTCTCAGCTCCTCTTTCCCCTTTGACATTATGCCAGTTGAGTGCATTGGGTTGGAATCTGAAACTGAAAACTTGTGAGACTTTTCTAGCAGAAAATGGTAGACCTAAGTAATACAATTTGACTCACGTAGGTAATTAAGGGATTTCTAACCTGTTGCCACTACAACCTGCAGAATATGACCACTGCAGTCATGAAGCTACTCATCCCAAATTCCCTCTTTATTGAGCAGGCTAAAGACTTGGGTTCACCTTGTAACACAGGCTGGAGTTCTTCTCTGTTCTCACAGCTTAAATATTCTAACCATCTGGTAATTACTGAATAGGCTGCACAATATGCAGATAGGGTTACATTAGTCCCTTGGGTGCATGAACCTCCTTTTCAGTTCATCCCCCTTTTAAATTCTTCAGGCAGTAAGAGCCTTGAGGCCAGTGCTGCCATTCTAGAAGCAGTAGCTGAACCTTAAACCCATTATTTATCAGAGCCTCTGAAAAAGTGTGACTGTAATCTAGGCTGTTTGCACTTCACTGCAAGGGTTTCTGGAGATTAGTGTCCACCTTCACACAAGCGACTACTTCTTGTGTTCTCTGAAGAGACATGCTTTAGGAGCATCAGGATAACTGTTCAAAGCCATCTTGCATCTTCATCAAAATACACATTTATTTTGAAATATTATTATAGATACATATATTGCATCTATGATATTGTGCACACAGTTTATTTTACTTTCTTGCATTACTTCTTCTCTAATGAGTACTTAAGACCTCTTGAATTTATTTCAGTTGCAAATGAACTCTATGTCCTGGCTTGCTTATCCATGATTTATTCTTCTGATCTAATGTCTATGAAGAATAAAATAAGTACAGCTCAAAGTAATTTATGTGGTGTGAAGCCCTTCAGCATGAAGTGAGATACGGTCACTAAAGAACCAGTCTCACCCCTCAGAGCACAAAGATCTAACTGCAAGGCAAGCATGTATATGTATTCCACACAAAAGTTAAGATACTAAATCAGAGACATCTATTGCACTTTCATTCAAGAACACAACTGACTACTGAGATTACCATGCACATCAATTTTGAGATAGTTGATTTTGCTTTAACCATCATGTGAATACAGATGCTCCAACTCAGTTTTGACCTCACTGTAATACACCATTATCACCATCACATCTAATTCTTGAAGAGCTGTGGCTGAGGTGGACCTTCCTATAGGTTATTTTTCTGTAAAACATTAAGTACTCACTAGTGTTGAAATTCTGTATTTTGTTACTGTTTTTTAAGACATGGTATGAAAAAAAATAGTTTAATGCAAAGCAATAGAGACAGGTTTCTTCCCACGATATCGATTACTAGACTCACTTGGACAGAAAAGTTTAAGTATGAAAGACTAATTTAGAGATCTGAAAGTGATAAAGTTTTACTTAAGTAAGGTAAATACAAGATCCAACCTGTGCCCTCAGTTCATACGATTGTGCCTATACATCAACTTTGACCCAAACAGTTTTAGAGCCCCAGAGAGTCATTTACAGAAATAGACAAAAATAGAAAAAGAAATATTTTTCAGGATTCTTTAAAAAAATGACATTTTTTAAAATTCCATGCAAGTGTAGGAGGGAGGTTTGTCTGAAGGTAAAAGTACTAAAATGATCAATTAATTAAAAATTAATCTTTATTCTGAAATGGAAAAGTGAAAAAGAAAAGCAGATCAGGATAAAAATTTTCAAGAAGCTTATGTTAGACGTACAGTGACACATAAAAAAAAAGTAAAGTTATGCTTAAAATGGAATATTTAAATTTTTGCTGTCAACATTCTTCAAATTTTATATTTTGTAACTCTGCATAATTTCCATCACACACTTTCTCTAGGTGCAATCTTTCATTAAGAGCTTTCCGCTGCCTTTGACTGTGGAGAAATAACACAGCAAGTATTTCTTGCATTATCTTTTGCCCTTCAACTTCATAGTCTGTGAAAGTATCTGCCTGCAATGGCAGGCAGATGGCACATGCTTCTATAGGATGCAATACAGCCCTGGGCCACGCTGGATCTAAAATTTTCTTCGGGATTCTGAGGTGAATGAGTAGGATGCAATTTTAACCCTTCAATCCCAAGAGCCTTCCAGTTAGCTGCAGATGTTCTGCTCTTGTGCATGTCCTCAAATCAGTCTTCAAGCACACATTTTAAGGGACAAGTATCTTCTATAGTAACAGTGACTCACGCCTGCTACAGCATTTCAACACAAGAAATTTGAAGTGTTTAACATATTATAAATTCTCAGCAGTAGTTTGAATACTTCCACAAATAATTTGTTTTGCCTGTCTTTATATTAGCTCTGCAGTCTTCTGTTTGGGGTTTGGTTTTTTAACTTCATTTATTGTTGTTTTAATTTTACATGAAAAACTGATTTGTGCAGAAAAAAGTCAGAAGTTTAACAGCTATGTAAACTATGTGTTAGCTTTGCCAATTATTACAATAAACATTTTAAATGCCATGCTCCCTAGGTAGAAGAAACTAACACAAGAATTTATCTCTTGGCATTTGTTTGTGCTGTAGCAACCTTTTTGTTTCACTGACAGATAAGACATGACCTCACTTTCTGAACTGCTTTCAGATGACTAATACTACACAAAGGTAAAGAGATCTGTTGCACAAGTCATGCACTCATTCCACATAGAACATGTTGGTTTATCTCCATAGAGCTACTGAAAGCAAGAAAAAATATTATTGCAACAAGAATTGCCTGTGACTATAATGAACTTATATTTCATACTACTATAGTTTTATTTCAAAGATTATTTTCTTAGAGACATTGCTAAGCCAGGGAGAGCAGCTGACAGCCTACCTTGCTGTTCTGTTTTGGGGTTTTTTTGGATTTGTTTCTTGTTCTGCTTTTTAGTGTTTGGCGAGTTGTTTCTTTAACAAAAAAAAAACCCTTTACTATTTCATATATCCTCAAATGGGTGCAAATCCCAGTCCATGGGCAGATTTATAGCAGCTTGCATCTCTTCAAATTGGAGAGGCCAAAATGAAACTATTTTTCTAAGTATTTGGAGCATGATATCGAAACTCTTGTATGAAGCAGATCAGGTTATTCTTTTGTTTTGTTTTTCAATATGTCTTTCACACACAGACAACAATGCATTCCATTTCCCACACAGAGTTTACTGGAATTTAAAAAGGAAACTCCCAGGTCTGGGTATTACACTGCTTAAAAAGTTTAATAAGACTAATTTTATTTGCCTTCAAGTACGGGCAATCATTAATAACTTTTAAAGCAGGTCTTCAAAAACATTGTCTTTCCAAACCAAGTACATCAGAAATGGAAAATCCACACGTAATGTTTTTGCCTCATAGAAATATGAGTTAGAAAAAACCAAAAAGGCTGTACTATTACGTCTGCAGAGAGCAATGAAATCTATTTTTTGCCATTGTAACTGCATCCTCCTTCAGAAGCTTAGACATGCAATGAGTTAGCATGAGAAATTTTCTACCCATTTCATTCTCCCTTGTTCTAATTTTTTTCTCCCCTTTCTTAAGTATTAGGGCTGTTTAAGAGGCACTAAACTTGCACATAAACCTTTGCAAGAGTTTTTTAATAGAAGCCTTGCAAAGGATTTATGTACGTGTGTTTTATTGCACACTTGAACAGCAACACAACATATCTTAAAAGGTTTTTCCCAGCTGGTTGCTCTGAAGCAAAAAATGAAATCCACTAGACCCGTTAAAGGAGTTTTGACTAGAAAAAAAATAAACCCAGGGAAACAAATTATTATTATGGCAGCAAATTTCTCAGCATGATTTACTTATCTTCTCTTTGTAAGCTGCTTTATTTAGTTTTTAAAAAATGAAATCATAAGTACTTCTTGATCAGTAAGCCAATGCAACCCTCAAAAAGAGAGGACGTTTTACTAGTATAGACTGCTATATTTGTAAAGGAATTTTATCATACGCAACATATATGACTTTTTCATATACTGGAGAGAGGTTCATAGGTAATAGTCCTTATTTGAGCAATACTACACTTCTCTAAACTTTTGCACTGTTCCTCCACATCCAGCTGCACACTTCCCAAAAGCTTCTGAAAATAGTGTGTATTAAAGATATTAAAAGCTTCTGAAGATGACACAACCCTAACCACAACTGATGAGTCCATTCCACACATCTTGCCTTTTGTGCTATAAAGCTGTGGAGTACAAATCCACACTATTCACTATCAGGTAGGTCCCACATCCAATGCAATCCATCAGGCTAACTGAAGAGAAACTAGAGGTTTCGCACCACTAACTAAAATTACTGGGAATTATTTTGCCTCATACTTCTCCTTGTACAGAACAAGCATGACATGGACCTTTCTGTAAAGCTAACACAGAGGATCTTTACCCTTCAGCAAAGATATTTTAAGCCTGTCCACTTCATTTGTGAAAATAAGATGAAACAAAAAACCAACACACACATTCCTCAAGAAAATACCCACCACTGCAAGCTGGTGGCTAAGGTACCCTATCTTGCTAACCCACAGATTATACACACGAAGAGCATCCATAGATCACCTCAGCAAAAACATAGCAAACAAAAAACCTCCAAGCACAGGAGAGGTACAGGGCAGACAATTTAATGGCACCCAGTAGCAATCCACCTATTTAGGTATATCACTACAAGAGCAGATTTCCCTAGTAAAAGGTTTTTATTAGAAAAACTGCAGTTAGAGACAATCTTTCAAACCAGAACCAGGTGTAAACTTAAAGCTATGTTAAACCCTATAACAAAGTATCCCACTGCTATGGATCTTAAAGATTGATCAGAGCAGACCTCCTTTACCACAAAGACTTGTATTAGTTATTTTAGGGCTTTTTCTTTCTAAAAAATAATTAAATTATGCAGAAAATAAAGTTCAAGAGATTTCATGTGGAAACATAAATAACTTACTGGATGGTCCACATTTCATATTGTGAAGTCTCCTGTTCCGAGATAAGGACATTGTAGTAGATGAGGTGTTATAAATTGCCATTCCAGACTCCTTTCAGAAAGAATAAATAAATCAGCAGCTAAAACCAAGACATTTAAAAATCTCTTCAGAGTCTATCAGTAAATTTACCAGTTTTAGTAAGCTCACTGCTTCATATTTGCTCACTACAACATTATCAAAAAACTCCATTCTAAAATAAAAAGTACAGTCACTCTACTCAAGACTGCAATAGTTCTTTTTTCTTTTTCCAGTCATCTAAAGATATTTCTTACTGAAGATTCCTGCTCAGTAGGCTAACAGAGAAGGAAACAAAGAGTCTATTGCTATTTCTTGAATTCTTAGGGGGAGAACCTCAATCTATGAGCATTTGCTGTTATTGCTGGTTGATTTCATTACCTGTTTGCAGTTATGTGACATTTTTTTCTTTGCTGAGCTTTTCCCAGAAAGAGCAGGAAGAAAGCAGAAAGAAAGGCAACTCCTCTGTGGAGTCACAAACAAGGACAACAAAGCAAACTTTCCTTTTCCCACCCTCAAACAAGGGAGCAGGAACCACACACCCTAATTACATTTCAGCAACGTGCCATGAGTGATATAGACGAGTTGCCAAGATAAACCACATCCAAAAACCTGAGTGCTGAGCTGTAGTGATCTGATACTGCCAGGTCACTTACTCTTACTGAGAAGCAAAAAGGCTCCCACAATGCAATTGTTGCTGGATGAGCTAGACCAGACCTCAGCTTTCCCTCGAGCAAGGATGCTTCGTACAACAAACAACTTTCTGAAGGAGCTGAAGCCCTAGATACAACCACACAGTTTTCCCTGACTGCTTAAACACTTCAAACCCCAAGTTTTCTTTCATTCATAAATGACACTCCTCGTGAGTGGGATAAAATACACATTCGAGGACAAGTCTTTAAGAATTACAGAGAACAGCTACCAGAAATATTGATGGTATCACAGTAATGTACAGATATATTCAAGCAAGATTTGAGATGCACATTATCCTGATGACAGCCAGCACAGCCATCCCTCGATCCGACGCCACTTGCCCCCTCAGAGGGGTCTCGCCGGGCAAACCTGCCACTACCTGGGGCCATGAGCGACGGCACCGCATCACCTCATCAGCCCTGGTCGCATCTCGGTCGATGCTCTCCTCCCGGGGCTCCTCGGAGGGAAGCTGCACATCCCAGCCTCTCCGAGGAGGTGCCGCAGCTCCCGGCCCCGTCGTGCCCGCCAGCCGCCCCATCACAGCGCCCTGCTGTCCCCCCATACCTGCATCGCCGCGGAGAGGCCCTCTCCTGTCCGAGGTCCCCCGGCGCTGCCTCGGCTGCGGGCAGAGAACAAGGCAGGGTTGGCTCGGCCCGGGCAGCCCACCCGGCCCGGCCCTCCCACCGCGCATCACGGCGGCGGGGAAGGAGCCCTGCTGTGCCCTGGCCGGCTCTTACCTGCGGAGCGGCACATCCCCGTCGGCAGGGAGCTGCGCCCAGGCGCCCCATGGAGACAAGGCTGGAAGGCAAAGGCGGTAAGTTAGCGATGGCCAGGACTGCCCTGTCCTCTCTCCCATCCCATCCCACCCCACCCCATCCCCGCGCCCTGCCCGGCAGGAGCTCACCCGACGGCAGCCAGACGCACAGCAGCGCCCCGAGCAGGAGCCGGGTCTCCATGCGGGACCCCTGGAGGGCAGCTGCAGCTTCCCACAGAGCTCCGGCCACTACCTGCGCCTGGAGCTCATCCCGCCCTTCCGGGCGGGGCGGACTGGGGGTTTATCAGCCGCCCGCCCTCCGCCCCCCGGCCCTGCCCTACCCTACCCTACCCTACCCTACCCTACCCTACCCCAGCGCCCACCCCGGACACCGCCCCTCGCTGTGCAGCCCCGGGCCGGCTGCATCCCTGCAGCCGAGCGGCCCCGCTATCGCTTCTCCCTTCTCCTCCCCGCCTGTGCCGCCGCTGACCTCGCCGCCTCCTCGAGTTTATTTCCACTTTTCCGCCTTTCTGGGCTTCTCTGCCAGGGGAGGTTTAGGTTGGATATTAGGAAGAAATTTTTTACAGAGAGGGTAATCCGACATTGGAATGGGCTGCCCAGAGAGGTGATGGATTCACCAGATGAGACTGAATGTGGCACTTAGGGCCATGGTCTAGTAACCACGGCGGTGTTGGATCAACGGCTGAACTTGATCTCGAGGATCTTTTCCAACCCGGTTGATTCTATGATTCTATTATTCAGGAAATGATTCGTGTCCCGGTGTCTGAGCAGGAGCCGGGACTTTCGCGGTGGGGTGCGGTTTAAGGCTGCGCCTCACCCCAGGGCGAGAGGAGCCGGGGCTGCTCCCGGCGCTCCTGGAAACGCGCACGGACCGAGTGCAGCCAGCCCGCGGGGAACCGCGTGCTCCCCATGGGAAACGGCAAAGGTTGTCCGTGCTCAGCACGGAGCATTGGCCCCGACCCATTGAACCAGGTGTCAGGACTAGAGTAATGAAAGGCATGAGTAAAACATGAACTGAATGCAGCATGAAGCTAACCTGTATGGATGGTTTCCATAGCTTCTGATAAAATTTATTAGTATGAATTCACAATGTGGAGCCTTTTCCATGTTTATTCCTCTTCTTTTTTCGCTCTTTTTTTTCCTTGTGATTAAAGTTGCTTCCTTACATTATGTTTCTTCGTTTTCTCTTCCCTCTTCCTATCACTGTTACCTTTTTTCTTTTCCCTTTCCCATCTGCTGCTGTCTCTCTCCCCATCATTCTTCAGGTTTGCATATCTTATGTCAGAAGCTTTAGAAGCTGCCCATACCAGGCGAGAAACTGTCTCAGATGAAAAAGGGCCTTTTCTGACTGCTTTGAGAAGTCTGTTAACAGTAAGTCATTAAAAAGATCTCTTTTCTGCCTTTGTAATTTGTCCCTGTGGATTGTGTTTCTTGCTGCAACAAGTGTTTCATTTCTAATGAAATGATGGAAAACTAGTAATATTTTCACTGAGAATTCTGTTCTCTCCTGTAAGCGTTGGAGGGAAAATGTGTATGAAAGAAAAGGAAGTGAGAAGTAAAAGATATTCTTTAACACAGCCTCTTCCCAATAACCGCAAACAGATTTCTAGAATTATATGCTAGACTCTGCCTGCAGCAGAACCCATCTGCTCTTGAGTGCCACATGCACTTGGCTTTGGTGCACTTTCTCTGGTCCATGTTACATTAATGAAGTAGAGAAAGTAGATAAAAAGCCACAGGAATCAGGTTACTCAACACACACTTTAATGTATTTCTTTGCCTACTAAATGAGCTGCTCCTTTTATTCCTTTTCCCTTAATGCCACAACTAGCAAACAAGAACTGAAACTAGTTCAAAGCCAATTTAGATGCAATTTGATTTCTTCTTAGGTAAGATTTCATTATCTAAAAATAATAAAGAGTCATAATTTTATCATCTTCTGATATTATGTATTGGAATTAATGAAGAGTTCAGAACCATGTTTTAAATGTACTGATTATCGAACTTATGGTTTTGGAGCATGGGACAGCTTTGTGGATTTGTTTGCTTTGTATTTATGCACAGTAAAACACAGGAATTCATGTAACAGCAGACCAACAGCCAATCATGTTTGTCATCCTTTCTATGGTGTGTCCTCTGCATGAGGATTCAGAGCAGCTTTCACATCACCAAGTGAAGATTATTCCACAATTATTTACTACATGGAGGAGTTTCTGACTCCTGGAAAGTTCATCTGCATTGTAAAATCCAGTTGCTTTCTTTCAAATGTACATAACTTCAAGCTTATGAAAGAGCTATTCCTGTAAAGCCTTCTAGAAACAATTGGTAGATATCACTACTGTTATAGTCTATATGTAAATTTAAAGGACATGTACACAGGTTTTAATGTATCTTTTAAATTTCTTGTGTCTCCTTCTTTCTCTTTTCAAGTATAAGACAATTTTGCTTTGCATATGCAGGGAAGAAGTCCTATAGCAGTGTGTTTAATGCTTGGATAGAATAGCTTTTTGATATGATATGGTACTGGAACTCAGGTAGGAGACGTGATTCATGTACTAGTAATTGAAATTTTGAGAGAAAATTGTTTTCTGAAAACAATTGCATTTGTTTGTATGCAGGCTTAAAATGCATTCCTCTCTTATTCCTGACACCTGATATGAGAAAGAAGCAGTGTCCATCAAGTTTGAAATGTTCCAATACAGCAAAGCCATCTTCTGAAAGGGGTAAGAGCAATTTCTAAAGAAGCTGGTATAGCTCACAAAAATTATCACACAGAAATAATAAAACAGAATCCAGTTTGTATTTGGCAGTGTATGAGGTTTGTTTTATCATGCCTTTATATGTATTCATACAAGTTTCCACTCTGTTGGAAGGAGGAGCAGGTAAACCACCTGTGCTTAAACAAACCCTGTTCTCTCTGAAGTTATATGGGTAAAGGTGATTCTGCAGGGAGACAAAGAGACTTAAGTTAGCAGGTATCCTCATCTTGCTTCCAGTCCTGATTGCAGAAGTCTATAATTTTGTACAACAGTAGAATAAGCCCAGGGCAAAATAACATAAAAGAGATTAGTCTGAAATAGGCACCTTTACAGGTGCTCCGAGCTTGATTCTTCTGCAGTTACTCACAGTGGCCATGTCAGAGGCTCTATTTGTAAGCAACAATATTCTATCAGTGGGAAAGGCTCGTGGAAATCAAATAGTGGTACATCAGATTCACCCTGCTTACGTTTAAAAAAAGAAATAAAAAAAAATTAGGTTATTTACAGTATGGTCATTTATTGAAGCAGATTTTTCTGTTTGTTTGGGCCTGGGTTTTGTTTGGGTTTTGTGGGGGTTTTGTGGTTTTTTGGTTGGTTGGTTGGGTTTTTTTGGTTGGTTGGTTTGGTTTGGGTTTTGTTTTTTTAATCCAGGTGTTAGTATGCTTTAAATTTCACATCTTCGTGCTTTTCGTAACTACTAGGGTTAGTGAAATACATACATACCTACAAATACAAGAGACAAGTCTGGATTGGGAGCTCAGTGCCGTACGAGAAGCACCGGTTGTAGAATCCGCCCCAGGGAAAAGAGCAGGTAGCGCTCCGCAGGGGGGTGCGTGTACGTGTGCTTTTTTTTTTTTTTAAATTTTACTTTCTCCATCCTTTTGGCTGCAAACGGCCCCAGCCGGGGGCGGCAGGCAGGTTGTGGTACCCCCGGAGCAGCGAGGCCGGGGATGCGGGAGGCGGCGGCGGGAGCGCGTCCCTCCCACCACCCCGGGGCGCGGCCTCGCCGGCGCAGCCGCCCCGCCCGCACCCGCGCACGATGGAGCGCAGGGTCGCCCGAGAGTTCCGCCACAAGGTAAGGCAGCGGGGACGGCCGGGGTCGCCCCCCCGAGGCCAGCAGAAGCTGCGTACAGAGCAGCCCCCCCTGGCCCGGGAGCGGCTCCCGGCACCGGGGCGGGCTGGCGGCGCTGCCGGAGGGAGCGGCGGGGAAGGGAGAAGTTCGGGGGACTTCGCGCGGAAAAGCGGGCGGCAGCCGCCTGTGAGAGGGTGGTTAAAACCCCTAAAAAGAGAGGGAGAGAAAGGAAGAGCCTTTCCCAGTGCAGGAGTTCTTCCAGGGCTTGACTGAACGTGTTATTTTAATACCACGTCGCGCCCGGTCCAGCTCAGGGCAAGACAGCAGCGCAGGTGCTGAAGTCCAGGCGCTGGCAGTGCCCATCCCAGCCCTGCGAGCACCCAGTTCCACCTTAACATTCCCCAGTGCAATTGTGCATGTGCAGTCATGTGCAAATGCACTTGATACATGGAGCTACTCGGTCTGCCTGGCACGTCATTTTGTCATTTACCCCGTTAAATAAGTGCTCAGCAGACCGCAAAATTGTATGGGCAAAGGAAGCTCAAAAAGCTCTAATTAAGGAAAGGAGGAGGAAAATAGTTTACGTGTTTAAGAGATGTTTTTTGCGAAGCCATTTAGGACTCTCTCAGATTAAAATTTTCAGTACTGCTTTGGGGGTTTGGGGTTTTGTTTGTTTGTTTGGGGTTTTTTGTTTGTTTGCTTGGTTTTATGAAAGAGATTATAGTTGGTCTGGTTTGGTTTTTTGTTTCAGTTTTCTTTTAGTCAGCTAGAAAACACAATTTCTTCAAAGTAATGTAATGTTATATAGAAGTATCTGTCACCTGGTAATAAACCCATTAACTAAGGGATTGTTAGGTTGAAGTAGAGGGAATGCAAAAAACACTTTATGTCAAGCTGAAGTTCAAAAACATTAAGGACTGTAGCCATCTAGCACATTATTTCTGCCTTGCTACCTATTACTGTATAACTCAGCAGTGGGTTGTGCAATGTGTCTATAAAGACTCTGGTTTCTAGGCAGATGGTTACCAGCTTGAACTTTAAACCTTTTCCCTTTCATTGCTACTATAATTCATACATCATTCAAGTCCCACCCCGATAACGTAAGATGTATTTTCAGTGTTACTGCAAATAGGCAGGATACAGATATAAGTGAAAACTTTACCTTACTTAGAGGATACTGTAACAGGTCTTCTCTTTAAATTATTTTGTATCATCCTACTTCTAGTGGCCTCTGTGGCATCCAAAGGCTTGAATGCCTGCTTTTTCTGTGACAAACCAGTAAAAATGTTCTGCCATAGGATCTGAGTTTTCTTTGTCACTTCCTTTTTATTTTTTCTTAGCAATTTTAGTCAGCTTTCCCTATCAACAAAGTACCAGTGTAAAGTATGTAATATATCCAAATATATTGACCAACTCTTCCCTTTCTTTCAATAGTTTTTCAGTGTCTGTGTAGCTTAAATAGAAATGTGTATTATTCTTTGAAAGCTGACAGGTTGGGCTTGTTCTACAGTAGTGCATTGTAATCTGAACTTTTTCCACACCAAAAAGTGCTTTTTCCTCCCCACAACTTCTGTTTTACTGAATAAACTTATGTAGACTTGTTGACGGATTCAATTTTTCTTTTTTATGTAAGTGCAGGTTTTGTGAACACTTCTTATTAATTTTTATGAAAAACAGTGCACATTCTGCTGTAATGTGTCAACAACTATTTATGTTCTAGGATTTTAAGTAATTCTACTACAGTGAGGACTATTTAAATAATCACAGAAAGGCTGAGTTTGGAAGGAACCTCTGGAGGCCATGTGCTCCAACCCCATGCTCAAACACAGCCACCAGGAGCAGATTGCCCAGGGCTGTGTCCAGATGGGGTTTTTTTAATATGCTTGGTTTAAAAGGTGTGAAAATATCTATCCCATGCTCCCACACTTATTTTCTTCTGAAATAGAGATATACTGAAATATTTCTGTGATCCAAGTTATACCATATCACCACTGTATTTTTTTTTTTTTTTGAAGATGGGGCCCATGATTTTTTAGGATTTATGAAATTTGAGTCAGGTTTTAGAAGCTGATGATAAACCTAGGTAAAGCATATGTCTACAGTAAGTTTCTATCCCAAAGAATTTAAGAATTAGTAAAATGATAAGAGATGCAGGTGGCTACGATGCAGTGATGGTGGAATAGAGGGCAGCAGGAGAAGAATGACCCATTTGGAGAGATGGCCCAGGAGGGTTAACCCAGCTGTAGCATTCTGAATATATAAGAAGTCATTTGTGGGTTTGTTTTTGTCCAGAGGATGAGGAATTTGCTGGTGCAGGGTGAGAAGTACAAGAATCAAACAGCAAGACTGACCATTTTGTGAGAAGAAATAGCAGAATTTAGATATGAATCTCCATTTCCAGAGAGGGAGTGGGGACGTGTCCATCACTTAGCATATCGGGAGAAAAATGGAATGTTGTTACTCCTTGCTTTCCCCATCAGGAGAAGAGATGGTGATGGTTTTGCCCTTAGCTGTGTAGGTTTGATGTGCTTAAACATTTAATGTTCTTCATGAGACACTGCTCATAAAGTACCTTAGCTAGCACTGGAAATTGAGTTCTGTATACCAGAGCCAAAACTGACTTATATGTTATATTTTTCCTGTTGGGGAAGTGAAAAATGGATGCTGGACTCAGTTTTACATGTATCACCTTGACTTGAGTCTGTGTACAGTATCGTGGCCCAGTCAGTTTTGATTACAACTGTTTTATTTCCTTTTAAGGCAGATTTTATCCTTTGTGCTTTGAAATTCACTGTGAATAAATTGGTTTGCTCACTAGTATTACTGTCAAGCAGTCTTGACCTGCATGTAGATTTTTGGCCTTTTGGTGTTTTGAAAGTGGTTTTTTTTCCAGAAGAGACAAGTAACAGAAAACCACCTGTATGTGAAGTCTTGCTGGCTTTAGAGAGCCAAGTGGGACAAAAGGAATGTGAAGCATGTATTGAGTTTAGAACATAATGCAAACCATTGCAAACCTAGAAAGAAAGTGCCTTTCTTTAAGTATGCAAATTGCTCCTCAGCCTTCACGTCACAGTAATATTAGCCTTTAGGTCAGATGTAAATTGTTTTCCTAAACATCAAGCTTCTTCAGATGTAAAACTACTGTGATGTGACCTCTCACTGCAAGTAAGATTAGTGGGGGTCTCACTATCACTGAATATAAATTGAACTACTCGTACAAGAATTTTAGGGGTTTTTTTGCTTTAATTTACTGTAATTATCCAAGAGCAGGCATAGTAACATGACACTGGTTCAAGTAAATGTACTATTGGTGGGGGAGGAAAGAATAACTAGCAAGTTCTATCAGTTAAGAGCTGGAGCAGAGAGGAACAGAGATGCAGCAGTTGGCATAATGTTATAAATGAGATCCTGAAACTGGTGCTTTGGACAACAGAACACAGATTATATCAGTATAGTGGTTTTATCTGTGACAGCATGTGCTACATTAATGAATGGCCAAAAAGGTTTCTGAAGACATTTATTCAACAGTACAGTAATTTTCAGGTAAGACAAATATGATATTATTGTAATAATATTACCGCTGCATAGATATATATCAGCATTTGCCACCTTGTCCAATTGTTGTAATACTAATTTTAGAAAGTCTTGTTATAAGTGTGACTTTGTGAGGTAATGCTCTGTTGCAAAAAGATGTTTATCTTAAAAATAAGTCTTAAAGTCTTTCCTTGATGAAGTCCTTGCTCTATAGTTTAAGAATCTGTGAAAATCTCTTATGTTTAACATTTGTGGCTATTTAGTCAGAGATTTATGATAATGTCTTTGGGTTTTCAGGTTAATCTATTAATTGACAATGAAGCGGAGAAGGATTATCTTTATGATGTGCTGCGGATGTACCACCAGTAAGATCTAGCTTTATATGTGTTTGTGTAGAATTTTACTGATATTTTTAAATTTAAAGAGTGAATATTCAAGATTTTAAGTTGTCTTTCTATATGCTACTAAAAATTAGTTAAAGTAATAGTTTTTATCCTGTCTAATGACATCTTAGCGTTTCACAGTATAACCTGTAGGCAAGGAAGGATGTCTGTAATCACCTATAAAGTTACTTTGGTTTTTTGACTTGGTAGTTTTCTAAAAGAATTTGATGGATTCATATTTGGGGGGTGTGGGAGGGGAAGCACCTGGATGATAAAACTGTTCTTAGGAAACAAATAATGGTTACCTATTTGCTACAGAGGTATCCGTTGAGATTGCTTTGCAGAAATTTTTGCAAAATATTCAGATAAAAAATTTGCAACTGTTTTTTCAGAAAGCTGAAAAAATTTAGTCTTGACTCTGTTTATCATGTTTAATGACTCTGGCTTATTACAACACAGTGGTAAAAAACTGGTAAGGTGATAGGCCTATTATCAATCCTTTTACTGAACTGATTTAAACCACAGTTGCTTCGGACTTGTATCATTGCAAATGACATCAGTCTCTGATCCATTGTTTTTCAAAGAAGATGAGAATGTATTTTCCGCTCATCATAGAGAAGTGGCTCTGATAGACACTGTTTCCATTCATATCGTAATTAATAGCATCTCAGCTGACTGAAATGTAGCCGTTTCCATCTGATGTTTGCCCTGAGCTATAGTTATGGGGGTATTCAACTGCATATCTGATTCAGTTTCACTCAGGTCTGTCTAATTGCTTTTCCATTCATAAAGGCCGTTGTTTGGAAAGCTGATTGATTCAGTAGCTCTGAATTATTTAAAATCTTCTTGCAGTTAGAAAATTAACAATGCATATAGCAACTTTTCTTTAATTTCCAAAATTGCAATGACTTGGGCAAAATTTTCAATATGTCTGTGAATGTATGTTTATGATGTATCACTTTTTGGGAATACATGGTGAAATATTCCAGGGCAAAAATACGTACAGTTGCTGTTGAAGACTTAATGTCTTCTTCACTATGAATACCGTTTCCAGAAGTATTTGACCTCTAATCTGTAATATTGTATGCCAGGAAATATAAATTATAAGAAAGGGAACAGCAGATAATACAGAGTAAATTTAATTGGGTATTGTGTAGGAATAACTCCACTGAACTTTAGGGAGCTGTTACTCCAGCTCTTGCAGCTGTTCAACAAAGTATATTTTGTAGACGTATAACTATCACAGTGTTGATAGTTATCAATAGATTTTGTTTTTTGGTTGGTTGTCCTTCAAATTTGATTTGGAAAAAAAAAAATTAAAATTTAAGCCAAGTCTTTGCTCTAGCAATTGAGTATTGTGATTTTTTTTTTCCTGGATTGAAACAATTTTTCAGTCCCCTAAGTTCAGGAAAGACAGGAGCTTGTAGGCTAGATTTACCTAAAAGGATTCCTAACTGGTAAGGAAACAAAAATCTAGTAGGCGGATATGTCTAATCTGGAAAGTTATTTCTGAACAGTTCCTTAAATCTTGTGGGGACTCTGAAAATGAAATTAAGGATGTCACCTATAAATGTGATGTGCATGATCTTAAAAGATAAAGTCAATGTATAGGAGACTTCAGTTATTTTGGAGCAAGTAGTTGTTATTCTTCTCTACTTAGAGAAGGCTTACTTTCTGAGAGACTATTTTGCTTTGGCTAAACCAATACCTGCATAAATAACTTTTTGAGTAGCTTGAAAGGACATGCAAATACTGAAGCCACATGTACAGTAACTTTTAAAACAATGCTTTGTGTTGTTTACCTGTGCTTGTTTTCTCACTGTGTTTTTTCAGATCTATGAATCTTCCAGTGCTTGTGGGGGACCTAAAACTCGTGATTAATGAGCCAAGCAGATTGCCTCTATTTGATGCTATCCGCCCACTTATCCCCTTAAAACACCAGGTGGAATATGATCAGCTGACACCCAAACGATCACGGTAAGAAAATGCAGAATAATGCAGCTGACTTAAATCAAGCAGGAAATACTGGGTTTCCAGGTGAGTTCAGAGTAAAATATTGGTTTAGTGTAGAGCTGGGCATAGTTATTTTACTGTTGATTTATTTGCTAGAAATACAGCTACAGGGAAATTGTTTGCCACCTGCTTTAATCTAGTAAAAGCAGGATAAAGGAGTAAAAAAAATATTTTCTCATTTTTCCTGCATTTAGTAATAAAAAAATTCTCATAGCTCTAGTCCTCTGGAAGCAGATATGTTCAGTGGTTGCAGATGTCTTTTTGTATGAATAATACTTGATGTATTTAGCTAATGCACATCCATCCAAACTTCAATCAACTTGCTTTTTTAAATGCCTAAATCATATAGCAGGAAAAATAATGTCTAACTTCCATATGAAACATATTTGCCACAAGGTGTTATTCAGTTGAACAGTCAAGTATCTTCTATTTTTGCAGAAAGCTGAAAGAGGTGAGACTGGATCGTTTGAATCCTGAAGGGCTTGGAATAAGTGTGAGAGGTGGACTGGAATTCGGCTGTGGCCTCTTCATTTCCCAGTTAGTTAAAGGAGGACAGGCAGACAATGCTGGACTTCAGGTAAGAGAATTATATTCATGTAGTGTTAGGCGCTAAGGATTGTTCTTTAACATTTAGAAGTTCCTATTTCTGAGGTGCTCTTTGTCTCTTCTAATAAAATCCATAAGACATGTAAGTCAATGCCATAGCCAATACCATTATAAAAGTGGTAAAACTGTTCATGTCACCATTTTTAATGATATGTAAACCGTTTTTTTTTCCTTATTTGAGATATGATAGTTTTTGGAGAGTAAAGATTTTTCTGGAATGTTTATACTTCATCAGTAGCAACAGCTAAATGTAAGCAGACGGAAAGAAAGATCTCTAGGCTGTGTAAGAGTGGTTTACATTGCCAAATTCTGATTAAATGTAAAATAGATCTTGTAAATACTAAAAGTGTTAATTCAACTTTGCACAGATATAATTTCTGTAATGGAATGTTTATTTGAAATTCATGTATAAATTGTGGAGGTTTTGGTTTATGCAATAAAAGAAAGATGCTGTTTTTAACTATTTCCAGTGTCCTCTGTACTGCATAGAATTGCACTTTCTGTGATTACATTTTAGATACATGAACCTGCCAAGAAGGTTGGCAAAAATAATTATGTATAGGAACGCTTTTTTCCTAAATCAGTACTTATGCAATTTGCATTCATGAAGTTTTGAGTGTTTGGCTTCTTTTTGAATGTGGCATTGCTTAGTGAAGAGAGAAGCGAGCAATTGCTATGGCAGATGTCTGCATCTTTCTATGGCTTTGAATCTGATAAGATGCATTAAAGGTCTGAGTTTGAGTGGAAGGACTAATTTTAATTTGTCGAGTCTGAATATTTGCTGAAAGTATTGATGGTTAAGGATTATGTTTAATATTAGCACAAAATATATTAGGCTGGCATGACTCATTGCAGTTTTTGATTGAACTTACATTTTTTGTAGATGTGCTTCAGCATTATGCCACGACTCTCCTACATTAAAAAGTAAAAATAAATCTCTGTCAACAAGGCAGTTAAGTTAGGTTTCCATGTTTGTGTAACTCATGCTGAGAGCTTTCTGAAATTTAAATAACTGTTCCTCTCTCTGTTTGCATGCATGCGTATGCCCTTTTCTTTGTGCATTCATAGCTGTATATCTGATTTAGGATCACCACTGAATTAGTTCCATCTTCTGTCAGTCTGCTCTGGACTGATGCATGACTGGCTCCCTGAGTGCTTTAGAAACTCCTTTGTAGAACAAAACCATAAGTTCTGTATGTAGTTAGAACTGAGGGGGTGTTTAGGACACCAAAACACTTTGCTGTATGTGTTGTCAGCCTACTTTTAAGCCTGGGATTTACCAGTCGGTAACTCCAGAAAAGGGCATTAATGCACCATCTCAGAGTTTGCACTGCACAAATTCATGTACCTCATCTGCTATGTTAGACAGTGAGAACAGGAAGTGTAGACAAGAGTTGTTCCTAGGTTGTGGTTAGCTCATCAGAAATATTCCAGCTGCATCCTTCTTCCATGCTAGAAAACTGAGAAAAAGACAAAGACCAGTTGCTTGTATGGCTTTTGAAAACATCTCCTGGAAAATACTGGAAGGCATTAATGATGCTGAGCAATAAAGGACTTAATAGCCACTGTCTTAAATTGTCATGCTAATATGTACATCTTAATGCTGTTTTGCAGCTCTGCTTCTCAGCTTGTTTCAGACTAATGTTTTGACACGATCACTAGATAAAGAGTTAAGCTCAGTTGTGTTACTGTAAGGATGTCAGTTTTCCTGATTTCTCAGTACACAAAAAGGCTGTGACTGAGGTCATTGCACTACATGTTAGTGTCAATGAATGGGATTGTAAAGGATCTCAGGGCTGGGCTGTACAGACTATATTGCAACTCAGGACATGGTTAGAGTTTACACATAGTAGGGACAATAAGGGGGAAGTATACTTGTGACTGACTGCGAATTTGTTAGGCTTAGATTATATGAATTAATATGAGCAGACAATGCTTTGCAGCTCCTGCTTTGCAGCCTAACTTCTGTTTTTTGATATGTGCTGGTAAAGCTCAGCCTAAAATGCCTGAATAATAGGTGGCACTAGGCACTTTCTGAACCTCACTGAATAACAAGACCTGACAGGCAGCCCATTGTTCTAGATTGCTGTCTCACAGTAAAGCCAACTGCTTCTGAAATTTCACCTACCTGCTTTATTTAACTAAATCTCTACGCATTTTCTATCCTAAAAATGCTGTCTGAGAAAGGTATAATGATCTTCTATTATACCGTCAGTTTTACATCTTGCTGCTTTAAAAAAATTCCAGTTAATTTTGCACGATTTCTCCTTGAAGTGCTTTCCAAGTTACATTGAAATGACTGAATAATCATGGAGGCTCACTGTGGCACTTGTAGTTTTGACCCTTTTTTGACTACAGTTTCTCTAAAAGATTGCAAGGTTTTTGTTCTTTCATGGAGAAATGTACTTCATCTGCCCCCCCCACTGCTTTCTGATACTTATGTGTGTGGGGATTCTGCTGAATACAAAGAGATGGAGATTGGTATGAATGATGAAAGTCGTCGAAGTATACAAAATGTGAAATTTGAAACAGGTGATATTATTATATAAAACCTTCAATTTCCTAGAAGCACTATATATTATATTTCTTATGTTAAAAGTTGCAAATAATAGGCATTTCTCTTGGGAAAAGTTAGGTTTGCATCTTTTTATCTAAAAATTCTGTCATCTCCCTGTTTAATAGGGAAAAGAGAAACTGTGATATATAATACCAAAGTAATTGTTAGTGTTCTATTCTACTGAATCCTGCAGACTTTTGTCTCTACTGTTTCAGATTCATTAGGTTGGTATACCAGTTCAAAAGTAACAAAATATATGAAAACAGCTATTAATTACCCCAGTAATGGACAACTTTGTTTAGGAGAAGCTGTTCAAGTGTCCTAAAGAGAAGCAGTTTGTTATGTGCCTATACATCTCCTGTAGTTCAACCTAGGTTGGGTTATTTCTAAAGCACCATCAGTCAGTCAATAATACAAATGTCATTAGGTTGAATGAAGAGTGCTGAGTTTCAGAAATTAAATGACAGTCTAGTAAAGAGGAGTATTAAAAATATATGTATGGGGAAAGCTTGTTCCCATACTGGGGGGAAAATAAAATATGCTCTTGTGTACATTTATAATTTTGTAAGTGTGTGCCTCTTAGGGAGATGATATAATACTAACAGATTTGATTGGTTAGTGAATGATGACATCCTCAGAGCAGCACAAGTTCTGCTGATCCAGAAGCCCTATGATGGCACTGACATTTGCAGTCCTGAAACTGGGGTGCTTCTGTGTGTTAAGGCATTGCAGTCAAAAACATTAAGTTAGGTTATCCTTTTAAAGAGTTGGGTTTGTGCAAAGCCAGACTCCATGGTCTGTTATAGCCTGCATGATGTGGGAGATGTGAGTAAATGAGGGATCTTGAACTAAACAAAAACCAAAAAAAAGCACCCCTCTCCCCAATACATAAGATCAAGAGAAAAGTTATACACAAAATTCCAGTACTTTTCCAAGTGAGTAATCCAGAGAGAGGCCAGAGATGGGAATGGGGAAAGCATTTTGAGCATTTTGTCATTAAGGAACTCTACCTTCCTTTGAAAAGCAGAGGTCACTTGCTTTCCTACTACTATAAGCAGCAGGATCCTAAATAGGCTGAGAGTCTTTATGGTTTGTAGAGCTTATGAGTCTTTATACACAGTACCACAAGTCTGACTTGTCTCTGGGCGATTTTGCTTCCAGTTCTAATCCCAGTCCTAAAAACATGTTATTCACAATGAGTTTCCTATGTGTCAAGGGCGGTGAAACAGCTCTAGAGTAAATTTTTAGAATTGTAGAACATCCTAATTTGGAAGAGACCCACATGGATCATCCAAGTCCAATTCCTGGCCCTGCACAGGACAGCCCCAAGAATCACACCATGTACCTGAGAGTGTTGTCCAAACACTTCTTTAGCTCTGGCAGACTTGGGGCCCTGACCATGTCCCTAGAGAGCCTGTTCCAGATAAACCTTCTTGGTTTTGGGGTGGGAAACTAGCTTAGAATTTAGTGGTGTATTTTCAGGAAAAAGAGGACTGCAATTGCATGGCTACCAGGCTTGTGGGATGAATGGATGTGGTTTTGAATGTTTGGAACAAACTGGTTGAGTGTTCTTTCATAGTGAGAGCTATCAGCTGTGCAACTCTAGACTGCAGATCCCATGTGCTTTTCCTTGTCAGATTCTGCATTTCCACCACAATTTGAACGTTCAGAACCCTTCATTACTGACCACTTCCTGCTCTTATTAAAGATAATTTTAAAAGTCTGGCTGGCTTAAAAACATTCAAACTCTTCAGAATGCAGGCCATTGCCCTGGATGAGATTTTTTGGATGCCCAGCAGAGGGAGCGGATGTCCCACCGTCAGGGGCTGGAGACAGCAGTCCTCCTGTTTTGCCCCTGCGCGAGTTCTCTCCTGCAGCACAGTCACATACTGTGTTTTCTGTGCTTTTGTAGCCTTCTGATGCTGTTTTGTGTCAGATAAAAATCTTCCTCTTCAGTGGAAAATGTGCTACATGAGCTATGATGGTAGATTGGATGTGTTGTTAATGTTTTGTGTAATATTGCAGAGCATGTGGCACTTCTCAGAAGAATTAGAAAAGCTTGTGAAACAAGTAAAGAAGATAAGTGGGTAGTTTCTTGTTTTATTGTTTGTGGGGATTTTTTTCAATCGAACAGATCACAGTAGGAAGATTGGGTAGTACTTATTACATATGAAAAAAGGCAGAAGGTGACGGCCCAATGTCCTGTCACGCAAGGGTAGACCTGTCACAGTGTGTGTTAATGTGACAGTCTCTAAGACACAGGCTATATTGAAGAATTTCTACTCCCAGTTCCACTCATTCCTCTCACATAAATCTGGTGATGCAAATTTAGGCCTTTGGCACTGAGCTGTGCAGTGCCAAAGGAGGAATCTCCAGCTATGGCCTTTTTCTTAAAACTGTTACCAGAGTACAAGGAAGCTACTCCTCAGTGACCTAAACTGTGACTTCAGTTTTTTCAGTCACAGATACTCCCATTAGCCTTGTGTGATGGAGAAAACAGTGGATACACTGCGTGATTTAGTCTGTACAGCCACAGTAGACCACTAAGACTGATGCCTTTACCTCTGTCATTTCAGTGACAGTAAAGTTGGACTAGAAGTATCTGGCTCAAAAGAAAAAACCAAAACTGTTATGTTAAAAAAATAGGTCCCAGGGTTATCTAAGGTGGCGCAGTCTTGACAAATGCATTATTACAATATTTATTGTAATACTCTCGTGAATTCTTTATGAAGTCCATTCTGTAAGCAGATAGCGGGGTTTGGATTTTGCACAATGGCAATTTTTTTTTGAGTGGCTAGGGCTCAATGAAGCTTCTCATTTCTCCTGATGAGTCTCCTGTGCCTCTGGCATTCTGGAAGAGCCAGCTTTTTTGATCTTCTGCAGCAGCAGTTGAAAGTGTGTTCACAACTGATCTTGATACCAGGGACTGGTGCACTGGCAGTCCCAAAGCAAGCGGATGAAGGGGAAGTTCCCCCCAGATCAGAACTAGTATTCAGTCTTTATTCACTTTCACGAAGTGTGTTATGATGAACCTGCCTCTTCCCCTAAACTTTTTAGTCAATAAAGGTCTTCACTAAGACTGTAAAAATAGTGGTCTTAATGTGTAACATAAGGACCTTTTCCAGACCTAAAGTGAAAGCACAGAGCCTTGAAACAAAACAATTGTAGATATTTCTTTTTAACGAGCATGACAATGCATTAATGCATTCCAGATTTCTTGATTAAAACGAGTTGCTTTAGCTTTGCTGAAACTTGAAATCAGCCTGATGCAGATACCAGCATGGAAGACTTAAGCCTAAAAAGAAATTTGGGAGCTTGAAACTTGAGTCTTCAAATGGAACGTTTTAGGCAATCATTAACCAGCAGTAATGCTGCCATGAAAGCAGATGCACACAAAGGCACACAAAGTTTCATTGGTTAAGAACAAAATCCTGTGCTGTTGATGTTAATGAGAAAAGTCCCATCAACTATCAGCGTGGCATTTTGATACATTTCACATAATAAATATTCATAGTACTTTAGAGGAAACGCTTCCAGAGAGCTGTGAAGCCAAAGTATTTGACTTTGTCCTTGTAGAGATCAAAGTACAGAGGTATAAGAAGATACTGGTGGTGGTTTGTTAAAGTCGTTTCCTGGTAATCATTTGTATATCTTATTGTGCAGTGGATTGATTTGTGGTGCCTAGTGGAAGAAGTCGTGCATGAGTTTTCATAGTGCCATGTCACATGGTTCATGTTAAGTAAAAGTCTTTGTTAGTAAAAGTCTAGCCAGGACCTGCATTTTTTGGTCTTATCTTGAGCAGCTCATAAGGTTCAACCTTAAATGGAGTGGACAATGTATCCATCACTGATTTCTTCTCAGCCTCCCTAGCTGAGGGGATCATTAGGCAGAATTTATAGAGACTTGAAAATTTCTAGTCCAGTCATCATAGCATATCAAATTTGGATTTATACTAGAGGAAGGGAAGCCTTTTGATTGTATTCTGATAAATAAGATTTCAACTTTTATAGAAGTTGCCACCCTGTCTATTCTACACTAGTAAATTGAACACTGCCAGGGAATGTTCTTGGGGTGCTGCCATTTGATTGCCAATAAAGGTTAGCGTGGTCCCCCAAAAAAGACAAAGAGATAAATACCATTAAAATAATGCATTTTCTAAATCCAGAATCAGGCAACGTAATAAGACCAAGTGAAAGTTTCCTAATGATCAAAAATAGTTAAGAAGGTCTCTCAGAAAGCAGATAGTAAAAGCAAAGTTAAACTGCTGAAGTGTAAAGGAAGAAAATCACTCCAAAATTATTTGAATTAACACATGGACCTTGTATTTAAGATAATCTGTGGAGTACAAATCTGATGTGTAGAGACTAGATAGTATTTATAAAATTGTTATTTAGCCACTAATCTGCCTTTTGGTGTTCAATATCAAGTCTAAACAAATACAGGTAAATCTGATCTGAACATTACCTGGAATTCAGAAAGTATTCAGGACTCGACAGTATCAAACCTTTACATCAAAATTATTACCAGATTGTATCATTGCTTGAAAACCTTTTAAAATATTAATTCAAAATTATTTTTTCTTCTCCCTTTCATTTTTGAGGTTGGAGATGAGATAGTTCGTATAAATGGATATTCTATTTCATCGTGCACACATGAAGAAGTCATAAACCTCATTCGTACAAAGAAAATAGTGTCCATAAAAGTAAGACGTAAGTAACATGAAAAATCACCTCTATCACCAAAGATTATTAATAGATTACTGACTCTTATTAATAGATTGCTGATGATCTGTAGAAACTTAACAGAGAATTTTTCTTTTTCAGATGTTGGCATGATACCTGTCAAAAGGTAAGGGTATTTCATTTGAAAACAAATTAGCTCACTTATTTTCACTTAGCCTCTTGTATCCAAAGAACCTGTGTTTATTATGAAAATGTTTTGAATGCTGATTAAAATGGCACTTTCTTTGTAATAAATGGGAAGATGTCTTTTTTGATGAATCTGACTTTTTATGCCAGTTGCCTCTTTAATCCTTTTCTATTTCCTCGTTTTTCATGGATATTTCCTGGAAATTTAATTATTAATGTACCTGCCTTAACAAACAGCTCCATTGCTTCTTTATGTATGTAGCATCTGAGAATTGCTTCGGAGCTTAGAAAAATTTAGAATTATTGTCCACTTTCATTTTTTGTTGAAAAGGTGAATCTTTAAGTGGAATGTTTCAGAAATTTTAGTGATGGGAGATGTCTGTCTGCGTAGACATTTATATAAGCTGTTCGAGTTGTTATGGTTGTTTTTACAGTCTTTCTTAGAGTTTCCTAAAATTGTTTCACTTGAGGAGGTTTGATCAATTTTATATTTGACCAGCTTTACTAGCTTAAATAATTGTATTGTTGCTTGATGTTTTATTTAAAGTGCTGGCAAATAAACCAGTTGTTGTGAATGGTATCCAAAGAAAGTTGTGGATGCAAAACAGAAGACCACATTCAAAAGTAGCTTCTTGAGTACATTTTTATTTGTGCCATTATTTTAAATTGTTTTCTTCTTCCAGTTCAGCAGATGAACCCCTTAAATGGCAATATGTGGATCAGTTTGTGTCAGAAACTGGGGTAAGAGATCAATATTTTATTAACATATCTTCTGGGAAATCTGTAATGATTCTGAAACAGTTTCACCTCTGACCTCATCATAGAAACTATTGTTTGTATTTCTATGATGCAATATCTTGTTACAAGTGTTCTGTTAGAAACATTTTTTGTGATATGAAATTATTCTAGAACCATTAGGTAAGAAAAGGGCAGGATACAAATGAAATAGCTTTTACTTGTTAATTGGTACTTTATTTTGCTTGAGCTTATTAACTTCCCAGCCTGTAGTTCTGCTGTATAAATCTTTATCAGATTATTTTACCTATATTAGGTGTATTAGTGGAGAAATGACAACTTTGATTGCAAAGGGTTGCAGCAGTGAAAAGAAATACCACAATTACTGTTCTTTCACTTTCGGGAAGAAAGACTTAGTTCAATAGTGAGCACTATCGTGTATTTCTGCAGCCCTATTGTCAGGGAACAGCTAAATGATTATTTTGCCATATCACTTTCCTCTAATTTTTCTTCAACCTTTTCTGAAGGCCAAGTTTGACTATTTGAGTAGTCTTCTCCAGATAGATAAGTTCAGTCTTTCAAAGGTGAAAGACATGCAGAACCACTGAAATGACTCTAATTCACATTCATTTCCAATAGGATAGGACCTTGGAGGAATCTTATCTTGATGTTGGCAGGGTTTCATTTTGGCTATAGGAAATTTTATAGTAGTCTTGATATGAATTCAAGACAGAGTAACATCTGCAACATTTTTTTAATCCCTCTATAGGAAGCAAAGGGCAGTGTTGCTGGACTTGCTTCTTCTGGAGGGAGAGACAGTAAGGAGAAGAAAGTCTTCATTAGCTTGATAGGTACAAAAGGCATGGGATGCAGGTGCGTAGACATTTGTTATTTAATGTCACTGCAGTTACTTCCATCCTTTGTTGCTATGATATCATGAAAATAAAGATCTATGTTGGATCAGAAGGGCAAACTGCAACAGCAGGATATCTGTAGCACATATTACTTATTTTTAGACAAAGCATAAATACCTGTGTTAAAATTTCTGATATAAACAAAACAAAACAAAACAAATTTAAAAATACAAGCAGGCTGAAAGTGACCTAATACAAGTTGTCACGGAATTGGATCTTTTAAATGCTTTTACATTTTTAAATACTTTAAATGCTTCTTGGTGACATAGCAAGCTCCAGGACTGTCCACTGTCAGGTTCACTCCCTGAACTAGACTGCTTCCTGTGACCCTGTTCAGAACTAAGACACCATCATAAAGCTATATCCAGTTCCTAAAATTAATGTTGAATCTGCAGGGTTTTTTTAGAAATATGATTCTCTGATTTTCAGACTCCTGTCTTCACACTAGTTATGGAGGTTTTGGGGTAGAAGGGATATTGTAGAATTTTTTATGTGTTTAGGAATATGTAGTTGAAATTGCCAGGAGTTTTCTTTCATGTTATCTGGAGGATATAAAGACTTCTAAAAATTATTTACAGACCTGGAGGGGTGGTTCAACATCACTTGTTGGATATATAATCTACAAAAGTAGTTTCTGTATTTGGGCCCAGCTTAGATGGCAGCTTAAAGTTTCCGAGCTAGATGTTCCTCTGGTTGAAACATCCTTCTTGCTTCTAATACAAAATTCTAAAAAAATAACACAGTTTTATACACGGAGTATACTGCAGTTCAGTGAGTAAACATGCAAGGAATTAGTAATCCTTCATTGCGTTGCTTGCTTTCAAATACTGTTGGTGTCCCTTAGAAGGTGTAGGTCAGTATACTATGTTAGTTGCAACACTTAAGGCAAAATCTAAAAGCTTGAATATTTTTCTTCTAACTTTTTCTTAAATAAGAGTTTTGTGGTGTAAAAAATAAAAAAGCAGGATGATAAACCTTTATGGTGTTTGTTTCAGAGCAGGCTCGTGCCATAAATATTCTTTTCTCGTAAGTTATTTTTAATTAAACAACTAAAACTGTTCACTGTATTACACTGTATTAGTCTATAAGTATCATCCTATAAATGTTTTGGGGTTTTTATATTACCAGTATTTCCAGTGGTCCGACACAAAAACCAGGCATTTTTATCAGCAATGTTAAGCCGGGTTCTCTTTCTGCAGAGGTGGGCTTAGAGGTGAGTATGTCACCTTCCAAGGTAGGTACCACAAGGACCTCTTGTTTGGTATTTTTGACTTCAAGGATTCTGGATCACTGTAAAGTGACTAACTGCGTTGTTTTTTTTGTTCGTTATGGGTTTTTTTCCCACGGAAAAGGAATACCTTTTGGCTATATTTCAAATGAAGCTAGTTTCCTAAAATTTTAAGAACATGAATGACCTGAGTCAGACCAGTATTCTGCCAAGCTCAAGCCAAGGATTCAATCTCAAACGGTGGCAATAGGAAATGCTAGTATAGGATGATGTGCAAGCCTGACCAGTTTCGGCTGCTTGTGCTCTGCTAGTACTCATGATTATTGTATTAAGGATGTTAGAGAGCATATCTCTTTCTGTTTTCATTTAATATATTTAGTAACTTAGCATCTGTACTAAAATTTGTATTAATTTCTTTAGGTTGGTGATCAGATTGTTGAGGTAAATGGAGTGGACTTTTCTAACGTGGATCATAAAGAGGTAAGATCAAGTCTTTCTAGTTTCCTGAATTTGTAGTTGTCAGCTTATTAAACATCTATCTGATTTTCCTGGCCACAAAAAATTGATTTTGATACTAGGCTTCTAACTCAAGGGGTTGAATTGAGCATGGGAATGTGGAGATTTGCATACCTACCACCTTGTTTAGTTCAGGTGGGGCTTCTGGAAATTCCAACCTTGACAACGAGCATCTTCCATTGAATATATGCTGGCCTTTTTTACCACTTGTTTCAGGCTGATTTTTGTTTTGTTTTGATTTGCAGGCTGTCAGAGTGCTCAAAAGTAGTCGTACTTTGACTATCTCTGTGGTAGCAGGCGCTGTAAGTAGTATATTTGTTAAACCAGAACATTTGTGAAAATTCCTATGTCAGCAAATAAATGGTGAAAAAAAATTATAAAAACTAAACCTCTGTTTCTTTATAAGGTCTGTACCACTAAATTCTGTCAAACCAGAGCAGTGTTGAATGGCTTTTGATTATTTCATACCATCCGAAGTGTTCTCAAATAAAACTGTTTCATGATTGTGGGCCAATGCAAAACAGTTCCCTTTACAGTGGAAATTAAATTTATCGTACTGGCTTCTCATGTTTGAGAGCTTCTGTTCGAGTAGATATCTACTTCTGCTGAAGCATAAAAGGTAAATTGGATTGAGTCAAATCCTGAATAGATGATGTCTTAGTCTTATTCCAAATTAATTCATTGTGTAACTGTTTATCTGATCTATTTAGTGTATCAACACATTGAAAATTGATCAGTTTTCCATTTCCACTGTTTTTTACAACACAACTTTAAGCCTTTGGGGCTTAATCTAAAGCCAGTTGAAATTAATTAAATCTTCTCTCTGACTTCAGTGTGACTTTTAATAAATGTTTGAATGTTTTAACTGCCTTAATCCTTCTTATTGCAAAGTGTGTAGTTATGTACAAGAGGATAATCAAGTTCCATAGACTAATCAAAGATGGTGTTTTCTAATTGTCTTGCAACTGAATTAAATAGGGGAAAAAAAGATGTAATAAATCACTTCAGCTACTTCCTAAGGGTTGAGTGTTGCTACATTAAGGAATGAATGGTTTGTTTAAACTGCTCCTATGGTAACAAAAGATGCGGTTGTCCAAAGACGTTGTAGACATTGTTTAAAAAATACTCCAGAACCAATGATTAAGCTCCAGGAACTCAACATCCGAAGGACTTAGTTTCAACTTCCAGATATGTTACCAACTGTTAGAAAAGATCAGATCTACTCCAGCGTGCATCGCTGGGGTTCTGTCCTTAGAACAGCAAACTGTTGCTGTGGAACTCTTCTGTTCCACACTGCTTCACCTTGCATGTCTCTCCTTTCCTCAATACACATCTTTGTACTGAAGAAGAGATAGCAAAAGGAAATAATTTCCCTACTCCTGGTTTTCATTAGCAAAGACCAGGGTGCAGAGGCATTCTTCAATGGCTGCTTTTGTTTAAGCTGTCTACTTCGAGCCTTGCAGAATATACCACCTAAGGAGTCTTTCTGCTGTGCCTTTTGCAACTGGACAGGCCTCTCTCGTGTTGGCCTTTTTAGCCATCAACGCGCTTGCAACAAACGAGGGTAGAGCCCTTCCCAAATCTTCGTTCGCAAAGCCTAGCCATGATGCTACTTTGAGCCTTAGAGACATGAAAAATCCTGCCTTCCTAGTTAACATGGGATTTTAATTTCAGAAATGAAAATTAGATAAATGTTATCAACGTTCCACTATGGAAATATCTTTCTTGAATAGGAAGTAGTGATGTTGTCTTAACTGTAAAGCAAATGAAGCAGGAACAAAACCAACTGAAACATATCACCTATATAATGTTTTGGGAATGTGCATTCCCTGTGTTTGGGCTCCCTGAATGATGGTACCTTTCCGCAGCAGCCAGGCATAAGAATATTAAAACAGAGTAACTATACAGTTGTCTTCACACTGGGAATCATTCAGTGTGCTGTTCTCTGGCATTTCATTGCTCAGTTAGATTTCAAGAAGGTATAATGTCAAGTTTTTTCTGGGTGACACACTGAGCATGTATTTGGCATGACCCCTACACTGTTGTTGCATGACTCCTGTGAGGTGTTAAGCACATCTTAACTTGGAGGATGAAACTGGAATAGCTCTTTGGAGTGAAGTGGTCAGATCTTTCAGGGTCTTTCAGAATGCATTCTTCAGAAAAAGCGATGTGAGGAAGTGGCAGATGTGCTAGTATGTAATTGGTTTTTGAATTGCTGCCTAAAAGAACTACATTCATGAGTTTTTCTCACAACTGATTTGGGTGGTGGTTGTGATTGCAGGGAAAGGAGCTGTTCATGACTGAAGAAGAAAGACAAAGAGAAGCACGTCTCCGTGAGCAAGAACGCCAGGAGTTAATGCATCAGAAGCGACTTGCGCTGGAGACTAACAAAATCATCAAAGAGCAGCAAGAGAAAGAGAGATTGTAAGGATTGTGTATAGGACAGTCTGAAAAACTTAGCTTGGCTTTGGAGAGGGCATGGGAGACAGGAGCACACTGTGATTTCTGTGACAATTCTCGCAGAAGTGAGAAGATTCCCAACTTAGATTAACTTGGGTTTGCTGTTGCAGAATCTCTGTTCATAAAATGCTTATCCTGTGGTGCTCTTGACATTCTGGGTTTTCAAAGCTGATATCGTTCAAACCATCTTGCTCCCCAACTGTCATACCTCTATGATTCAGTGTCCTTATTATCCAAATGGTCAGGAATCACCTCAGGGTTCCTATGAAAGCATACTGAACCCTTGGTAGCTTTAGGACAACTTTTAAAAATTTTCCCCAGTATGTTTGTATTTACTATCTATATTTTTTACTAACTATATGCTGACACACTTTGTCCAAGTTCTTACTCAGAAAATGCTATTTTTATCATGGTGTCCTAATTCTTCTTATTACAGAAGAAAACTGGAGATTTCCCAGAAGGCTGCAGAGGAAGAAGAGAGATATCGCAGAGAAATAGAGCAGTAAGTAAAAACCTGACATAGGCAGTATGCCACCTGAAAAAGAGTTCTTTTATATGAGATCTGGGTGAAAACATTCTGTATGTTCCTTTCTAATAAAATTGTGCAATATTTCCATTTAGCTAAATGTAGGGTCCAGTACATATCAGTAAGTACACCACAGTTACGGAATAGGAAACTCATCTGAAAATCAGCACCTGGAAAACATGAGGCTTATGACAATAATAAATTCAATGTGAAATTGAAGTTAAGCACTTTTTTTAAAAATATGTTATTAATTTATAGAGAAACTTAAGCTTAAGGAAGTTTTGTGTCTCTAAACTTGTTTACTCTGTTGTCTGCATTTAATTCTAACAGAAAAAAATTAGTACTGCTATGAAGCAGATCAGGGAAAAAACAGAGAATCACTAAAGAGTTGGGAAACATGTGTGTACTCGGGGGGTTGATGACATATCCACTTACCTTATATTTTAAAAAAACAAAACACAGGTAGTTTGTTCATGATTTGTAAGACAGAATTTAATAGTCTTTTCAGGCTGTCAGTCAGTTCTGACAAAAAAAGCTATGTAGAGTTAGACAGGGGAGGTTTATGTTAGATATTAGAAAAAGGTTCTTCACCCAGAGTTTGGTTGGGTACTGGAACAGGCTCCCCAGGGAAGTGATCACAGCACCAAGCCTGACAGAGTTCAAGAAGTGTTTGGACAATACTCTCGGGCACATGGTGTGACTCTTGGGGATGGTCCTGTGAGGGCCAATGATCCCTGTGTGTCCCTTCCAACTCGTCGTATTCTGTGATGCTGTAAAATAAGGACTGTGTGCTGCTAATTGACTTGAGTAGAAATTTCAGTCATCATAAATTTTAACTAGGCTTTTGCTTTTCTAAGGTGAGAATTAATTAAAACAGTGGCACCAAAAGCAGGCAGTATTCAGGAAATCTGATTCTTATTATCACAGTCTATTCTGGTTTTAAAAAGATATGATTCTAGAACAAGACACATTCAAAGATTGTATCATAATATAGTCAGTACTGTATTTGTAACTTAAGCATTGTTTTACATTTGGAAGTTTGAAATTAACCAGTATTAAATATTGCTGTTTTCACAGCACTTAATTTCCCTTCTAAATGTTGGGAAATTGCACTAAAGAAGAGTAAGTTACACAGTATCTCTTTTGATCTGAATCTATAAGGTGCAAAAAGAAATATATTTCCCAGCTGTCACAAGAGAAAAATTTTCTGACACTCTGGCCTTGGGCTCTGCTGCAGCACATGGATGAGTTCTTACGCCTTTCCCTTTTCTAATTCCTGGGGAACTGATAATCCTGTTCTTTATTGTGGTCTATAATAGAAATCCCTGCAATAGCCAAAAGCTGCTATAAAAGCAGACCATCACAGATGACGAATGACTCTGTTCTCCAAATCCGGATTGCCTGTCTGTTATAATGAATGTTGCATATCTGCAGTGATCTTCTGAACTCAGTGCATCTTTACTTGCTATGGGGGGGCTTTCATGCCTTGAGGCCTTCTCACTGTAAGGTCTAGCATGGCTTTATACTTCCTTGTATAATTTTCAAGTGCTGCTCAGGCACTGTAAAGCTTTTCCATGTTACAAACCAAAATGTTAAGTCAGCGTCAATCTCCTTGGTGAGGAGGAGGCAGAATGGTAGTAGAGGAACTTAGATGAAATCTAAAGCTTAGATTTAATAAGCAGTTGTGGCAGGCATTTACACTAGAACACAATGCTTTCCTGTGTTTATGGTTTGTGAGGATCACCACTTGGTATCTTTCAGAAATCCTTTCTGCAGTATTCCTTGTATAAAGTCACTACTGTGCTGTTTTTTGATATCTTGCAAGCATTTTTGGAAAAATTTTCAAATGTGCTTCAATGGCAGACGTCCCTAACCCTTGTGTACTTCAGTGTAACCCCATTTTTTAAAATTTAAATGAAATGGAAAACATTCTGTCCATTGTTCCCTGCTATTGACTATCCCTCTGAATTTAAATACTGAGATCAGCTACAAATTTAACAGTTCTTTGACCCCATGTGAATATTTTTTCGATTTATTTAGCTAATTTGGAAATATGAAAGATAATCCAAGTATAAATAGCATCATATATATCTAAGACCGGTAAATTTTGGCACCATATATCAGCTTACCAGTTCAAGACCAGCTATAGTCAAAAATAGATCTTGGATCACTTAAGGCCCCATATATGAAGCTACAAGCTGTTAGGTTATACGACACTTCTGTTGTGACCTACTTGGTATTTGCTGAATTTTCCTTTGAAATGTCCTTTTTTTCAGATCACAGTGCCATTCTAGGTGCCTTCTAGGTAATTTACTTGTTCTGCAAGCTCCTTTGTCCTGAAGTGTGACACTCTCTCTCTACCCCTCCATTCCCCTCTCTTCTCTTATTTCTTTTTTTTTCATTTTTTTTCTAGAATCCTGAACTTAACGTGGTTTGTGTTTCAACAGTATTTAGTTCTTTTTGGGAAGAGTCACTTTTTAGTGCAACATAGAACTCTGTGTTTAGGAAGCAATCATCAAAATGGATCTAAGATATAGAAGGAAGATACGTACTTTTTAGGTATAATTCTCCATTGTAATGTCTGATTTAGGCATGTGGTAGATGTTCTGTCATCCAGTGTTATAGCTAAAACTGACTGTTTTTCTAATAGGTACTTCCAGTTCTAAAAATGAAAAATTACTAGCTGAGAGATGTTTTTTACTTCAGTCAAGGGGACAGTCAGTACTGTAGTGTATCACTCTGGGCTTAGTATCTGTGCAGGTGTTTATATAATTGGCCTTAAAAGCCTCAATATAAAATAAGAATATTTTACTCAGTTACACTGTATTTTGCAAATTATCTTAGTAGCTTAATAAATGAAAAAGAATGATGAAAGGAATTTACTTTGGAAGAAGGAAGAGTTTATTATGCTTTATATTAAAAGAAAAACTAAACATACTAAACACAAATAACTGTACTGAATATATATTGATGCTGTTGTTTTGATACTTGGAATTCCTAGCTGCATTTTTTTCCTCTAGGATAACAGCAGAGGAGGAGAAATTTAAAAAGGAGTGGGAAGAAGACTGGGGTCCTAAAGAACCACCCAAGTCTTTAAAAACTGTAACTGCAGAAGTGCATTCTGTCCCTCGTTCCAAACACAAAAGTAAGTAATTGATTTCAACCTACCTCCTTGTATTTGTTTCAGACACATCACTGAGCTGTATGGAAGATATCACCAGTTTGTGTCCAAGCCAGGTTGGTTAGAGTATGATGCTAATAACACCAAGGTTGTGGGTTCAATTCAATCTCTGTACAGGCCATTCACTTAAGAGCTGGACTTGGTGATCCTCATGGGTTCCTTCCAACTCAGAATATTCTGGGATTCTATGGCTTGGTTATTTTCAGAAGGCTGGAAACACACAGTAAATTAATTTAACAACTCTTATTTAACAGGTACCTATCTTGCAAAATGTACATCCACTCTAATAGTCACAGTTGTTAACCATCAGCAGCATAAGGCAAAATTAAAAAAACAAAGCTTACAAAGAAGTTGTCTTGAAGTATAAACCTCTTTAGTTTGGGGTTTTGGTGCATTGTTTTCCATATTTTTTCTGTTCGGTGTTTTGCCTTTTCACACTTCAGGTCAGAAGGGATCTTAAAGGTCATCCAGTTCCAACCCCCCTGCCATGGATGGGGGCACCTTCCACTACACCAGGTTACTCAGAGACCAGTCCAACCTGACCTTGAACATTCATTCCAGGGATGGGCATCCACAACTTCTCTGGGCAACCTGTTCCAGTCTCTTACCACTCTCACAGTAAAAAAATTTCTTCTTAATATCTAATCTAAATCTATCCTCTTCTAGTTTAAAACCATTCCCCCTTGTCCTGTCACGACATGCCCTTTAAAAAAAGTCCCTTTTCAGCTTTCTGGTAGCCCCTTTTAGGTACTAGAAGGCTGCTCTATGGTCTACCCAGAACCTTCCCTTCTCCAGGCTGAACAAGCCCAACTCTCTCGGCCTTTCCTTATAGGAGATGTGCTTCAGCCCTCTGATCATCTTTGTGGCCCCTCCCCTGGACCTGCTCCAGCAGGTTCACATCCTTCTTATGTTGGGGACCCCAAAGTTGGATGCAGCACTCTGGGTGGGGTCTCACAAGAGTGGAGTAGAGGGGGAGAATCACTTCCCTCAACCTGCTGGCCACGCTGCTTTGGATGCAGCCCAGGATAGGATTGGTTTCCTGGGTTGTGAGCTCACTTGGCCAGGTCATATTGAGCTTCTCATCCACCAGCACCCCCGAGGAGTTCTCAGGGGTGCTCTCCTTCCTTTCTCCTCCCAGTCTGTATTTGTGCTTGCGTTGCCTCAACCCACATGCAGGACCTTGCACTTGGCCTTACTGAACTTCATGAGGTTCACACAGGCCCACTTCTCAAGCCTGTCAAAGTCCCTCTGGATGGCATCCATTTCCTCCAGCGTGTGAACCTGAAAATGGATTTGATATCACTGGGCAGTTTGCTTCAGAATTAGTTGAGAGACTGAGGAGGTTCTGTTTGTACACTGCAGTTTCCCATGAAGAATTGCCCTGAAGTGTAAGTCTGACTTACTTGTCTGAAGGAATTTAAGGCAGAGCATAGTTGGCAGTTAAGAAGCTACATGGGAATGTACAAAGAGTATGTGAAGAGCGTGCTAAAATTGTACTGCAAAAACAACTGCAAATACTGCAAAAATACTGCAAAATACTGCAAAAAAACACCAACTGCAAAGTGCTTGTTGCGTAGTTTACAGGAGACCTGGGCCTATTCCTAACGTGATTATATTATTTTGTGTATGACTTCACTGAAGTCACTTAACTTTTCATGGAAGAGAAACTGAGATAGGGAATTGTTTCTTCTGGAACCATCTCCTACCCATTTAGTTTTCTGACTCTTCAGTACAGCATTTTCTCTGTGTAGCATTCACCCCAGTGACAGTGCAGTAGAAGGCTGATACTTCTTTTTGAAGGCACATATCCCAGAACTGCTGATGGTTTGGTTACAGGAAAAGCCGCCTGCCTCTGCACCCACCTTCATCACAGAGCAGAGTAATGATCCACATGCAGATTCTCACTGCTCTTCAGAGTTGGAGGAGGGAAATTGATTTGATTCAAGCAGGACCTTACTTTTTTTTCCTCTCCTCAATTATGTAGAAAAATATCTTGTTACTAGCTACTATTTTTTTTATTTCATGGAAACTTCTAATCACACGTTGCTGATCTCTTTTTCATTTCATGGGAACTTCCAGTTAGACTGTCGCTTCTGTCTCCTCACTCTTTTCCTCCTTTGTTTCTCTAGTAGATTTAAAGGGAATTGCACATGACCAACTTGAAACAGATGACATGGATGAAGTGATCATGAAGCAGGACAAACAGGTTTGCCACTCAGCCTTAACGTCTTATCCTGATTCAGATTCTTCCTGTGTCTCACTTCCTCCTGACAGTCAGTCTTGACACTGAACTAAGCATTTGGTTTTCCTAGGCTAAAATTCCTTTGGTACATGATTAAAGGTTTTGACACTGCTGCTGTCATTGCTTTCTAAACATACCTTGGTATTAAATCTAATAGTCCTGCAGAAATGTGGATTATATTGTGAGCTCTGTGTGTCATCAGTGTTTCATATATATAGAAGTATGGTAAAAGATTATTTTGTATGTTTTTAATTAGCAATATGTTTTGTATTATTTATGCACTTGGCTTGAAATATTTTGTCCTAGGAAATGGAGTGTTTCTTGTCTCCTCAAACGCCAGTGTCCTGCCACAGGCTTGAAGGAGTTTGAATACCTGTTTCATTTTAAGAGGGTTTATTAAAACTACTGTAAAGTAGGACTGTGACCATAGAAATCTTAGCAGTGCATTGCCTGCGTGGTTCTGTATGAAGTTTACTTGTTGCATTTGCTTTGTTTAACATAAAATGTGTATCATTAAAATAAGGGAAACATAACTAAATGTACTGGCACAATTTAACAACAAATTGACTAAGAACTTGTCATGTAATAGCAATCCTTTGGTGTTTCGCCTTCAAATAAATTTTAATGTTACATGTGTCAGCACGGATTGATCTGCATATGAACCAGTCCTTGGCTTTTCTTCAAAAAACGACTTCTCCTTTACCTTTTTTAGCTTTTGGATGGTTTTATCGGTATGAAGGAAAATTTCCCACCATCCGTAAGGTACAAAGTGTGATATGTAAATGTGCTTGCTGTGTGTTTGAATTTGAATTCCCCATTTTTCTTCTTCTCTGTTATTACTAAGCATTCTTTATAGTCAAATGCTTCTTCTTTTAACATGTGCACAAATTAAGATGCATTTGGATTGCACGTGTCTAGGAGTTTGTCCTTTTGAGTGCTTTGGACTTTTGAGTTCTACCAGCTGCAGAGGGAATTCTATGTCAATACTTTGCAGAAGGTGTTCACTACAGGTAGGCAGTGCATGTCTTCGTGTTCTCCAAAAGTCCTCGAAATCATGTATATAAAAACCCCAAACAGTACAGAGAAAAAAATTAAGTGGGAATCAAATACTCAGTTCCCAGTTACACCTTTGCAAATTTCCCTGTAGGAGAAGTGCTGAAGGCAAAAGGCTCTTAGGCATGGGCATCTCATAGAGTGAGCAAAAAAACTTCAGCAATCTTTAAGGCGATAGAATATTTTTCTGTCTCTAGAGATGCTGCTGAAGTATTGCAATTTCACTTTATGAGAGTTTCAAATAATAATTTGTTCTTGCTGTTGCTTTATTCTCTTTATTTCTTTCAATGTGTGTTAGCCATATTATGGGGGTTTGCTATGGTGCTGTGTGCTTTGGTCTGGTTTTTTTGGTAATTAACTGTGCTAGAATTGAAATGAAGATTTCTTGTGCTTATCTTCTGAGAACTCAAGGTTTCTGAGGAGGTCAGGATTGTTTCTGACAGATGTCAGTCCTGACCATTCAGGACTATTACTTTCAGCTTCTGTGTTGCCAGGATATGCCTTTCTTCTTAATAAAGAATAGGAAAAGATGGTACACTCCAATGCCATTTTGTATTGCTAGCGACTGTAAATCACCATAGATCTGTAACCTGTGTAAAAACCAGTGCAGTCAGGATTTCTATCTGAAAATTCTAGATGCATGTTATGAAAACTCAGTCTCTTAGCACAAACAGGCGGTCTTTTGTATTGTTGCTGCAAATATAGGTTACAGAATGTACAAATTCCTTTCCATATAGTAATGAAGACCTTACACAATTACTGTTGAACTCTGACACACAGTGTGCACTAGAAACTTCCGAAGATGTATTTTTAGTCTTTTGCTTTTAGAAATATTTTTAAATCTGGCAGTGATGAATTTTCATCCTACTCCAAATTGCTAATGATTTTTTTTTGTTTTGTTTTAAAACCAAAATTTCACTCTGTACTAAAAATATCTATAATAGGAAGTAAACTGAATCCATGGGGAAAATTGGTGGAAAGGATGAATCATCCTGTTGTATCTGAATGCAGTGAAGGCAGCTAAGATTGTCTGATATATGTTCATCTTCTGGAAGACTTTGACATGTGTACTGCTTAGTGTGCCTTTGAGTTCAGTAATTTTTCAAACATTGGTACCTAGCAGGTTGATCTGCCTTATGTTACATTTAGTAGATGGTACTAAATGTATTTTCTAATTTTTTAGTGAATAATATCAACAGGAACAGAGGCTTCAAAAGACTATGCACCTTTTCCCTTTGGTTGCACCCTACATCTAGAATTTTGGAGTTGCTTTGTGTTATATTAGCTAACTCATCTGGGTAGATTTTATCCAGTACTTGTAGGAGCTACATGGTCTTTGTGATGCAGTATTCTTCCTTGGAAACAATTCAGTTTCTGAACTGATCTAAGCCGTTCCTTTATAATTCTTTGTTTCAGTTTTATTAAGGGATGCAGTGCTGGTTTGAGGACTTATGCATGAACCTGTTTTTGCATAGACTATCTACCTATACATGAGCGTCTGTCACCTGAAAACAATTGGTCATTTACATATATATATATATATAAATGCCAAAACAGAGATTGCAAATCAAGACCCAACCAAAATTGTTTGATTTATTCAAAGTTTTGTGGTTGGCCTGTGTGCCCTAAAGTTGTAACTTGCAGAGGAGAAAAAAAGTTGAATTGTCTGATCTCATCCAACTTGTGTTAATGGGCAGAGGCCCTCCAAAAAAGTTTCATTTCCTGCAAGTTGCTAGGTAAATGGACTGTAGATTTTCTTTTAAAAGACCATCCCCATACTTGCATTGACTGTAATTAAATTTTCAAGGCAGGCACTCATGTACCAAGCGTGAAGTTTGTGGTGTTTTTAGTAAACGATTTTTGTAAAAAAACTTCCCAGAAAGGGAAAGAACAAAAGAAGTCAAAAAGTGATAGCTTTTGTGAACAGAAGAAGAATAAAAAGGAAATGGAGTTTGAGCAAAAACTTGCCAAAGAGAAAGAAGGAATGTTGGAGAAAGAAAAACAACTGAAAATAAATCGTCTTGTGCAAGAGGTATGTTGTGATCTATCAAGTGCAAAACTATATTGAAAAAAAATGAGCTGGATCTTTAGTGGAATTATCTTAGCAGGACACTTGTTTAATTATGTAAAAGGCAATGAAGTTTAAAAAGTTGTTTCACTGCAAAACTCTATTCCCACGTTTGCTTGTTTCTAGTCAGGTTTTGCCCAAACAAGGGCAAAATAACTCTGCACTTAGTGAGTGTCCACGTGTAGTGATGAATGTAATGAAACACGGCAAAATAGGGAATCATTCTCAAAAGCATTATTGTTTTTAAAACTAGCTTAAATGGCATTTCATGCTTGTGAAACATATTTGTGTTGTGACCATACCTATAACCTTTTCTTACACGCTGCTGTTATGGTTAAGGTATCTGAGACAGAAAGAGAGGACCTGGAAGAATCGGAAAAGGTGCAGCACTGGGTGGAAAGACTTTGTCAAACACGGTTAGAGCAGATTTCCTCTGTGGAGAATGAGTCTCCTGAGGTAAAATTCTGGCCTTTCCATATGTTACATGATCTCGAAATAATTCACTAGTTGTATCCTAAAAGCAACAGGTTTTTACCAGCAAAAAAATCTGTCTTGATCTTTCCCCCTCAGCCTTCATTCTAAGAGGGGGGGAAAAAGTCAGTAATTGATGAACTACCATCTATACCACTTTCTGTTTCTATATTTTATGAAGATTCAAACATTATTTTAATGAACTGGGTTTATTTTGTTTTTAAGTATAATATCACCACAAAATTAAGTTTATTGACTCATGAGCTGTTTGGGCTAGGTGGGACATGGTACCAATAACAAAACTGAGACTAGAATACCCAGCTATATGTATTAGTATCTTATGAAAATAAGATCATCATTGATGACAAGCTCTTGGATGCTTCCTTGTATTACTTGACATAAAGGTACAGGTTAAGAAAATGACAAAAAGATGAAAAACTCCCAAAGACTAGGGTTTGGGTTTGTGCTTTAAATAGTCCTCTTAAATTAGAGGAGTTGCAGATAGTGATTGTGCCTTAGAGCCTGATAGTTCTATATGTGGAGAGAGGCTTTCCCACCATCCTGCTGCTCTGGCTGTTTTCCAAGTACATCTGCTTTCAACAGGAACACTGCAATCTGCTGAACTCCTGTGGGATCCCCAAGAAATCGTAACCACAAAAGGGACCCTTGGGGAACACTCTCACATGAATTTCCTTCAGGTCAATGTGGAGCAACTCTGAAAAAAGCCTTAGGCTCAGATCCATGTGGCTTTTCAGTGCAGGCCTTTAGGACACTGGAATGATTATACTGACTGTTCTCTTAATACCTAAACTTGGCTGCATATGTTCTGCTAGAACTTTGTCCCCCTTACCTTGTAAAGTAAGAAGGAACATTACAGATTACAAACACTTGTATTTTCAGAGCTCTACCCAGATTTAAGAAAAGCATTCTGTGTTGTATTTGCTCCATCTATTCTTCTATTACATTATATATAAATGCTCTATTACAATTTTTCTTCAAAACTACCCAAGCAGTTAAACTCACATAAAATACAAAACCTGAGAGCTTCCAAGGGTTAAATGCATCTGAACAGTATTTAGGTAGTACAGACATGAACTGCTTCTTTGGTGCAAGAGCAGTCCAGATCTCTTGACCTCTGCCAAAGGAATACCTATTTTTCAGTACTAGGTGTTATGTTAGATAAGGAGATCCAAAAAATGTAAACAGCATTACCCACTTGAGAGAAGTGTTGTTGTATTAGACTAAGAAGAACGTGTCTGTCAGACAGTTCATCTATGTAATATTTTCTCAGTTGAGACTACACAGTAGCAAAATGAAGGAGTATTGACTGAATTTTCTTAAATATTTCAGTTTGATAACTGCTAAAAGAAATCTTAGCAACTCTAACAACACACGTAGAATCCTCCTCCACACACACACAACCTCATTTTTTGGGGTGAGCTGCTCATCATGTTCAAACTCTGGAGTTTGTTAGTCCCACAATAGATCTGGTATGGATTAATTATCCATATATTATAAGAGATAAAATATTTATGAGATATTATAAATTATAAGATCTCAACCCCCTTGAGGATCTGAATTTCGTAGCACACTAAAATTTTGTTTTGATAGCTGCTTAAGCGTAGTTTCCTTTCTTGTATTAATGTGTGGTTATGTTTACATGACATTAACCCCTTTCCCTTTTTTAATGACATAGAATTTCAGGGCCTGTGTTTGATTACTTTCTTTTCAGATAATAACCATTGCAAGCAGTAATTCTTGCTTTCTCTTCGTAAGAGCTAGAGAGAGAAGAGTTGTGTTATCTGTGATTTGTCCTGTGATTTTACCTTCTGAAGACTTCATATTATTGGGGTTTTGTGGGGGTTCTTTTGTTGTCTCCCCTACCCCAGCAGCCAAGGCTACTGTCATTTTCTTCTGTTCAAACTAGAATCCCAAGGAGTGCTTTTAAAAAACCTTTCAGAGAAAACGTTTGTGTATATTCTGTGTGGGAGAAGCCAAGATCTTCCTGTGCAGGAGCAGTTAGACTGAATGGTGTTCTAGGATTGGTCACTAATTTCTTCAGAGCTGTTGCAGGCAGAACTGCTAAGGCAGATTTCTCTTCTGTTGCACATAGTTGGCAAGTGGACGTCCTTCTGCTTCACCTTCTGCCACGTCAATGCGGCGTTTTGCCGGTGGCCTGCAGCTTCACACCACAGATCTTGATGATATAAACTTAGATGAAGTTGACAAGCCTAAACAACGTGCGCCACCACCTCCGCCACCGCCACCCACAGTTACTCCAGCACCACCACCTCATCCACTTCCTCCCTCAAATGTTCCACTTCCCAGAGGCCCAGCCCTCTCAGTAACACCAGCTTCCCAGGTGACCTCATGATCTGTTTGGATGCATGCGCCCTTACCATTCCCCTGCGTGCCTCCCGCCCCTGATCCATCACCCACCTTGTCCACTAGATCTACCCATCTGCTATATGCAATGCTGCAAGAGAGAATGAGGTGGTTTCATAGTTTTTTAGTAGTGAATGCAGTCCAGAGGTAGCTTTATTTTAACATTTTTTAAATTTAAGTCAAGAGGACTTTGCTCTCCTGCCTCCATACACTGTAACCCTATCACGTGCAGATGTCTTAGGCAGAATATGTAGGTTAAAAAAAAGACAATTTGGCCTCGAATGTTTAAGGATTTTAAAAAATAAAAACCTGTGGCAGGCAGTGGATTTAATTCATTGTTAAATTTGAGAAAAATATCCATGCAGTGAAAATTACTTATGAAAATGTTTTAAATATGTCATCAAATTGCTTTGTTAGGTGAGAAGAGTGGACAAGGAAAATTGACTTAAAATCAGAAAGTCAAACTTCTAAAAGGTCAAAACAGTATCAATTACCAATAAATAAAGAAGCAAGAGTTGGTAATCTGGTTTGACTTGTTGAACACACAGGAGTTGGGGATTTCTTTGAGAAATCCTGTTACTTTCTCTTTATTACAATCTGAGTTCAAAAAAGGATCAAATATATGAAATCTTGTGCCAGATCTCATCATGATTCCCTTTGCTAAGCTCTGTAGTGAGATTCATATACCTGTTTTTGTGGCAAAAGATTCTTATTTATTTCAAAGAGCAGAAGAGGATCCCATACAGTCACTTCTTTGCTACACAGTTTTTGCATGGATTGACTGACTGGTTTTGGGTTTTTTGCATGTTTACTAAATAATATTTGCATGGTTCTGGTTGGGGTGGGGAAGGATATGCAAGTTAATCACTATTTGGAGGAAACCAGTAGATTATTTTTTATGTAAACCATGAATCTCTTGTAAGCTTAAGTGGACCTCTGATAGTGCTTAATCTGGTTTTATATGTTTGAAGTGCCAAGATGCTAGATCCACTGAAACAGAAATATCAAATGTTCTTATGGATAACAGGTTTCCCAAGTTATTTGCAAAATAAAAATTATGTGAAAGGAAACAGATGTACAAAATAATACATTGAGAGGAGAAATACACTCTTCTAAAGCTAATAGAAAATATTCGGATAGAAGAAGCAACATAAGAACTGCCATACTGGATCTGACCCCACACCAGTATATTCCAATATGTGCTTCTGGCAGTTTTTCCCTGTGAGATATGTTACAGAAAAGAAATTAATAGTTAAGAAAAATAGATTAGGTAACAACAAATAACCTACCTTCAAAATTAATGTCAGTTTTCCCTGAATATAATTACTGTATATGAGCAAATATCTAGGCTCTTAGTGAAATATTAATACTGAGGCAAAGCTGCTTTATTTTTAAGTAGATAACTCAGTATTCCCAATCTGGCTTCAGAAATGGAAGAAAAATTAGAAGCCTGACAATTTATCCTTGATACTTTTTACAAAGCCACTTTTTAACATCACAGATAAGCAGAAGCAGTGCATTTGTGTGACTTCATGGATTAAAGATCTTCTGTTTGTGCCTGCTAAAGCCAAAAAATAAGACAGCTGTAGTTGTCTCATAAGTTCACTTTTCTAATATTATACAAACTGATAAATCTCTGTGTTGCTACATTTTTGTTTTTTCCCCAAATCATTTAATTTCCAATTCAGCTCAAACAAATACGTGAGAAAAGGAATAAAATTCTGTCAAATACATTCTTGACAACTGACTATTAACATATCGGGTATAAATGGTCTGTTTCTCAAAATTATTATAAGCTTTACACTTTATATGAACCCAGTATTAAGTCTGTTACTATTTAGGTTGTAAGAAACACGTCCCACGTCGGCAAAGTATCTTCTGTGTCAAGCAATCCGCTGGTATGTCACGTACTGTTAATAATGACTGTGGTTTTATGAACTTCCCATGTAATGCTAATGTCAAGGAAGTGTCAAGGGTTTCTCTCTGCATGGCTAATTTATTTGAAATTCAGCACATGGAATTATGTTTGTGGTTCCATTGCTGTGTTGGAAGCTTTCCAATACCAAGTAGTGGAAGTGACTCCTAACGGTCCAAGGATTTCATGTTTCAACAGCTGAGCAACATACAGCCCATGTTTGCATGTTCTAAATGTCTGTATGTCATGGAGCATGTACTTTGTTCCTCTGTCAAGGCAAAAGGATCTAGGACAAATCTATATTTTAAATATTATGTGTCCTAAGAAGCAAGTTTCATCTCAGAGGGAGCAACATTTGTTTGATAGCTCTTTGGACTGATTTTAAGTCAGGATGGCCAGATGTCAGGTTTCCCCATTCTGCATTGTAGAAAAATCCGTTGCTAAATTATGTGACTCGGGGAGAAATCATCCAGTTCCAGTGCGGCTTTAACAAGTTGGTATCTGTGAACCTGTCAATTTTGATTCTTCTAAGATCAGAAAGCTTAACAACACAATATATTTTGCAGTGTTTAACAACATTAGTTAAGGGATATCCACAGGGACTTTCAAATATCTGGTTCCAAACTTTTTTTAAAATTATTTTAAAAAGGATACAGGGGAATAAAACCACCACCAAAAAATAATTCCTCCATTAAAAAAATGAAAGTGGTTAACCAATTTGCTGGAAGCAAGTAAATAATTTCAGAGGATACAGCTTGTACTATGAGTGATATCTGGAATACATCACATTTCCTATGAGAAACATTGAGAAAAGTGTGTTAAGAGTTGCTGGGGTTAAGTCAGAAACTGAACCCACAGGGCTCAGTTTTGAACTCTTTTCTTGAATCAAGCTCTGCTTGACGTCAGTGGGAGTCTTGGCTGAGTGAGAAGTGTAGGATCGGGTAGTACGTGCAGAATGATTGAGTCTCAGATGCCTCTGGTATCTGTACTTCCTGGAGTCAGGGGCAGGTAATTAGTGTAACTAACCCTTGCCATTAAGTCAAGATAAGTTAACTTAAAATTCTTTATGGAAAGCTGTTTGCTGCAACCCTGGAGATTTTTATCTTAAAAAATCTATTTAGCCATGGATTAGTTAAAATCTTATTTTGGGTTCACTGTGTTCTTGCACTGAACTTTAGCAGGTTTTTTTTCCTGTAGCTTCTCACTCAGTTCATTGTCTTTATGGGAAAAATACCAAAAGCAGGGCTGAGATTTTTCCATAATCTTGCTGGTGACGCCAGAATTTAGGGGCAAAGTTACTGTTTGGATGCAAGAGAAATTATATTTTGGTTTGTTGACTTTGTAAGCCTTAGTTAAAATAATTCTGTAATCTTTTTCTTGTATTCGTGTTGCTAAATTCATTATGATGAACTGTTTGAATTGAGGTGTCTTGATAAAGTGATGGATTTGCACAAATTATGTTGTGAATTGTAATTTTCTTAAATTAACTCCATAGCAACTTGCTCCAAGTCCACCTACCCAACGTCACCCAGGGGTACCAATAGTCTCTAAACCAGTTATGCTGCATCCTGACCCAAACTTTATGGTCAGGCCAACAATCAAATCAGAGGCCCTGGTAAGCCCTTTGATATTCTTTTTCTGAGTGCTCCAGTACTTTGGGGGGTTGTTTTTGACATGTCCTCAAAGAGTCAATGTTTGTCTCATTTCTTGCTAACTAAAATTCACGTGTTTTCAAGTGATCAGTAATGGTAAGTACAAGAGAGTTTTTTTCTGTATTTTTCCCATTATCTAAAAGCCACTTTTAGTGACAGTTTTGTACAAGGGTGCATAATTCCAGAGCAGTGTATAGCCTTGGAATTTTTATATCTTATTTTTCATTTATTCACATGCTTGTTTTTATTTTTTTATAAGTTCTGAATCCATTTGTCAGAAATGAAATAATAAAACTTAATTAAACTGTATTCTTCCTTCGTAAATAGTCATGAACACATTTGAAATGTAGGTATATACCTCATTATATCATTTATCATAATATACACACACACATATATATATATATATAAAATCCATATATATCTTTTCATTTCCAGCTAAAAAAGTGTGTTGTTATATCAGACTCCAATATACTGGTCATGCAGTGTTACTGCAAAGTTGACTCACAATCAGATTCTTTTTCTTCTTTCATTTCCTCTTCTGTTTCAAATGTAAATGAAGAAAAAATTCAGAGGCTAAACATTTTAGAACCAACCATGTTTCATTTTCTGGGAATTGTGCTATATGAGGGAGGGTGAGCCAAGGCTTACTGAACAAAAAAAAAAGATAAATACTGCTCTGACAGGTGATAACTCCCAACTGACAGCCCTTAAAATTTACCTAAAATACCTGGTGGACCAATTAGTAGTATTTATTCTTGATATTCATCATGACTTGTGGTGTTTGCATAAGGAATTGTGTGTTTGTTACATGCATGTGTGTGGACATGCCTATATATATACATTTATATGAGCAAAACAGTAAGTGGTGGAAAAACATCACAATGGCATTTCATTTATTTAATTAGAAGCTTCTACTATTTCTGACAATAAATAATGTGCACAATATTCCTAGATGTGTTTCATTAAAGCACAATGGATTTTTTTTGTCATTTATTGCTTTAATAATTTAGATACTCTTGTTCCTTTATTTTCCCAGTTACACTTTGAACAAATTTAAGTGATATATAGGAACTTGTTTTCCCACTGCCATAGGCATCTTGAAACTTCTGTATTATAGATGGATTGAATGATAAATGAAAGCAGTTTTTATAAGTTGCTTAAGAGAAGGCAGGTATATGAGCTAAAAATAAATTCAGATCCCTCCAGTGTAATGTTTCCTTCAGTTGAAGCTCTCATTTTGTTTGTGTTCAGTAATTCAGCATTTCTAAGCAATATGAAATTCCTCAGGGGAGGAATGAACAGAGTAAAGTCATAATCTGCAGTTAATATAATCTAGCTCTTGAAAAAGTGTGCATATGTGAACTAGTTTGCAGAATTGATAATACCCTTATATGTGACCAAGCAGTCGTGGCACCAATTCTAAAGGGCACTTTTAAAAATTATTCTTTTGTTAATGACTGCTTACAATTAGTTTAAGAAACTGGCAATAAGATCCTCTTCTACAGGGAAATGCCTTATGATTTGTTATGCATGCGTGCACATTTTCCAAATCACAAGTCTGCTAGAATCTTTCAGATGCCAATCATCTTCATTCCCAAACTGCCTTATATCAGTTGGAAGATCCAAATTTCAGTGGGAGTAATATTCTAATAGGACTTTGAGAGAAAGAGCAGCCTATAAATTGGTTTTGTAGATTTGATACCTCTTATTTCCATTTGTGACTTACTGCAGTGAAGAGTATCTCACTGCAGTGAAGTCATGGTTGTCTGTGAAGTAAAATTTGCACAAATACCAAAGAGGGAAGCTACTTCTATTAGTTTAAAAAAAAACCTCTAGTGTATGACAAAACAAATAAGACAGTACCTGCCTGCCTCCAGAAATGTGTGAGAATTATAATTAGATTTCATGCAGAAGGAGTGGATTTTGGTTGGTTGGGAGTGTGAGGTGGTGTCCTTATTTAGTTTCATGGTGCAGATACAGGACCAGTTCAGCTTCTGTTAGCAAAGGAAAGTATCACCAAAGACAAAATATCAATTACTACTCTGTTTCTTGTCTTGCTAGACTTCACACACCTTATGGAACTACAGCTGTTATGTCATATTAAGATGTAATGCATATAATTTCTTCTGCCTTGTTTTTACCTGAATTTAACTGTCCTGAGTACCAAACTCTAGAAACTCATCCTGATTCGAGCAGCTAATCAAGTTGGCCTGCACTCAAGAAAATTACTAGTAAAGAGGATGAAAAAGCATTCACGTTAGAATATAATAGGCATGCAAGAATGGGTAAAATATTCCTGTTATCTGGAAGGTAGGGGGGCCAGATAGTCTGTTGTGACTTAAGTCATCTTATGAACTAAATTTAGGTCAGAATCCCCAGATCTTTTAACAGTTTTTGAAAATGAAATTGTTCTCAAAAATAGGTGATTAAACCTTGTGTGTGCCCTTCAATGCTGAGGGCTGCTCTGGGTCAAAGTCAGTGTGAGCTGTTTGTCTCTGTTGTACTAAAGTGAATTGGAATACATTCATGGCAGAGCTAATTAAATTTTGGCTCAGAGAATAGGAGAGAATTGTTATGATTTAGTGGTGGGATTTTCAGAGAAGCAAAGCCAACATGAACATTAGTCTCTGCTCTCCCATCTATCACTCACATCCTGTGTGAGTTAGAAGGCTTTGATGCACCTGCTGCTACTAAAGATTTTTCTTCCCTTGCCCCTTTGGGGTTGGATGCAGCATTTTTGAAAGGAAAAAAAATAATATTTAAGCTTTCCTCTAATTTGCAAGATTTGAAGCCTGATTTTGCAGGACTGCAGTCAACACAGGTGCTTAGATACTGTGTGGCAAGATGTGTGAGGATTGGAAATTCCAGTTATTATTTGCTATAGCTATACCAAACCAATCTGTGTTAAAAATGAATTATTTTTTTAGAGGGGGTCTAAAGAGAAAATCTTTCCAAACTTGCCTACAAATCCTTCAAGACAAAAACTCAGTCTTTGTATTGATCAAATGCAAATCACAGAATTTTCATTAACTCTGCAATACATTTTTCCAAGTAATGATATGACTACAGGACACTGATAGAATCAGTAGTGAAACTGATATATAGTAATTTTTTTAAAAGCAAATTGAGTTTGGAAGTATAAATGCCATAGTTTAGTCTGTAGAAAGCTATTCTTGTGTTCAGAACACTTAAATGCGTTACCTAATTTGCTGCAGGAGTTTGAGTGGAGGCTGGAGAGGTGTGAGGAGTGTTTTGTATAATTATTTAGTGTTTTAGCCCACTTCCTTTTTGAAAATATTTAGAACCTAATAAGAAATTCTTTATTTTAAGTGACTCCAAACTACAGTGTACCATTTTGTTAGAGTAGTGGAATTGAAAGAAAAACAGAATGAATATGGGATTAAAATCCTTCAAGCCAAACACAATAAAATAAAATCCATCAGTTATTAATTGATATAGTGAAACTACTCACAGATACCCTAATTGAAGAAAGAAAATAGAAATAAGTCCATTAAATTCTGGAGGAGTTTTTCTTTAAGTAGAATAAACCTGTACTAGCGATTGGTATTTAGGTAATTCTCTCTTTCAGGATGAGCCCAAATACACATCTCTTCTTTCAGCTTGTCAGATTCATAAGGAATTTAATAATGGAATTCACTTTTTCAGTATAGGAAATCCCTGGTAGCAGAGCAGATCTTAAATGCATAAACATGTATTTATCATGGCTTTTCAATATTTTGGAAATTACTTGTCTAGCATTTTGTCTGTATTTTGGGTTGGGGTTTTTTTCAATTATTTTTTCACAAGTCATGGATAAGGGATCCAAGCGCTGTTTTATAGAAATGAGGTGTAAAAGGAGTCATGGAAAATATTTTTAAGAAATCTTGTGGTATGGAAATGTGCATTATTTATGTAATTTCTCTAGAGTTCTTTCCACTTTGTATGCAGTACTGTTTCACTGTGTGTGTTCTCTCATTTTGAAATTATACAGGGAACAATCACTAACAAATGCAAGTGTGGTTCAGTCCCTAGAAGAGCAAAATAAGTAGTGAGATAATTTATGAGTAGGTGATACTTATTTACAGCAAGAAGTTAATACCTGGTTTGGCGATTTTCTTTCTTTTGCAGCCACAAGAGATGTTTAAAAGGATGGTGGTTTACAATTCATCATTTAGATCTAACAAAAAACAAGTAAAATAACATTTTCCATGTTTTGTGTGGTACTTCTTGTTTTGACTGATCATAGATTTGAAACTTTCTTTTCTAATCCTGTTGCTCAGTTTCTAAAACAGAAGATGCAAGACAACCCTAGTGCATGAGAACTGTTAATCTTTGTAAGCTTTGTGTGTGCCTGTGGCTCCTTCTAGTCTAGGCAGATGAAGAATGAGAGGATAGTAATTCCTTTTGGTTGAACCATCTGTGACTACTTATATGGTTAAATGCAACCTGTGAGATAGTTGAACACTCATAACTGATGTTATACTGGCTTTTTTTTTAATATTCCTAAGGTTTCCTTGTTTCTCTTAGTGTCCAGTTGCAATGCTTTCAGTAACAAAATATTTTATTAGTTTAACAAACAGAGCTATTATCATAACATAGTTATTGGTAGAAAATCAGAAGAACTGCTGGTGGAAAGCACTTATTCATTCACCCTTCCTGTATTGTGTAGGATCTTCTCACTGTATTATTACTTTTGTTGCTTTCCTCTGTCGTAGTGATGAAGTTTTCATTTCTTCCTCATTGTTTGACTGGTGGTGCAATAGATGGTTGCTTGAAGAAGTGAACTTCATGCTTAACTTCTCTGCTGCTGTAAAGTGTGCCAGTTTCTGTGCAGACCACCTTCGTAAGTGCAAGCTAAGTTAGATGCATTGCAGTGTTATATGAAAAAAGTTGGTACACAGTAGCGAGCTCACAGCATGAGCTTTTGAGTGGTAAACAATCAAGATTAATAATGACTTTTGTCTTCTTTTGATCAGTTTCAATCTAGATCAAGAAGGGAGAACTGGATTTGACTGAGAAAAATCCAACTTTGAGATTATTCAGTTTCCATTGAATGTCAGTATGTTCTGAATATATAACAGTTGTGTTTTCAACAAATGTGTTTTTTGTAAAATTTTATTATAACTGATTATGAGTTTCAATTTTTTTATTTATTTCAGTCAGGTCTCAATTGCTCTTGACTACTGATGCTGGAAACCAGTGAGCAGTACCATTGGTTTTAGGTCCTTGTGTTTTGAGTTTTCGGGGTTGATTTTTCTTTTAAATAATAACTTTACCTTTCATCTGCAAGTCCAGACAGAGAGCTGTTTCAGTGCAATTAAACATTTTAGTGTTCTGGATTCAACTTATGTTCAGTCCTGTGAATTTTATCATAAGTCAGGAAGGAATTAGAATGATCTTAACTCTTTTACCTGAAATGTCCTGGAGTGGGAGGGTAGGCTTAGGACTCCAACTTCATCTGATGTTGCTTAGTTCATTAGTCAATGCTTGGATATTGAGTCCACTCTCTGCTCCCTGAATTTGTGATGCACATTTCAGGGAAGGTTTATTACAGTTCAGTGGATGTCTTCATTCTATCTTACCTATATTTGTATATTATTGGATCCAGACCATATCTCTGATACACAGTGATATGAACACAAAGGGACAGCATGAAGCTGTGTCAGGGTGGTTTAGATTGCATATTAGGAAAAGGCTCTTCACCCAGAAGGTGGCTGAGCACTGGAACATGTTCCCCAGGGAAGTGATCATGGCACCAAGACTCTTGAGTTCAAGAAGTGTTTGGACAATGCTCTCAGGCACATGGTGTGACTTTTGGGGTTGTGCTGTGCAGGACCAGGAGTCGGACTTGATAACCCTTGTGAGTCCCTTCCAACTCAGGATATTCTATGTTTCTGTGACTTTGCTTGCAGGTTATTTTGTTGTGGGTTTTTGTGCATTTGGTTGGCTTTGGGGTTATTTTCCCTTGTTAAAAATTGTTTTCCCAGGAAAACTTTTTTCAAGGGCAACATCTGCTTTTCATGAGGCCGACCTGGGACAAAGAGTTCACTGACTTCCTTTAGATTACATAATGACTTAGTGACTGGAGTTCTTTTCTCTAAGTTGCTTACTACAAGACTGTAGATGTCTACTTCAGACGTGATTCCAAAGGGCAATACAAATTTAGTTATTCAAAGGATTAGTTTTTTTAGGTAGCTATCATTGTAAAATGTTTCTCTTACAATTTTAGTTTAACTGTTCATAATATTAATACACTTGGTAAATGAATGAATGGTTGGGGTTTTCCCCCCGGGATGAAATTCTACCCTTGCTGATGTCTGTGATGAAATTCCCATTTGTTTTTATTTCCTCAAAGTTAGCAGTTAACAAATGTAATGCAATCCATGATTTAAATGCTAAATAACATATTTCATGTTCCTATTCCCAAAAGATTATTTTAATACATATTTCCCTATGGAAAAAAAAAATACTTGTGGCAGTAAGCAAAAGTTCTGCAGTTGTGCAGAGTTAGAGAGGCAGCCTGAGGAAAGCCAGGGTCCACGCTGTATGATTCGGTGTGCCTGTGTGGAATGGCTGCCAGGCCACACAACACTCATCACCACCTCTGTTGTGTTGTCTGTTTAAGTGTGGTGAGACAAAGTGGCAGCACTTTTGTACATTTGAAGTTCTGTGATGCAGACCTGTGTAGAAGTGCTCTTTGACTTTGTGAGAGGCAGTGCTGGTAAGGATGAGATCAGATCCCAGAGGGTCATTGTCAGTCACATCAAAATGAGGCAACTGAGAGAGCTGATAGAGTATAGCACATGAGGCATTAGTGTTTTCTGCTGCAGCTTTGCCATTTAACAGCCAGCACTTAAACATACCAGAGGAACCTTAAGCTGTGCATTTCATTTACAAGTTGAAAAAGGCTTAGCTGAGTCTGAAAGTGGAATAGACTGTGTCATCAAATGGATCCGGTAGAAAAGAGGACAATAATGAAAATATGAAGCTTGATCACACACTGAACCGCTCATCTGTGTCAGATATTGACTTGCCTGCTATGTCAACAAAGGGTTGTGGGGTTCTGTGTTGTTGCCCTGCCCCCAGGTTATTGCAACTTGAGGCCACAAGAGTGATACAGCATCTGGGTGCCTCAGTAAAGATTTCTGTTAAAATCTGAAGTGCTTACGTGAACATACAGAATAGGTGCAGAGCTTTTATAAATGTCCAGCCCTGTCCATACAGTCTCACCCAGTAGCTACTAGACCTCCTCAAAAAAACACCACTCGAATACCATTGATTCCTGATTGCTGATGCAGGTATTCCCATCCTTGCAGAAGAGAGAACTCCTGCTTTTCGCTGCAGTCTTGGTCTGACAAGGGTTAAGCACTAGGTTTTGTGGGTCTTCTCAAAGCTTAAATCTTTCTCTACCTAACTGCAATATTATCTTCTGCATTTCAGACACTCCCTGACAAAACTTAAATCATCCATAGAACCATATGAAAACAAAAAATGGTGGTTGTCCTGCATTTGCTTGTGGTATGGAGCCAAATCCCTGAAACTCCATGGCAAGGAGGAGAGAAAGGGTCAGAAAAAGAGTCCTAAAACCCAGATAGCATGGAGTAGTGTGGCTGACAGCAAAATTGGAGCCTGTAATTTCTACCTGTTAGCATCCAACATGGTGATAATCCTAAGAAATGTTGCTCAAAAGACTGTGACAGAACATACCTGCCCATGATGCTTTCAAGATTTGTTTCTGTTTGTTAGGTGTAGAGAGGAACTGTGGAGCTGACAGAGTGGTAAACTCTTCCTCAGAACTGCTCCATAGTGTGACCAGCTCAAACTGTTAATCTGTCATAAGGTTTTGAAATGTCTTCTGACTGTCAGGATGGACTCTTTGCTGTCTTTCTGTGCTTTTCTCCATTTACTGTCTTCTTTCATAGCTTACAGAATTATATGTTCTCTCACTAATAAATAAATGGAGTTTGTGTGTTAAGTGTGTGCATGAGTCAGATGTATTTACAATTAAATATTGTTTTATTCTCAGGGCTTCCAGAAGTACGTGGAAGATTTTGATCCATATTCAATGGTAAGGAGAGAATTTAAATATGCTTCACTGTTTAATATGAAATACGCTGGAAAAAACCAAATCCTTGATTTTGAGAGCTGAGAGGGGATAAGATTCTTGCTTGTTGGTTTACTGGGCCTTGTGTATTTGTCTTTTCTAGTCATGTTGAAAAGGAGTGTTCAACATATGAAAAGATGATCTAGTGTTCTGATCTGCCTCTAACACTATTTTAGAGGAGGGAAAGGTCACTTTTCTGTCAGAAACTACATAGATCAGCATAATTGCTTGGTGTTTCCAAAGTGGAAATGACTGATGATTATATCTTTTCATAGTTCACCCCAGAACAGATTATGGGAAAAGATGTACGGCTATTACGAATTAAAAAGGTAAATACTGTATTGCTTGATTGATATTTAAAGGGTTCATGTAAGTGTTTGATATATAGTATCATTTATTGGGAAGAAGGAAAGATTAAGCTCCTGTTAATGGCAAAAGTTGACAACCTGAACTAAAACTGTTTTTTCATAGGAAGGATCGTTGGACCTTGCAGTCGAGGGAGGAATTGATTCTCCAATTGGAAAGATAGTTGTGTCTGCCATATATGAAGATGGTGCTGCAGACAAACACGGTGAGCAACAATGGGGAATTTGAATGCTGCAGCAAAGTGGCTCCTTACATTGTCTGAGAGTTGATGGCTGATTTCATAGCTATACCTAGTATTGAAAGGCACACTGAGATTGTCCAAGGAGCCAAGTTCTGCGTCAGCCTAAAGGGCACCCCAGAGACAAGTTCATGGTTTCAGGAGTGCTACTCAAATTAATAATTATGTAAAATTTATAAAAACCAACACCTGATTCTCTAGTGTATTCTGTTAAGCAAGGAATATGGCCTCCATTATTTCACCATTTCCAAGCAATGACATATGCAGTACTTCCACGTGCAAAGTAATTACCTGACCATGGCTACTCTATACTGTTTAGTTTTGTTCTTAATGCCACTTTCCTTAGTAATTTGTCTTGTAAAACAGCTGGCTTTAATCCCAAAACCTCACTAAAGGCCAGAGTCTTCTGGCTAACAGCTTAGCTTTCTGGAAGGCTCAAGAACATGTGCACCAATGCATCTAGGCTTTGCTCCTGGTGGGCAGTGTCTCTCATCCTTTCCCTGAGAACTCTTGTGATGATCAGGTGGACAGACAGGACAATATCCCCTTGCATTGCTGACCTTGTCCCAGACTGAACCTAAGTTCGAGTCACTTATTTGTGAAAACTTCTTGGCCACTTGATCTCCTAAGTACTCTGTTTGGCTTTGTTTGGCTTTGTCCCTTCGTATCCCTTTCTAGGATCACTCATATAAGGCTGTTCCCTGGTCATCCGTGGTTTTTCTGCTTCAAATCCAGTCCCAGTTAGCTGATTGTCCTTCATTCCAGCTTAGCAAATCAAAACCAGTTCAAAGGACTAAACATTACACATACACTTGGAAAGGAATGACAAACTTGCAGACACTTGACAAATACCACTTCATTCCTTCAGTAATTTAATTAATTGAGCTGTTTTTATAGAATCATAGAATGGCCTGTGTTGGAAGGGATCTTAAATACCATCTAGTTCCAAGCCCTCTGCCAGGGAGAGGGACACCTTTCGCTAGACCAGGTTGCTCAAAAACCCCATTCAGCCTGGCCTTGAACACTTCCAGGGATGGGGCACAGTAGTAACAGCCTACAGTCTGTCATAGTTTGTAAATTGTATAGCTGGATTACCCAAACAGGCAAACTGCCACTGGGGAAAAATCTTATTGAACTAGTTTTACTGGTTATTATCAATAAGAGATTAGTTTGGCTTTGCCACACTTAAAAATTCCGTTTGCTTTTACCTGTAGCAAACTTTCTTTAATTTTTGTTGTAGACCTTCACATCTAGTGAAAACACTTTTTGTTATACTCATTACTGCACAGATATGGCAGTATTATGTGTATGTTTTTCATATTGGTCTTTTCACCAGGAGGCATAGTGAAAGGGGATGAAATACTGGCTGTAAATGGCAAGATATTAATTGACAGCAAGCTGGCAGAAGCACAGGCAACTCTAGCAAAAGCTTGGAACATGGGTGGGGTAAGTAACGTGGAGTACTACCTCGTTTTACCTCTAATGCTCATGAAAGATACCCTTCTATTATGACATTGTCACATCAACACAAATAAGGTTGCAAGCATCAAAACTAGCAGGTGTGTCGTGTACTACCAAAGTGAGATGAAATCTCCAGAAGATACTCTGGTGTGTAGCATCTCTGAAAACCAGGCATGTAATTTACTGTGAAATTCCATGGCATTTAGCCACATATTAAGGTTGGTATTTAAACACATTACATTCTGAGTGGTTATATTACATTTATCTGTAGAATCATTCTTTGATATTGAAAATTACTTGCAAGCTGATTCAAATTTTCTAATAATAGCTTATCTTTGATTTCTCGATGTACAAGTAACACTGTGCTTCGGCTAGCGAGCGTTTTCTCAGCAAGAACTGTATTAATTGCTCAGATGACCAAATACGAGATAATTCTTAGAATATTGTTTTTTAATCTTGTTGCAAGAACAATAGATTTTCCTTTAATTTCAAGATAGAAATGAAACTACTCAATCTTAAATGGTCTTCTCTTCTGCTTCTCCCTGTGGTTTTTCAGGGATAGATTGCTGACTCTCTATCTGATATTCCGTGGTGGTCCACTAGCCATCTCTAAAAGCAATATTCAGCAGCATGTGTTTCCCTGTGCGTTTCTTTTTCAGGATTGGATTGACTTAGTCATTGCAGCATCACCTCCAAAGGAATATGATGATGAAATGTAAGTGCATAAGCTTTTTTTCTCTGGGGATTAAAAGGCTAGTAACAGTAGCCCATACAGTTTGCTTTTTTATCAGACATTTTTCAAATATTTATTTCTTGTGGACTGCATAACTTATTGCTTTACATGGTTGCTAATTTGATAGTTATAAGTAGCTGTCATGCATTACAGCAGTGGTTCCCAGACTTTGCAAAATGGTGATTCTCAGAACTGGTTGTACGTGACTACGCACTCATACTTTCAGTTTAAAGTTTGAGAATTTGGGGTTTGGTTTTTTTTAGAAATTATACTTAGCTTCAGTCTAAATCATTCACTGTGTTCCCATAAATCATAATGTAGGGAAACGAATGCCCACAAGGATTCTTCATCACAACCAGACGTTTAATTCTGTTGTTTGGTTTTGTTTTTTTTTAATTAGATTGCATTTACTCCTTGTCTAAGAAAACTTATGTGTAAAATTTTAAAAGAGCTAAATGATTTGGGTGTCTTGGCAATTTGTGACATTCACAGAAGCCTTTTTTTAAAGATAGCCAGCATAGATGTGAAACAGAAGAATCCATAGCTTCTAGTGTGATAGACATTTTAAGTCAATACAACTTGCTTTACTTTGGACACACAGCTTGAAAAGGAAGACCCGTGTTTTCTAGCTTGACTGAGGGAAAAGATTTGAAGATATCCTCACTACCAAGTAAAATGGCAGAGTAAGGATTTGTAGTCACTGTTAATCTGGACTCTTTTTCTGTGTAGAGTATTGGAGTATTAGTTGCTGTAAATCCATATACTCTTACTGGCTAACACCAGCTGTAGATTGACATATAATTGTGTTTAATACCTGCACATAAAATAACAAGCAAGGAAATAACCATCACTGTTATTTTTGTTTTCATATCCTGTATATTTAGCCCTACTGTTCCCTCATCAACAGTCAGTCCCAACACACACAGAAAGGTTTTTGAAGGCAGTGCACCCGTGTACAGACAAGGGTATCTCCTGCAGCTGTAGCCACTGCAGTGTCCCTCATGGTGAATAGCCACACCTGGGTTAACATGACTGGCCATCGTGAGGCTGCGTTATTTTTTTGAGCATGTGCCTGCCTGTGCATTGCTTGCCATGCTTGCTTTTGTTCCTGGCATGCTGGAGTGTTCTTTGGGCTTTTGCCATGCCTGTGCTATTAAAATATAAATATTTAGTTTCTACTGCATAAAGTCCCTTAGAGATCCTCTGCAGAATTGGTTTATCATCTGCTAGACTATTAAATAAATAGGCCCCGCCTAAACAAGTAGGATTAACCTAATTTTTTTCCTTATCTGTGGACCACTGCTGTGGCTTTGTGAGCTCATAAGTATATAAACAACTACAAATTACTTCCTTGTGAAGGCTTGTCCAAAGAACAAGTTTCCACTTGTGTTTTACAACAGTGTGCCTGTAAACAGGTATTCATGAGTGTTTGGTTTTCACTGAAGTTTGCATCTCTTAATTTGTCACTATACAATGGGTTTGTTCTGAAATGATCCTTGTGTCAGAAACTCATATTACTGTGTATGGCTTCTCTGTGCTATAATCACTCTAAGTACAGTCATAGATCTCCAGAAACACCAAGGTAAGATTTCTTGTTGCATGTGGGTCTTCTCAATTATTACTTACAATACAAATCAAAGTTACTCGAGATCGAGTTGCAAAATTGTGCTTATCAGAAAGACTGAAAGTTGCGTGACAGCTAACAGCATGTTTTTCACTATCTTTTTCTTTTTTTCTGCAGAACATTTTTTTAAAGAAGACTACAACTGGAAAAATGGAATCTTTCCTCTGCAGAAAGATATACCTGCTGCTCTGTATATTAATAGGAAATCAATAGCCACATGAAATGCATCTTTATTGACTGATATGTGAGCAATCAGACCTGTAAATTGAACTAGAGACTTCAGATTCTTCAGATTAGAAAGATTTTAAATTACTCAAATATAGACATACAGCAAAATTTTTTTTGCCACATAACTGCTGGTGAGCATAGTTCAGTCTGTGAGCATTCAATCTATTTTTGCTATTTTGGGGGGACAAATTTTGAAAATTATCTTTCAGTTTTCCTGGAAATAGACACCAAAATGACAAATGAAGATAGAACACAGATGTCTGTTCCCACATGCAACACTTTCGAATACACCTTCACAGGCCAGTTTGGGTGCGAAAAGGATTATATTTTTACTCCCTGCATAGTGATTTTCCCTGGGAAAGTGGGAATGTATACAGTTAACTTATGTTCTCGCTCATATTCTTGTAGCTCTCCTAATGTCCATTTCTGTTGCTCAGTTGTGAGTTTTTTTGAATGTAAAAACCCAGGAGTGCTAGCATTATGAGGAATAATTTTGGTGATATTTATGCAGCATAAAGAATCTTCTCTACCAGCAAAGTAGATAGCTAGCAAGTAGTCCAGATAAAATAATTATGTGTAGTCACATTTATACTACTGAGTATTTGTATTGGTGTCAAAAATTCCTCCCTCACATAGTCATGGGTGGAAAATTTGGGTGTGATTCACAGTCTGCAGTTGTGTACTTTGTTCTCAGTGAGGCTATATGTGTGACTAAACTATGCAGGAAGCCACCAAGTGTAATATTCTGCTTTTGGTAATTATGTGTCTTAGGTTTGAGTAAATTTCTCAAGACCATATAACTCTACTAACTTGGCTTTAAATAAGTATGATTACAGTTGTAGATTTAGTAATTTATTTGTATGAACAAACTATCTCCTTAAAAATGTCATTGTCTTCTTCCTTTCTTGTATCTGCCGGTTTGTATTCTGTTTTTCATATTGTGTTTAGATTTTTCTTACCTGTACTAAAGAGAGACAGTTTATAGTTCTTTGGGCATATCAAATTCCCCCTCAAGTCTCGCCTTTTCAAGATTTGGAAACCCTCCTTTCTGTAACACAGAAAAATAACAACTTTGTTCCTGAGAACTCTATACTCATACGCAGATGATGACTTATGTTGACTTTCTTTATTTGCAGTATGGTTCCAGTATGCCAATTAATGTGTGTGGCAGGGTACATATGTTAGAATGTGTAATATTTTAACTCTTACAGCTAATTCAGAAATAAAAGTGCATTTGCCAAATGGAAGAAGTCTAGTTTCCTCTTTGTCTCTGGGTTAGTACATCATAGTAATAGTTAATCTGTGAAAGTACACAGATTTCTGAGTTTTTCTTTAGTAACAGATCCCTTTGCAACAGAATGCCACCCTTGTGGAACTCGAAATTCACTCTGCACAGTAGGGAATTCTCGCTTGGCTGAGCTGCAGTAATCTTTTATAGAATTTTTGTGGGCAAATCTGGTCATTTGCTAGTTGGCAAGCTACTGAACACAGTTGCTATGGTATATTTTGTTTGCTAGGTCTCTTTGGGTTCATCTATCCAGAGCTGTAGACTTCCTAACCAACAAACTAATTTAAATGCTAAATGCATCAAGATTAGCACCAGAAGGAAATTGCAGCAGGATGTACTACTACTGCTGCTTTGGTTCCCAGTTGCCTACATACTGCAACCATCTGGACTGTATGACAATGCAGATAGATGAGTGATGCTATCAAATGTTCTCTTGAAGGCTGCTCTGATGTTAAAGAACTTCAGCCTGCAACCAGTGCTTGATTTTGCTAGAAACATAACACAAAAAACTTACAGGTTAGATATTAGAAATGTTTCTACTGTTGTTATTTTTTCAGAGACAAAAGGAGCACAGAAGACTGAGCTGGGAAATCTGTGGGAGTACCGGGAGTTGAGTTCTAGCATTGATTCTTAGTCACAGAACTATCTTTCTTCTCCCCATCTACCCTGTTCACATGATTTGCTTGGATACAGCTTAAAATGCATGAGAGGCAGTTGAGGAAATAGGTACTGCTCGTTACTTCAGGTATAACAAGAAAGTGTTACTTAGTGAGTTTAGCCTGTGTAAGAACTGCAAAGTTTAGTTAGGCAGTGTAAGGAGGTGGTATTAGAAAAAAAGGAACCTGACACCTCTGAAATGTTAAAATGATCCTAAGCCATTAGTCAGGTAGTTTTTTACTTTATTTCTGACTTTCAGTGCCCCGAGACTGGATTGTATCTTTCATTTGCCGGATAGCTCAAGGAGTTGGAAAATGCTACAAGAAAATACATTCTTGAAGCAACTTCCCTTTCAGTTACTTTGGTGAGCAGAGTGTCTCAGATGTAAATAATTTAAACAGGAGTGCCCATTTGAGTTGCTAGTGCACTGTCTTCTGGTGGCTGTAATAATCACTGTGTGTGCCCATGCCTCACCCCTGTTCAATGAACCCAGCTGTGAAAAGATAACAGTAAATGGGACTTTCTCTTTTTCAACCAATGCTTAGTTCCCTTTGGGAGTATGGAAACTCTGACCTGATGCACAAAGCAGGAAGAAGTCCAAGTCCTTCACTGACAATATCACAAATGTTTCAAATTACTTTTAACATAAGATGGTTTTTTGTTTTTCATTCGCTATAATCTCAGAGGGAATATGTCTTGTTTCTCAGAGCTGTTTGTTTGGTTAAGACCACTAAACCCCATTATATCTCTCTAAGGGATAGTAACCCAGAGGAAGAGTTTCTCAGAACTGTTAACAGTCATTCTTATTCTCTCAGGAATTTCTTGGCCATGTTAGTCACAGCATTGTCTTTAGCATACCCTCATAGTTGCTGAACTGGAGCATGAATTGCATTAGAGACTTGTGACTTTCACATCTGCTCTGTGAGCCTGTGCGTGCCTGTATGCAGGCAAAAGATGTGAGACCCTATGGATCAGAACCATGACACTCATTACAGGATAGGAAATAACGTGGTTTATTACTCGTAGGGATATTAGCATAGGGAAGTCTTTGATCTAATTATTACTGCCATTCTGCTATTTTGAGGGCTTATTATTTATCATATGATTATGGCATCTTTTAGAACTTGTGTGTATATTTCAGGGAGGTCTCGGTTTTCAAAAAATTCTCTATTCATAAACAAGTGTACATACATAAAGAGGGGTGTATATATGTACAGACAACAGTAAGGTTTTTTTAAAATCCAAAGCTCCAAAATTTATTTTGAAGGGCACACACGTACAAATAATCACAGCACTCCACAAATACGAGTTATAAACTCTGAATATAAATAAGTTGTTAGAAATCCCCTTACCTTAAAAACGAGATTGAAAATTATGGGCTTGTGTCAAAGGATGAAAATTATGGGTTTGTATCCGGTTGTAAGGAGCTTGATATGCAATGACTGATAGATGTTTTCTGTATGCTTTAGCTGTATGTTGACGTTGATGAAGTGTGGTCAGAATTGGGGTAGCTGCTGTGGAATTCTTAGCCATCTTTTACCACAAACGTGTTCTCCTGGGATCTGTGTTGATGTGAGTAGTCACCTTTACACAATCCAAACCAGCTCTAGTGTAGAAAAGCCAGTGTCTTACCTGTAAGGAGCTGACCCTTAAGATTATAAATCAGATGAGTCTAAAATTACTTGTAATCAATTTATGGTAAGCTAATAAGTGTTTGATCCTTATACTGAGTTTGACCTTCAGTGTTTTTCTTCCCATCTACCAGTTTTATTTTTTGGCATTGTTCTTGTTCTCAGGAGGTGTCTTTTTTTTCTGACTGTCCAAAATTTCTGGAACAGATTTCAAAATTGCCTTCTTGCAGACTAGAAATCTGAGGATGCTCCAGGTGGGCTGCTCACAAGTCATGCAAACTATTCTCATGGAGACTGACTAGGATGTTTTCTTTCCTTCTTCTTAAGGAAGGCAGCAAAATGTTTGCATCTGCTGGAATACGAGGGGCCTATGCTGGAATACTTCTCCCTCCTTTACTAGATGTGCATTTGCTGTGTGATTGAAGGACACAGATAATAGTACAACACTTCAGTAAGGCTCAGGGTCTATTTATATTTACAACAAGGTAACTTGGGCTATTTTTGGTATTTATTGAAAGTATCTAGGATGAAAGAGAAACTGGAGACAGACATAGGAAAAGCAATCAATAACATTTCTGTTCTCTAGAAAGGAGGTTTTTGAAATGTGAAACTTTCAGAGAGTCATGGATTACAATTACGAAGTGTTCTCTGAACTGTGATACTGGTTGTGTACCATAATGTCAATGAAGGTGCTAAACTATCACTGTAAAAGCCACTGGAAGGAAGTTTTAAGGAATTAGTTTCGAATAAATATGTTGCAGACTGGCACCTCTTAGATACTTAAATCTGAATAGCTGTTGTTGAACTCAGACTGTTTGTCTACATGAAAAACGTGGAGTCTGATGTCTTGCAGATAGCTGCTTCATCCAGTATCCCAAAACCTCCTGCATGATAAGCAATGGGTATCCCTTGCACATCTGAATTGTGCTTGATAGATATTTCCCACTTAGGAGGTAACCATAGACTAGAACAAGCAAGGCTCTGGTCCAGCAAAGCACTTAAGTATGTGCTTAAATTTAAGCATATGAGCCAATCTCATTGACATAGGTTGAGTTTAATAATACTCCTCAGGCTTAAGTACTTTGCTGGATTGGGGCCTGAAGTCAAAATCTGAAGGCAAAGGATGCCTTAGCCCTGGAGATGCTTAGTATGGAAAGTTGTTAATGCTGAAGTTCTAGTACTCATACTGAATTTCAGTTCCTCCTCATTTTATCAAATAATTTTTAAAGGTTATTCCTCCCACCAGCTCCCACTGCCCATTTTCTTGGCTTGTCCTCATCTTATCTTTTCTCACCATTTCTCTTCCAAACATGAGTAAAACTCATTAGTCTTCAATAGCTATAACAGAGTTTGTTTATATGGTGCTTAGAGGACAGTTTGGGAGAAAGAGGCTGAGATCCTCCCAACATAAACTGAGTAAGATAGAAATCAGGCAGCATTTTGAGGACAAGGACTTTTCTAAACAATAAGGAAGTGAGAGGCAAACTTGCTAATGGTTATTCTTTATGCAAAGCTACACACTCCTTCAAAACCAAGAGAGTTTCAAATTACTTTCTCTGAGGTTTTGTTTTCTTCTCTCTCCCTTTCCCCTAAGCATTCTGGTTGCTTTAGCCAGCAGGGGACTGAGACCCCCATGCTCATGCTGGCAACAGCTTGAGCCACTTAACAGAGTGCAAAGAACACTAGATACAAAACTTTTAATTAGAAATACTGGGCACAAAATTGAGCTTTGACTAAAGTCTTATGATAAGTGTTTCCCTGACAAGGTGAAATAGCTTTTTGGGGTTATCCTTTGAAACTAAGTAGATTATAATTTTTTGAATATTATTTTTTGTTATCATTCCTCCCCCTCCCAGAATAAAAATGTGGAATTTTCAGAGGAGAGAAACCCAGGAACAGATTTTGATTAGCAGCAATTCCAATGGCAAAACAGGACAGAGGGGAAGAAAGCGGAGAAATGCATTTTTCTATTTTGATTATTCATAAAAAAATGTGGTGAAGCAGATCTGTGAATTTGAGGTATCAACCTAGTAGGATAGAAGAAAGTGCATACTTCGTTAGTGAAAATCAGGCAGCTCCATCTTAGTGCAAAGGAGAGACGTGCATAGCAGGAATCAAAACCTGAAGAGTTCTTCAAGCTGGGTGAGAGAATTCCAGTTCAGAACAACACAGACATAAAGCCATACATACAGAGATTGTAGCTGTTTAGAGAATAGAAGGAACTGAGATGATTAAGGTGTGTCCATTGTGCTCCGAACTCCAGGTTGCTTTCTTCATATAGGGGAAGGCAGCTTCCTCATCATGTATCTCGTTCATTTGGGTATGGGCAAATTGCCTATTTTTAAATAAATCAGCACTGTTATAAAGAAGTCAGTCCACAAAGCAGACTGTGATCTACAGATAGTGCAAATGGTCAAGACAAAAAGTCCAAACTGAAAGAAGGACGCACAGACAAGTCTAGTCTCCAAATAACATACAGATTTCTCATCTGTGATTTAAGAGTTTACAGGTGGGTACAACATAACTTATAATGTTGCTCTTCTTAGAGTAGAGAATGTGATTGAAATGAATTTCTGTTAACCGTCATAGAATGGATTAAACAGAGTGGATGGGCGTATTTTGAGGTTGGATTGTTCACAGGGAAAAGTTATTTGAGTTGTATTAAG